TTCAATCACAGCAATCTGAACTGGCAACTTTACTGAACTTTAGCATGAGAAAAACTTGTTACAACACAGAAAACTGACTGAAACTCTGAACATATTCCCACAAAACAAAACCTCCAAAGAATTCTGGGAAGCTCCCAGTGTTACAATCTTTATATTACTTATTAGTTTAACTTTATGTTGTTTATTTGAGTGTACGTCAGGTCAGTAAACAATTTGTTAACTAAAACTACCGGAGTTTATTTCATTTTTGGCCCTATTATATATAATAAATTGCACAAAACCATCTGTAGTGGTGGTGTAGTGGCTCTGTGGAAAAACAGTAGCCTTCTAAATGCTACATAAATCTGTAGTAAATGGTCATGTTTTTCATACCACACTAGCCTTGTAAAAAGCTTTGTATTACATCAATAAAAACTGCTGTAATACTGCTGTGGATGTCTTATAGCCACCCTGAGAGAGCAGGCACACCCATGCACATGTAGGAGTGGCCTCCAGCACTACTTCAGATGAAGTAAAAGAAACTACTTGTAAAAGCACATACTTCAGTGCACTTAAGTCTGATTCTCATTGGATTTTTGTGCTGATTTAATGTAACGTTTGCAGACTATAATTAATCAATGACAAAACATTTTAGAGAAGAATGTTAGAGAAGAACACAGTGGCAATGATGTATTTTACTTAAAGACAAAACAACTAGTCACTGTGCTGTTTGTACTATCAGTATTTTGTCACTGTAGCAACATTACAGGAAAAGGACAAAACTTTCAAAGTGAGATAAAGTAAGATTTTATATAAGTCTTTTTGGACCATTTCTATTGGCCTGTTTTGTTTTGTGTAAATTACAGGTTTTAAATAAATAAATAAATAAATGGAAATACAATGTTATTTGCTCTGATTTGCTTACCGTCAAGTCAACTGACAACTCCAAAGGAGGTGCACCTGACTCTCCCTCTCCGACATACCAAACACCTGTCTCTCACTCTCTGGCCCTTTAGTGACACTAATGAAACATTAAAGCATTACAGTTAGTAAAGTGTCCAGCGGAAAGATTGCTGAGAATCAGACAGTGGCTGTGATGTCACGGTAACGTCTGTTCAACGTTAGCTCTTTGTCTGCTCACTATCAGCTGACAGCGTGTTAGTTGCGAACAGCAGGCTGTAGTTTCAGTTTGAAAGAACTATTTCTGGCATGAAGAAATTCACCATAGTGTAAAGCTTTATCTCTCCCTTCACCTGATCTCTGCATCAGCCTACAGCTAACACTCTCTCCCTTTTCATTTCTGAAACGCACAGGAATGTAAAACTGAAAATATCAAAATTTAAACTATGCTGTTCATATTCACATGGCAATTGGTGACATGGATACACTAAAAATGTAGACGGTAAAAACTGGCACAGGGAGAACAGGGAAAACCTAACACACTTTGGTTTTATTAACGTTTAAGAATTTCAGCAAAATTAACAATTTTTATACATGCAAGCTACTCTAATCTCTGATGTACATGAACACAAATTTAACATTTTGTTTCTAACACCTACCGTTTCTGAACAATCCAGAGAAAAAAAATATGCGATCACAAAGTAGAAGAGCAAATATCACTTTTGGAATATTTGGGAGGATAGAAACTTTTACTGTTGAAAGCTTAACACTGTGTTATAACTAACCCCGCTGTGTGGAGGCTGAACTTTAGCCTGGCTCCCTCTCTCTCTGACTTATTTACATGCTTCAAAACTGTGTTGTATTACAGCCACCAACAGGGTAATTAAAATCATACAGGTGTGAATTCTGTGACTTATACACAGAATTCAGTAATCAAAAATGACTTATGATGAAAAGTTAGTTTTATGGTATAAAAACAGCCTTCACAGTGAATCCTGAGAAATATCTGTCAGATTACTGCGACAATTCACAGATGACATTCATCTTTAACCTGTTTAACTACATTAAATAACCTTCCTCCATACCATTTCCTTCATGCTTGCTCATGTGAATGAAATTTCAGTAGAATACACCTGATCACTAAAACTAATCCAGTGATTACTGAGTGCCAGGAACGGCTAATACTGAAGTATCATTCTTGACGTTTCTAGTTGAGAATCATTTTCACATAAAACTAATGTTACAAATAAAAGTAAACATTAAGAGCTTTTTTTCCATTTAACATTTACTTTAATCATTTAATCTAAAATAATGTCAAATGTATCGTAAATGTATGTAAAGTGTGTTCGTATTGCTGAAAAAGTTTGCAGCAAATAACAGCGTTATAATAGTAATTATAATCATTATTTAATTAAATAATTATGATAATACAAGTACTACTTTTCCTTTTTCTCTCTACTGAAAGTAGTTATACATGTTTTGGTGTTCATGTTACCTATTTTGACCTTTTCTATGAATGAGGTACTGAGATTAGGACACTAGCCTTGGTATTATGACCGCTAGCGTGTGGCGTATAGGTAGCTCGGTTACTCTGTCTGCCATCAGCTAACATTCAAAATCCGTTTCTGTACCAAACACACTGCTTTCTTGACTTAAAATGTCTTTTTTTATCAGAATAAATTTCTGCAAGCTAGCAATGTAACGAAACTGCAGGGGAAATGGCGCCAAACGGGCAAAAAGGTACAGCGAGGCTGCAGCCCAGTGGCTACAGCTAGGTAGCTAAACAAGTTCACCAGCTGACCTTAGCAGAGGTTATATTAGCTTCACATATTCAAACAACACTTTAACGTAGCCTACATAAATCAACTGATGGGCAAACAAATTCATAGGACACTTATCATTCTTCCACTTAATTTAGGGATCCACCCTGGCTATTTCCTTTCTAGATACTTAGCTACGTTTTCTCTTCTTTGCAGTGAATGTGTAGTTATGTAACGGCAGTCTAGACGGTTAATAAATGGTACGGCCTGCTGTAGGGGGGTGCGCTTCTGTCTGACCCCGTCGAGGAGGAGCATCTCAGTGTTTAATAGTCACAGCAATATTATTTAGAGTTTAGAAACCTCTTATTTTTGATAAAAAAGTCCTGATTTAGATATGAAGTCCTTATTTTGGGTATAAAGCCCTGATTTGGAAGGACCAGATCCTCAACCACCATAGAGAGCTGATTGGCAAGGCAGGTTTATTTATATAGCACCTTTCATACACGGCGGTAATTCAAAGCACTTCACAATGAAAAAATACAAAGATAATTCAAATTCAAATAACAAAGATATGGTTAAAACAAAAGATTTAAAAGTGAAGAAATTAAACATTTAAATAAAAAATCTGATAAAAATTTAAATTAGGATCATCGAGCATCCTTACAGGAGAGAAGAGCACTCTAGAGCTAGCAGTGGTGAAGAAGAAACGTTTTCAGCCCGGATTCGGGGCTCTTCTCAAGCTCTCTGTCAACTGGCTCCATCTAACAGCAGCTTAGTAGCTCAACGCTCTGTTCTCAGTCTTTACCTTTGGCAGCACTAACCTACTCAAAGGGGCATTCCAGCCAAAATGAAAACTTTTACTTGTGCTACATCTGCTGTGAACATGCCTACTCAACTCCTACAGGTGACAGCAGTCTCTGAAGTGAGATTTTCTGGTTTAAAGACGGGAAAACCCCCTTAAGCCCCTTCTGGTGATGTATTTTGATTTTGAAAGCTGCAGGAACTTTTAAAAAACCACAACTGCTTTGCGCAGATATTTGAGGGCGACCTGTTTGAAACACCTTTTCCCCTCTATAAACTGGCTAACTTAACACAGAAGACAGCCAGACAGCTAATGTCACTGTTAAAAGCCAAATACCACATCCTAGCAATCAGGATTTCTTTATTGTTGGGGGGGGCAACAGAATGTGCTACAGATTACTACATAATATGACAAACTAGAAAAATTCATGAAGAAAATGCAGAGTAACTGCGCAGTTTAAGCAGTTGCTAGGTGGTTGCTAGGGTATTGCCTAACAATTACTATGGTATTTTAGGTGGCTGCTATGGTATCCCTAGTGGTTACTAGTGTGTTGCTAGGTGGTTGCTATGGTATCCCAGATGGTTGCTAGGGTGTTGCTAGGCGGTTGCTATGGTTTCCCAGATGGTTGCTAGGGTGTTGCTAGGCGGTTGCTATGGTTTCACAGGCTGTTGCTAGTGGTTACTAGTGTGTTGCTAGGTGGTTGCTATGGTATCCCAGATGGTTGCTATGGTATCCCAGATGGTTGCTAGGACGTTGCTAGGTGGTTGCTATGTATGTGAAGTGATTGCTAAGGTGTTGCTAGGCAGTTGCTAGGCGGTTGCTATGGTATCCCAGTTGGTTGCTAGGACGTTGCTAGGTGGTTGCTACGTATGTCAAGTGGATGCTAAGGTGTTGCTAGGCAGTTGCTATGGTATCCCAAGTGGTGGCTAGGGTGTTTCAGGTGGTTGATATGGTATCCCAGATGGTTGCTAGGGTGTTGCTCAGTCATTGCTATGGTATCCCAGGTGGGTACTAGGGTGTTGCTATGTGGTTGCTATAGTATCCCAGGTGGTTACTAGGGGCTTGCTAGGTGGTTGCTGGTGATATCCTACATGGTTAATAAGGTGTTACTATCACAGTGTGAAGGACTCTAATGGTTTAACTGTTCCGGAACTGATTCCAGATGCATTTGATGGTTTCCTAATGGGATCTAAAGGTGTCCTACAGGAAACTAGTGGTCTCTAATGGTAACCATTAGGCCCATTAGAAAGCAAACTCATCAGGTTTTAATCCTGGTGGTTCTAATGGTCTTTTCCAGCAGGGAGAATCTGCCATTAAACCTATTAAACGCTAGTTTCAGCCCCTTTAAGTGAGGAGAATGGGGGGCTGTGTTGTTGGTGCTGTACCTCCACAGAGCCACATCAACCCGGTGTGGTTCTGTGAGAATCTGACGGATAAATGGCGCAAAATAACCGTATCCTTACATCCTTTTGCGCATGACAAACACACAGCTGAAACCTTTATAACAGCACTGACACGCCTGTAGTGGAGGAGTGGCTGAGTGGGGGCGCTGTGTGGCCGTGAGGGCTGCGCGGGGCGTGTCTAAGCTTTGATTGACGTCTGTCCTTGAGCTCCCGAGAGAAATTAACCGAGCTTGTGTTGCTGTGGAAAGAGTGAGAAACGACGGGGAGAAGAGCGGCAGATGTGAGGAGGGGAAACCGGTCCTGCCGGACACGGTCTTCAGGGAGAAGTTAGGCGCTTCGAGGTTTGGAGAGGAGGAGACCCGCCAGGAGTGAACGCACCTCCTCCGGCGGGCGAAGAAGTGTTTCAGTGCGTGTTTTAGCTGACCCGGCTGTGTGAGCAGCGCACAGACTGATGTAGGAGAGCTAGCTAAAGTTACCCCGCGGGCACAAACACACACACACACACACACACACACGCGCGCGCGCGCGAGGCTTCCTGAAATATTCCGACCAGCTCGTGTTCAGCCTGTCCGCAGCGAGGTGTGTGTTCGGCGGTGCACAGTTCAGTGAAGTCCGCCTGTTTTCTAACGCCGCTGGTTAAACGCGCTGGAGCTCCGTTCATCTCTCTCTGTGGAGGTCTGTCTGTCTGTCTGTCTCTCTGCCTGACTGTCTCACTTCATGGCCCTGAACGCGGACGGATTACTGCAGATCGGCTCCTCCAGCGACAGCTTAACCCCACACACTGATGGACTCTGGGGCTGAGTGACTGAGTGAGTGAGTGTGGGGTGAGTATGAAGTGTGGAGACTGTGTGAGGACCTGAGCCTAAACTTGACCCTCACCATGGACCAGAAGAGGAAGGAGGAGAACGGGACAGGCTCACCAGCACAGCCGCAGCTCCGCATCAACGTGCCGAGCACAGCAAGAGAAAGAATTCCCAGGTACTGTGGAACAGCTGCTCTTTTTATTATGATTATTTATTTAAATACTGAAGTGTTGTGTTTTTGTGTGTGTTCCTACTTTTGAATTTGAAAATTGGCGTATGTAGTATGATGGATAGATAGATGTACTTTATGTGTGTGCAACAACAGTGTAAAAAACACGAGGGAAAAAAGTCCTGCGAGGTCCTGCTCAATAGTGTAACACCTAGAACTCTACTACAAAACTCCCACCACTGAAAGTATAGAATCTCACACCATTAAAGCTAACCAAAACAGTCATACACCATCAAAACCAGCTACTACAGTCATACAACATTAAAACTACAATCATACACCAAAAATTACTACAATCATGCATTAAATCTAACCACTACAGCCGTACACTATTAAAACTAACCACTACAGTTGTACATCGCTAAAACTAACCGCTACAGCCGTACACTATTAAAACTAACCACTACAGTTGTACATCGCTAAAACTAACCGCTACAGCCGTACACTATTAAAACTAACCACTACAGTTGTACATCGCTAAATCTAACCACTACAGCCGTACACTATTAAAACTAACCACTACAGTTGTACATTGCTAAAACTAACCACTACAGCCGTACACTATTAAAACTAACCACTACAGTTGTACATCGCTAAAACTAACCACTACAGCCGTACACTATTAAAACTAACCACTACAGTTGTACATTGCTAAAACTAACCACTACAGCCGTACACTATTAAAACTAACCACTACAGTTGTACATCGCTAAAACTAACCACTACAGCCGTACACTATTAAAACTAACCACTACAGTTGTACATCGCTAAAACTAACCACTACAGCCGTACACTATTAAAACTAACGAGTACAGCCATACACTATTAAAACTTACCACTACAGCCGTACACTATTAAAACTTACCACTACAGCCATACACTATTAAAACTTACCACTACAGCCGTACACTATTAAAACTAACGAGTACAGCCATACACTATTAAAACTAACCACTACAGCCGTACACTATTAAAACTAACCACTACAGTTGTACATCGCTAAAACTAACCACTACAGCCGTACACTATTAAAACTAACGAGTACAGCCATACACTATTAAAACTTACCACTACAGCCGTACACTATTAAAACTAACGAGTACAGCCATACACTATTAAAACTAACCACTACAGCCGTACACTATTAAAACTAACGAGTACAGCCGTACACTATTAAAACTAACCACTACAGCCGTACACTATTAAAACTAACCACTACAGTCGTACATCGCTAAAACTTACCGCTACAGTCGTACACCCCTAAAACTAACCACTACAGCTGTACACTATTAAAACTAACCACTACAGCTGTACATTGCTAAAACTTACCGCTACAGTCGTACACCCCTAAAACTAACCACTACAGCTGTACACTTTTAAAACTAACCACTACAGCCGTACATCGCTAAAACTAACCACTACAGCCGTACACTATTAAAACTAACCACTACAGTTGTACATCGCTAAAACTAACCACTACAGCCGTACACTATTAAAACTAACCACTACAGTTGTACATTGTTAAAACTAACCGCTACAGTTGTACATTGCTAATTCTAACCACTACAGTCATACACCATTAAAACCCTTAACATCAATCCTGCACCATTAAAACCCTCAACTACAACCTGACCCCACTGAAACTCACAATTAAGGGTGGACAATATGAGAATATTTCATCATCATTATAATAAATTATGTAACAATATACTTTTCTGAGCATATAAAAATTTTCTCCAGTACTTTTATGATTTGTTCCTAGACCAACTGCTAGTCTTGTTTTATTAGATTTTGCACCTACCTCATTTTACTACCTCATTAAAATTAAATATTGTGAAACATATCCAGTCAAAATGTTTTCATATTGTTTCATGTCATATTCTAGTTTTGCTGTATTGCTCTTACCCACTCACAACAACTGTGCACTGTAACCTTCAAAAATAAAGCTCAGAACTGTAACCCTTACACCACTAAAACTCACAACTGAGTTAGACTGACACATCACTCAAACTTGCAGCCTTTCACCAAACACCAATAAAACTTGCAACTACAAACCCAACACCATTCAAGCTCACAACAAACTTGGGTGTGGACACCACTGAAACTCACAGCTACAACTGAAACCATTAAAACATCAAAATAACTTGCTTCCCAACACCTATACAGCTCATTACTGCACCAGCTAACTTCTGTCCCTAACCCACTAAATCTTCAGCCCTTTTGCACACTTTTACTGATGTGCGTCTCGTTTTCCTGGATTGCCCAAGGCAGCTCTTGTGTCACGGGGTCTTCATTATTAAACACAGGCTCTTTTTGGAGTCCCAGCAGAGTCACCAGCTTGTGTGTTTTCTCAGTGCCCTTAAGCCACTTTATCTTGTTACTTTGTGCTGAATGGAATGCTTTTAACTCTTTAACTCGGGACTCAGAATCTTTTTCCATTCGATCTCCTAGAAGGCTCAGGCTGGCTACTGATCCGGTTACGTAACAACCATTTACTGTAGGCCACCTGGAACTACCTGTGCACGAAAAAGGTGTGTTCGAGAAAAAAGCCAAAGACAGTCTGTTTATTATTCTGTCTGTAGTAATATAAGAATTCTGCCTGCTTTCTTTCTGTTCTTTATTTTTCAGAAAAACAAAACTATTAAAACATAATAAAAAGATTTGGTAGTAGTAGATTTTAGGGCCAACCTAAAATGTGGTTTGAGCTGAAATGGCGCATGTCTGACAGATTTCTTAATAGATGAAGTTGCACCACTTTGAATGTCGAACACATGAAAAACAAACTCAGACTTAACACTTATGTTTTAGTCTTGATACCTTTTGAAAGATCTTAAATTAAACTTAAACAGTCAGACACTGACATTTCAGAAGTAAGCCTAAGCAATTATGATATAGAAACAGTGAAAACAACTTTTCTGTCTTAAATGGAACTACTCAGGATACCGGTTGTGCTAACAGGATTGCAGAAACATATATTAAGAGGGTTTTTTAGCAACATAAACTTTTGAAAATGATCATGTATATATTTTAGTTCAAAGCTTATTTTCAAGCTTGCTCTGTTATCTACCATAATCTTAGTACGGAGACTTGCTGATGTTCTTTACTACTGTTTGATGTACCAAAGAGCGAGTGTACTGTGTGTATGTATGAGCGAGTGTGCTGTGTGTGTGGATGTGTGTCCGTACCCAACACTGCTTTTCAGAACCAGCCAGCTGTTTTCTTCCATTTATGGTCATTATTTTGTCTGTTGTCCGTTAGTTGATTTCTCCGTGTTCCCAAGTGTCCTTGAAGCAGCTTTTCCCCCGAATCTACCTGATTCATTACAGGTCCCATATCTGTCTTCATTCTTTAGCACTAATTAAGGTAGATTAGTTTACCCAGAAAGCTACTTTAAGTGATTACTGACAAGATCCATGATCTGCAGCGTCTGTCGTATTACAAGCAATAATTCTGGAGTGAATTACAGTTAAATTAATTAAAAAAACTGCAAAAGATACTAGCAGTGTTCTTATTGAGGGTAGCACCTGTTGCACAAAGGCTGATTTCTAGTCCTGCAAAAATGCACATAATGTATTTGCTTTGAGACGCACAGAACGTGTTCATAGGGAAGTGTGATTTGCAGATGGTGTGACATATACACCTCCAAAATCTATGTTTGAATCTGCAGAACTGTACGTAAAACAAACACTGACTGGCAATCCAGTAGCATTAGGGGTGGGACGAGACACAGGCTATAGTTGGCCAGAGCCAGAGCTAAAATCAAAGTGGGGCAGCTCTAAGACTAAGAGGTGGCAGAAATTATACAACAAATTATTACAAAAACAGTGAAAAGAGTTAAATCTTGGTGAGATGTAGGAAAAATGTTAAGACGTTCCCCCATTTTCTGTACGTTCTAGCTTCGACACTGCCCTCTAGTGCATACTTACACTTGCAGGTGTGCTGGCAGATACCTGTGTTATATGTTCGTATAAATAAAATTCAGCCTTAACACTGACGTCAGCATGACCATGACATTTCAGTCTGGAGTGTGATAATTTGAGGAAATTACATATAGTCATAGGGCTGAAAGAATAATCCCTTTTAAATTGAAATCACATTTTGAAAGCGATGAAATCGCAAGGGTTATTTTAGTTTCTGTTACACTTATTTAACATTAGCTTTGCAAATTTTAGGTGGTGAAATTTAACCTGAAGAGCTTGTGAACTGGCAGTCTGCTATGCTTAGCATTCAGTCTTCATGTCTGAACAAAATGGATGTGTTGGTTTTCTTGGTGAAAAAAGACCTGAGCTAGGTTTTAGAAAATAATCACATTTAAATTGCAATCATAGTATTGGTAAAAAAAATTGCAATATTTTCCAAAAATCATTCAGCCCTATACAGTCATACACAAAAAAAAGTTGAAGACTCCCGGTCAATTTACATGTTTTGTTGAATTTAATTATTTATTTATTTATTTTTTAAGTGAAAATAGGTTAACACATCCTCTACAGGGAACAAACGTAAGTACTTTTCTACTAATTTTAGTACACAATTTCTGACTTTAACATACTGGAAAATAATAAAACATGAAGATAAAATGTACCAAAATCATTCCACAGGCCACATTTTCTGTTTTTTGTCCAATATATTAAATTCATCGGATAAACAGCAATTATGCATTAAAATCTTTAGAAGTGTGTTCTCTGTAGAGGAGGTGTAGGTGAATTTATAATCAACAAAGCATAATTTGACCAGGGGTACCAAGACTTTTGCATACGACTGTACATACTTTATTGACCAGTTACATTTCTTACACACAAGTGAAAACAATCCCGCTTTTTCTATACGTGGTCTTACTGGTGTTGTTGTCTCCATAGTGTGGACCCGTATGGATTCGAGAGATCTGATGACTTTGACTACGAGACCTATGAGGAGCTCATGTCGGAGTACTTGGCCGTACTCACCAGAAGGTCCATCAAGTGGTCAAAAATGCTGCAGGGGAGGAGTCGAGTTGAGAAGAATCTGAAGGGTGAGTGTGAGCTACACCCACTAACACGTGTGCAAACACACTCGAGCGTTCTGCTGTACGCAGAACACACACACTTCAGATCACACAGTGCTGTGTGTAATCTCAAATACACCGACCAACCGCTTCATTAAGTACTCCTGCTTGTATCTACACTCTTTGTCCGTTTTATCAGCGCCATTTACCATACAGGTGCACTTTGTAATACAATTACAGAATGGTGTCAATCTGTTTCTCTGCATAATTTGTTAGCTCCCTTTCACTTAGATTTGAAAAAGAGGGGGGACGAACAGCAGTGGGGGAGAAAAGAGAACAGCAAACATGTACTATTGCAAAGAAATGGAGCAAAAAAAAAGCAGAAGATACACACTGCACCTTTCTAAATAGAACCTAAACACTGAATGTCCTTCAACTGTGTGCATTCCTACACTGTGATTTCACATGGCCATGACCAGTGTGAGATACTGTCCTCCAGATTTGTTGTGGTTCATTAACCCTTTGTAAATCTGTCTTAGAATTGTTATTCTCAGTTCCAGTCTAGTACATTTATGTGCCTCGACTGCTTGCACACCTGACACAGCTTACAAAGGGCTTCATAACGAGCTCGTGAGCTGAGTCAGGCGTGTCGAGAAGAGTCCCAGTACTGAGACTGAGAACTGTTGTCTTAGAGCAGTGAAAGAATTAAACAAGACACCGCCTGTGTGTAGAAACCTGTGTGTGGAAGTTGAACAACTGTTCCGCTGTCTAGTGATGCAAGGGACCGTGTGTTATTTGGACTAATAACAGACAGAGGAAGTCTCAGAACCAAACATGTAGTGTTGGGAAGCCATCCACGTCATACAGTCGTTAACTACTTCAGCTTTCTGGCTTAAAAGACATCTTTTATTTAGAAAAGTCTTTTTCATTTAAAGTATATTGCAGACGTAATCCAGTTTGAAGCACCTCCGTACTGTGCGTTTCAGTGTTTTCCCTGCTGTAACACTTCAACTCAGGAAGGGCTTGTTAAATAGCTACAGAGACTTTCATGACTCCGTTACATGATGGGAAACGGACACTGGAGCATGGCCAGGGTACTGATAGTTCTGGGTTTGGATTTGTACTGTACTGCCTGGAAAAAAAGCGCCTTTAGAGACGTCAGTTATGATCCTTTGGTCTGTCGTGATCATAAAATTAAAATAAATAGTTGAACAGTAATCAAGCAATGTGTAATAACTGCGGCAGGCCAAACGACCCTGTATGTTCTGCTCCTACAGTAAAACGTTACGTACGGAAGGGAGTCCCGAATGAGCACCGGGCTTTGATCTGGATGGCAGCGAGTGGCTCTCAGGAGCAGATGGAGAAGAACCCAGGCTACTACCAGTCACTGCTTCAAGCCCAACATGACCCTAAACTGGTGGAGGCCATTCGCACAGGTTAGCATGGTGTGATGACATTTGGACCTTCACGATTACACGATTAAACTTAAGCACATCATCATTAATAACATTCTCAATTAATAAAGAATGATTAATTGGATGGTTGATCATAATGCATATTTAAAATTTTTCTAGTGGAGAATTTCACAGTAAATAAACCCATTTATATGCATTCTTTTGTCACATGAGGCCAGTATCCCAAACTCAGAATAAGGGCTAGGTTGGTATAATGGTAATGAGATATACTGCAGTATTTCAAAATGATGAGGGTTTTTCAAAATACCACTCTTAAGAGTATTAATTTTCTAAATGTGTGTAATTTGAACATGATTTAGCTGGAACTGAGCTTGTACTTTGGTCTGTGGCACTTTTGGTCTGCTAACAAAGCTATGGTTAGCATAACATTAGCTAACGGTACAGCTCCTCAGAAACACCACAGAAACTGATTTCGGCAGTCTGTCACTCCAACCCAAGTCATTTACCAGTCATTTAGATGATAATGCCTCAAACTCAGAACTCAAGTTTGAGACATTATCTTGTAAACTTGTCAGTGTAGCTTCAGTTAGCCAGAATCAAACCTGTCCTGTGGTGAGCAGAGCTGTTAGCATGTTGGCTAAGGTAAAGCCAACCAGCTCCTCTCTCCTAATTAGCAGCATTGTTTGACATTTACCAGTTGTTGTTGTAAGATAGATGTTTTTACATTTTTTGAATAATGTATTGACAAATAATAAGTATGATCCTCCATTTGTCAAAATGTGGGTTCTCAAACTTCTCACAACACAAAATGGTTAGCCAGCACCGGCAGCAACCACTGTTCCTTCTTGCTACATCACCACAAAATTAAAGCTGCCACTTCAACGTTAAAACACAAAAGTTGCTCTCTAGAAACAGTGTTTGGTTTGTCCTTTCTGGGCTACTGTAGAAACCTTTAACTGTACTGCACCTTTAAGTTCTGTTTTATTGTGCAGCTTGTTTTTATAAACACTGAACTCTGACTCAGTCATCAAAATTAATCGGTAGATTATTTGGTAGCTTATATATTTGATAAATGAAATGGCAGCACTGTCAGATGTTTGTTTTTCAGGCTGAACGTTTGCACAGCATGTATCCCAGCTCAGTGCTCATTTGTCTACAGATTTGCACAGGACCTTTCCAGACAATGTGCAGTTTCGGAAGACAGCCAACCCGTGCCTGCAGAAGACCTTGTATAATGTACTGCTAGCCTATGGACACCACAACAAGGCAGTGGGGTACTGTCAGGTAGACTTTCCTCTCTAAACTTTGATCTGGATACTTCTGTATTGCTGAGTTAGAGGAAAAACAGCTGGCTGCAGGGTGGCCTGCTCCTAAGAGTGGTAATGAAGGGCTGAATGCAAGTTAATGTTTTGAAGCTCTAGTGTAGGTAATACAGAGATCAAAGTCTACCACAGCCGGCTTTTTGGCTTCCTTTGTCATAATAGGGTGTTTACAGTGTCCCTGGTGTGGTTTCAGGGCGTGCCGGAATCCTCCTGTGCAAGGTGAAATAATATTTTCCGTTCTGACAATGTAAACCTTTCAGGAGCTCCTAACAACTGATTTCCAATGCAAATATTTCCACAAATTCATTGCGCCACCTGCTCTGTTTCTGTTTAATGTAGTAACCACCAATTTTACCTGTGTTTTTGCATTTAACCTTTATCTGATGCACTCTGATGGTAGTTAACAGGTGATACTTTTTGCAGGGGATGAACTTCATTGCTGGGTACCTCATCATCATCACCAAAGATGAAGAGAAGTCCTTCTGGTTGATGGAGGCCCTTATAGGCAGGATACTTCCAGGTTTGTGTAGCTTATGTGATTTCTCTGCTTGTGTAGTTAATTTGACTTTGATGAAAATGACAGTAATACAGGATATGAGGTTTATGTGTACTCGGTGGCCAAACCTGCTCTATAGATTAATAGGTTAGCATGCCTTTTAAAGTCAACTGTATATTGCAGTCCATGCCTTTTTTAGCAGCACTGCTGTATTTAAGAAGTCACTTGACTATCTGAATCAACATTTTGTACACTGTATAAAGTCCTTATTGGCCTTATTCATGAATAAGCTATTGTATGGTTGTCTTTAGATTGGATAGATTAGATTAAGAGACCCATATGAGTCCCTCAACGGGGAAATTTCACCTCCACACTTAACCCATCAGTGCAGTGAAACACCACCTACACACAAGTGAATGCACACACATTAGGGGGCAGTGAGCACACTTGCCTGGAGTGGTGGGCAGCCCAATCCGCAGCGCCCGGTGCCTTGCTCAAGGGCACTTCAGCCACGTACTGTCGGTTCAGGGGACTAAATGTGCAACCTTCCGGTCACAGGGCTGGTTCCCTAACCTCCAGCCCACGACTGGCTGCAAATTTAATTTTTAATGAAAATTTATATGAGAATTATGTTTTTGCACTTGACTACTGCTTAGAATGAAGTAATTGTTGTAAATGAGTGCAGTGTACCTTAACAGGTGATTTTTTTTAAAATCTATTTTAATATAATCTATTTTAAATATATTTTAAATAACGTGTATTAGCTAACTATGCTACATTAATTACTTTGGATCGAGTAATGTTGCAGTGGAGAAGAGCGAGTTTAATTCCACATCAGAAAAGTGCTTCTGTACAGCTATAAGTAAAGTATGTTTCATAGTTTTGATCCTCATCTGTCTCTTTCAATAACACTCACTGTAGCACAGTCAGAACAGCAATTAAATCTGAGTAGCTCGCGCATGTGGAGTTTTACATCTTGTTTGAGTCTTTCGTTTGGCCGGTTGAGCTGTAGTTAAATGTTATCTAAAGCCTGGCATTTGCGATTTTAGAAATATTGTTCTTCGGTGACTCACACTGTTTGTTTAAATAGCCTGTTGTGGACAGACAAAACATATGATTTAAATACTCACACTATGCACCTGGTCAGATTGACATGCTACATTTGATTGACACCAGGTCTCCTCCTGGAGACCTACTTTCCTGCAGAGTTTAGTTTTGACCTGCATCTAACATGCTGCCCTGTCATTACTTAACACTAATACATCTGATCCAGCCAATCAAGGGCTTCTAAAGAACCTGATGTAGCTGGAGCGAGTGTGCTAATTTTGTAGCTAAGTAGATGACTAGATAACTTTTGCCTTAAGAGTAATGAATGTGGAGGAACTGCTAGGGGGCTGTTGGCCATCAGGTTTTAAAAGAAAAGAAAAGAAAACACAAAAAATGGTTGTTCTGGCAGATTGCCAGCTAGATATGTTTGTTTGTGGAGCAAGTCAATGTAAAGTGTTTTACTTTTCAAAGTATAGAACTGATCCATCATGGATAAATGGTTAAAAGAGTCTTTAAAAAGGAATAATACTAGGCTAGGCCATCTACAAGTAAAGCAGCCACTGTATCTCAGACTGAGAAAACCTTGCGTATGCTTGGAGATATGTATATCCAAACCTGTTGAACTGAGACAGAACACATTTGCAACTGTCCTCTCGTCAGTCTGACATCCAGCACTCATAGCTGCCAAACAAGATCAGCTATCTCATTACTTGAGTCAGAAAAAAAAATCTAAGAAATCTTCTTGTGGGTTGCAAAAGGTTTTTAACCCCTGGTCTAGATCTGATATTGCTAACTAACCCCCCCATGTTTTTAAATAAATCCCACTCTGTTCTAAAGTAGGTGTACCTAGTAAATTGGTGTAAAATTTGAGTTGTATTATAGTGCCTTGCCACATATAAATAAGAAAATATGCCAATCACAGTGAGCACAATAAATGCACAACTGAAATGAACTCTACTGTTGAAAGCCTATCAAGCTTTCAGTGTGTGTGTTACACCACTTACCCAGCTAAAGGTTGAGCAAACCACTATTAAGACATTACATTGGTTGCCTGTACTCAATCAGTCAGTGTCTCAACTTACTGTACATTCATGGTATTTTTGACGAGTTGCAGCTATAAATATGAATGAGAGTCGACTGGCGTGTGTTTAGGTGACTCAACCAGAGCTATTCTGAGCACCTTGCCGCTCCTCCTGAGCTATGAATAATCTGCTCTCAGGTCACATGATTCTGATCTGCTGCAAGCCTGTTAAACTCCGGTCACACCCGGGAGAGGGAGACACACTGCTCGCACATGAAGTTAGCCTCACAACCACACTGACTTCCGGTTCTGTGTTACCTGCTTTCTGGGCTCGTGGCACTGCAGTGTTGTTGAGGGCCTCAGGGCGTTAGAGAGTCATGGCTACGTCGCTTGGTGATGGTGGTGCAGGCATTCTAGGCTTTTTTTAATCCTAACCTTTTGTGTTATTATAATGCTATTTTTTTTATAATACTATATTTTTTTCTAGTCTAGCATGACTTCTGTCTGGTTACTCATGATCTCCTAATATATTATAATGTAACATAAATCTAACATCTTGTTAGATTTGAACCTTCCTAGACTTTTGTTTTGCCATTTATAACAGGACTATGGTTAAATTAATGAGAGATCTAGAAGCTAAAAGAAAATGTTTGGCCAAAAATCTAATTTGTGTAATTTTCCCCTAAAACCAAGCATAGTTGATCAGCCCAGATGTTTGTTTCTTTAGTTTTGCACTGGAGATGGCAGGCTAATGGAAGCTTAGCCACCAGTTTCAACCAGCATGCGAAATCATCTAAAAAAGCTTTCTTATGGGGTTTCTGACACCGTGTGACGTAGTTATCTATAAAAAATACATAACAGTAGTAGCAGCCACTGTGAAGCTTGAAATTTGTCTGTCTTTCTGTCCATTTATATACAGCGGGGTCCAAAAGTCTAAAACCGCTGGTGAAAATGCTTTTATTTTGTATTTTTTTTTAATCCAATACAAGGTTATTCATTATAAATTAGATTGTTGGCGTAGCAGTTTGTGTGAAAAGTAGAGTCTTTGAAATTTTAATTTTAATTTCAGATTTTTTTCATAGTGTTTGGTGTTTGGTCACCCTTTTCTTTTAATGGTAGCATGTGCTTAAGCTGGCGGTGAACTCGGCAAACTAAAAAGTTTGTGCAAAAGCCTTTAATGAGTAGATCAGAAAGAGTTCAACAGGAGCTTCAACAGAAGGGATAAGACTATAAAATACTAAAAAATCTGACCTACAAAGGCCTTAACATGGTCAGTGTCACAAATTTGCTTAAATTTGAATAGAGACTTAGAAATAGTGCTGAATATTGAATATTTCTTCATTTTACTTGTCATAATTTTCTTTTTTTCCACATTTTTTTTTAAATTCTAAACTTTTCTGTTTGTTTTTAAGTTTAAATGTAAAAATATCCCATATTTTAAATGTGGTTTCTGACTTTTAGACCCCACTGTAGACAACAATATCTCATACAGTATCAGAAAGCACATAAATAAGTCTTCTGAGAATACTGCTAAACTTTTTGTTTTACACTGCAAAAAAATGATGTATAAGCAAATAATTTTACTTGTTAATTTTGTTGCTGGTAACTTGTTGCTGATTATTTTTAACAAGTCAAAGGTGTATAGAAATAGGTTAAATAACCTCATAATAATCTGATTACAATCTCATAATGAGTAATATTAGATGTATTAACTACATGTAAGATTGCTTAGATTTTGTTTGAAATGTAGAGCTTTCCTTACTTGTCAGCTGCTTTGGCCTCATAGCTCCAGTCCAAAGCTAAAGAAGCAAACATGTCTTGGCTAATCAGCTGCATTCAGGGTAAAAGCAAAATTGTTTAAATCAGATTTTTTGATCACTTGAATGTAACACCCAACTCCCTCCATCTCCTAGATTACTACACACCAGCCATGTTGGGCCTGAAGACAGACCAGGAGGTGCTGGGCGAGCTGGTGAAGGTTAAAGTGCCGGCTGTGTGGCAGGCCATGACTGAGCACAACGTCATGTGGACACTGGTGGTGTCGCGCTGGTTCATCTGCCTCTTCATCGATGTCCTGCCTGTAGAGGTAAGAAAGTGAACACAAGTCCGGGGTGACAAGTGAACATGATGTGGAAACAGAAGTGTGACTAAAGGTAAAGCTTGGCTTTCTTTAGGGAAGATGCCATGAAAGAGCTAGAAAGAGCTCATATGGATTCACCAACAAGGCAGGATTGCTGTTTGTCACATGCACAAACAAATGACTACTTTCCTATGCTGAACATTTTAGTCTAACTCACCCATTTTTCACTCATGAGGGCTTTGTTAACTGTCTCATGAGTTCATCAATGCCAGAGCCAATACTTAGATGAGTCGTCTTCTACATTTAATTTTTTCTGCTCAGTGAACAATGATTTGGAAATGTTTTGGCTTGTCCAGGTAGCATTGAAAACAGAGAAATATCTCTTCTAACTGCAGTTTAGATGGTTAGTCGAGCCGCACTTCAGTTACTTCAGACCTCTCAGTCATGTCTGTGGCACATTAAGGCACTCATCATTTGTAGTAATTGTTCTTCACTGAGTGAGAAGGATGAGCTGCCAGTTTAAGTAAACCTGTCCTGTATCTCTCATAAACACATAGACGTAACTATAAGGCATCAACTTTTTTTTCACCATTTACAGCTTTTAACATTTACAGTTCTACATGTGAGAAGTTGACACTGTGAGTCTTGTGTCAACTTTTGACAACGTTGAACATTTTGTTAGATGGAAGTAAATGCAATGTGAAGAGATTTGCCAGCCTTGTTGGGGAAAAGATGAGCTATTGGATTTACATTCAAGCTAAACGATTGTTCTCCGGACGCCAGGGAATGTGGGGGCAGGTCTCAGAGGTGGGTTTACCCTTGTTAGCAAAGGATTTAGCTGCAGTCCAGCATCAAACATTTAAACGGTTAACTTATTATGAGATCACGTCTGGCCCCACAAGACTAACAGTGAATATGTCCAAAGATATTTTACTTTGCTAATGGGATTGTGCTTGTTGGATAACTTCCATAATATATCTGACTTTGAGAACCTCATGACACTTCGTGAGCGCCAAATGACTTTGCAGATTAGCAGAAACTGGAAATGGTGGGAGTTGGTGCTGGATTTAAGCTGATTTAAGCTTCATTGAGCCCCAAAGAACTTCTGTATGTTTAAGACTTTTGTCAAATTTAGCCCTTCCCCCAAAGTTAAGCTGAAAGTCTTAGCATAGGACTTGTTGTTACTCTGCGTTTATTTAAGACGGTTCTGCGGATCTGGGACTGCTTGTTCTACGAGGGATCTAAGATCCTGTTCCGCGTGGCGTTGACTCTGATCCGCCACAACCAGGACCTCATCCTGCAGGCGCGGAACCTTCCAGACATCTGCGACCGCTTCAAACAGATCACCAAGGGCGCCTTTGTGGAGGACTGCCACACTTTTATGCAGGTGGGTTTTGTTTATATGCACATAAAGAGCTGATTCAGATGCAGGGCAGTGCCAGCCATTCAGTGGTTGCCCAATATTATGCTCATTTTTAAGACTGGCCAGCTTTAACATTCCAAGCAATAACATTTTTTGGTCATGTATGTTTCTTTTCTCAAGGCCAAGAAAAGAAACTGTGTACTTTGTATCTGCTCTCAAATCCATTATATGGTCTTATCTTCCAGAATATGCAAATTCTGACATTCATATTCTCTGGACCTTCTGACTTCCTAATGCTGTTCGGAATTTTTTTCTTCAGAAAATTTTCAAAGAACCTGGCAGCCTCTCCATGGCAACCATCACCAAGCTGCGGGAGGCCTGTCGAGCGCAGATTATGGCTGAAGAATCCTGACCCTGTCCCAAACCCCCACCCCTCCTCCCCAACGCTCCAAGCATTCCAGACTCATTTGCACTGTCCTACTATACTGAGACTGTTTAGAGTCTGTTATTTAGTTCCTACATGACAAAATGAAGATACAGGGGACTTTTTTTCTTACATTGTTAGATGTAGCCTGTTCCGTAACCTAGAACTCTACAACGAGTAGCTGGGGCCACATTGAGTAAGACTGTATGTTGCTCAGATTGTACAGAGCAATAATTGCTGATTTACTATCACACCCACTGTAGTGAATTGTATCTCTGTGCAATATTCAGCTTTTAAACATGGCCTAGATTTGCTTAAATGGACTTGCTGTCAGTTTTGGGAGTCTTATCTCAGAGACCTGCTCTAATATAATATATCGCTGTTGTCGGAAGAAGACCTTGTATCTCCAAAATAAGAACAGGAAAAGAAGGAGAAACCTTCTTTACTTTTAATGTCAATGGAACCAGAATTTTTCCAAGTAAGTTTAGTCCATTCATTGTGAAATTTACATACACTGTAAAGGGCAACAGGCATTTTTTATGTCAAAAACTGAAAAACTTCAAAAATGGAGATACAAGGTTTTCTTCCAACAGCAGCGATATGGTGGTGGTGGCACAAGTCTTAAAGGTTTCGGCCTGATATAGATTTTTTTCCCCCCAACGGCTTATAAACTTCTCTTATAAACTTTGCACATTTCTCCAGATAGACACTTTTTGGGGTCTATGTGGCTTTGATGACTGTTAGTTGAACTACTGTGAAAAGGAGAGTCCGGTACTACTGTGTATGCACTACGACATGGAATGTTTTTCAAGGGCTTCCGTCAAGAGACTTTCCTCCATGTTCGAGTCAAAACAAATCTTGATAATAAAAAATACTTTGAAATTGTTCAGCACTTGTCATGACGCATGTGGTCTGTGTCAAGAAGATCATGTAAAGTGTGCACGATGTCAGGAATTCTCACCTGTGGAATGTGTAAAATCTTTTCTCTGACCCCTGTAATGTCAGTCTTTTATAGAATTAAAAGCTTTGATTCTGATACTTCAGGGTCATTCTTGTAGTTTTTAATGCCTACAAAATGCAGTCTTTTTTTTTTCCAAGCAGTTCTAAGATCAGCTCATCCTCCGTATTCCTGAAAGGCAAATAGAGATGGCACCAATTTAGTAGCAGTATTGAGCCGATATCTGCAAAGAATGGTGAATCGCATGTTGGAGGGGAAAAAGAACGAATCTGATTCAATCCTGTAACAAACCTGTCCTGAAATAGCACACGCTCACACTAAGTGCTGTGATTTTAATAGTGTTTAAGTGGCATGATAACCTACTTTCAGCTCATCAAATGATGTGCTTCAATTAAAGCGTAGTAGTTTTTACTGAAGAAATATCAAATCAGTATCAGCTGAAAAAATTATATTGTGCCATCTCTAAGGGCAAACTGATCTTACGTCAGCATGGTTATTCTCTGTTTAATATGTATTTCCTGGTGTTTGTTTTTGGCAAATGTATGTGAAAACCCCTAGGATGAATCGAGGTTCAGCAGGAGATGTAGTTTCAGTGGTAGATGTGCAAATCAACACTAATCTTAGAACAGGTGGACAATTAAGTGTTCACCCCATTTATTGACCTCGCCAAGATGCTTTTAAAAAACACTACAAAAATAAAAGCTCAAATCACTGCAATGTATAACCACGACAAAGCAGATCAGATGAGATGCAACAGAACGTTTCCAACAATTCTTCAGTTTCAAACCTCATCTGCTGTACATAAAACAGGAGGAAAATGTAACTGCACTGCAAGCGCATACAATCAAATTGTACAGTTATATTCTGTGCTATAATTTCATCAAGGACAGTTTCATTACAGAGGGGGTCCAAGGGTCTGAGACCACAATGAAAATGAGATTTTTCTTTTCATTTAAACATGGAGGCTGACAGAATGCTTTAGAAGATGATTTCAAAGTAAGAAAAGTTATGACAAGTAAAATAAAGCAGACATTTAAGATTTTGCACTATTTCTGGGTCAGTTTTCAAATTTAAGCAAATGTGATGAAATAATTCTGATAAAATAAAAATGTTTTTTTTTTTTAGCTTTTTCTCTTCCATCTATTTCTTTGATCTATACGTTAGAGGATTCTGCAGTCGTAAAGTCAATGCAAATTCAATGTAAATATTTCAAAGATTCTGCTTTTCACTCAAATTGTTATGCTGATAATATCATTTGTAACTATATTCATTTAGAAAACAATGCAAAATAGATGCATTTTCACTAGTGGTCTCAGACCTTTGGACCCTACTGTGCAGTCGTACGCAAAAGTTTGCACGCCCCTGGTCAAATGGCAAGTTTTGTTGATTTCCGAAGTGTAAATAAGTTACACATCCTCTACAAAGAACACACTTCTGCACATTGTAATACACGATTACTGTTTATATGCTGAATTTAACAAGTTGGAAAGAATTTTATGTTTTCCTTTCTGTTAAACAGTGCACAAAAATTTGCAGAAAAATGCCATATTTAAATTTGTTTCATGTAATAAACGTGTTAACTTATTTTCACATAAAAACAACAAAATGTGGAATTTGATTGGGGTGTTCATACTTTTGCATGTGACTGAATGCAATATAGCAAACTACTAAACTCCCTGAACATCATTTCAGAGCAAACAGAGCTGTAGCACCTCACTGCATTATGCCACCTTTGAGAGTGAACACGTACAGTCGCATGCAAAAGTTTGATCGTTTTACGTTACATGTTTTACATGTTTTGTTGAAAACATCCTCTACAGACAACAAACCTAAATGTGGCATTTTTCTGCACATTTTAATGCACAATTTCGAGTTCGACATATTGGAAAAAAATAAAACATGAAATACTAAATGTGCCACGACTTTGGGACAGGTCACATTTTATGTTTGATTATTTTTCCAGTATGTTAAATTATTTTCACTTGGTAAGTCAAGAAGATTTCATTTGATCAGGGCTGCCCAAACTTTTGCATACAACCGTGCATCTGCCATATTGTCTCTGCTGTACATGCTTATTAACATCGTTAAACTGCAGCTAAAACCTTGCCAGTGAATATTTTATGTCATCCAGTCAAACTTAAACGTTTAAGTCCTCTACATTTCTGTAGTGCTGAATTCACATCCTGGAGGAGGATGCACAGACTGATGAGCGACGTAAATCCTGTAGAAGTGGGCTGGGATATAATAAGACAGGCGTCTGCAGATGCTCGTAATCTTCCCTTTTCGCTGGAATCTCCAGAAGAGTCAAGATGACCATTAAGCAACAAAAGGCAAAGAGGGAAAACAAAGCAGAAAAAATATATGGATAATGTTTTTAACCCAGCACTCTTGTCCACAATTTATTTGTCCTCTCCTGATCCATTCAAGGCCTGAATACACTGAGGAGCACTGGACAAACTGCCATGTAAAAAGAAAAGTGTTGACAGTGGCTGAATAGAACGTTTGTTTTAGTATTTAATAAAACACATTAATAACTTATGAAGGGGGCAAATTCACACACCACTCCATACTGTCCATATATGGAAACTATGCTGCAAAACCAGCCCGTTTTGAACTCACTACTTTTACCTATTCAGTCTACAAAAGTTTAGCCTCACCCATCCACACTGAGGTAATAAGGAGCGTTTCAGCCTGGACTGTTTCTTGAATGACTGAACGGCACAATACAGAGCAGCCAATCAGAACGTAGCTCATTTGCATATAGGAGTCTTAAAGGCACAATAACAGCCTGTTTAATTGTAAGGGATAAAGTACTGACACATGGAACTACGGGGTCAATAAACACCGTGAGCAGAAGGAATGAAAGCCCCAGATTCAATAGGCTGATGTTAAAGGCTGTAGTTTTCCCCACAGGCGTCTCCTCAATGTATCCAGGCCCTTAAATCAACCTGAGAAAGTCAATTTGTAAAGTTTTCTGCGAGAGAAGAGGGACGCAGAGCGAGAATAAGATCCGAGTCCTAATGCAGCAGGTTCCCTAACGCGTGATAATACTAGAAAAGCGCATCAATTATTTAACCGGGGCTTGTTCGCCCTCGTCATTTGATGCCGCTCGTCTCTCTCTCTCTCTCTGGCTTGGGTTTCTGTTTCAAAGATGTGCTCACCCAGACACTTACAGACCGCTTTTCCTAAACCCTGCGCTTCATCCACATAGTTTACTTACTGGTGGAGCAGATTAAAGCAATATGTTTGGTGAAATTTTGCAAATTTACATAATTTTGCTTACCTAAAATGTAGCTGATCAGCCAAGTTATATTTGGTGTCTTTAGATTTGCACTGGAGATACGAGGCTAATGTAGTTAACAAGTACTAGAAGCTTATTAGCATTGTACAAACAATGTCTAAATCAATCATCACACACTTGTAAGGAAGCTCATTAATTATTTTTGCCCAATACTGACATACTAAATCAAAACAATGACATTTTATCAAAACGTAGACTTACTATGTCAAAATAATGATTTGCCCTCAAACTTTTTACTGTCAAGATAATGACTTACTACATCAAAATAATCGTTTAGTATCTCGAAATTCAACTTTTTTCAAAATGTTGGCTTGAAATGTTGAAGTCAAATTATTAACTTATTTTCTCAAAATTCTGACTTAATATGTCCAAATAACGATTCCCGAATAATATTCATCTTATCCTCTTTGGATGCTTCTCCAAATAACTCCTTATTTTCTTCAGAGAACTGAGTTCTTGGCTAAAATAGAAGACTGGATTGGAAAAGACTTGCGCAAAGCCACTCTGTCCCTCTCTGGTTAAAAACAAAAACAAAAATCGTAGTCATTTTATAACTTAAAAGGCAGAATGCTTATTTACACAAATACCAATTTCTTTAAGTTAACACATCCTCTTCTTCCTTTCTTAACATTTAATAACTCATTATTTCAACACTGCATGTCAGAATGTCAAAAATCCTAAGAAAATAAGCCATTATCTTGAGATAAAGTCAAAATTTTGCCATACACACAGAAGCAGACATCCATGTGGTTTCTGACTTTTTGTTTAAACTTCAGACACCAAATAGCTGAACGACTACATTTGGGGTAAGAGGAAAAGCTACAACTTTAAGAATGCTACTAAATTAAAATTGCTCTTCCAGCCCAGTCTTCTATACACACTTGAGCCTGGTAGTCAAACGCTGTATAATGCCAGTTAAGAGGAGGTTTATGGCTGAAATAGAAGACTGCATGGGAAAGAACTTGCACAAAGCCACCCTGTCCCTCTCTGATTTAAAACAAAAACAAAAAATCGTAGTCATTTTATAACTTAAAAGGTAGAACGCTTATTTACACAAATACCAATTTCTTTAAAAAATAACCTCTGAAACAGACGGACATTGGTACAATGCTGATCAGCCAGGACCGATAAACAATATTAAACAATACGAGAAATCGAACAAGAGGAAATTCTGGGTTTAACTCGTGGGATCTAATCTGAGATACAAAAGGTTTGTGTTGACGGGACTAGAAACAGCTGTTAGTAACAATTAGGTGACTTTGCTTCTTTTTCTCCTTGAGTAATCCAAGAGCATTAGGGGGAACAGACAGAGAAAAAGTGGAACAACAAAGTACACACACTCATTCATGCCCACACACACTCACACAAACAAACAGGCCAGTCTTTTGTCAGCAGAGTCCCAGTCAGGCCATAGTAGCAATGGTTTTCCTCCCATCAGGAAAACGACAGAGATTTTGACTGGCGGCGGTGGTCTTGGTGGAGTTCAAATGGTCTGGTAGCCTGCATGACTCCTCTTTCTGCCAATCAGGTACGCTATAAGAACGATAAGGACCAGGCCAGCCAGGGCAGCACCCACGATGATGGGGATCAGCATGTTGTCCTTGTCCATCTGACACTCCTCAGCTATAAAGGGAGATCATGAGAACGTGAGAACTATTCAAAAAACCAAAGCTGTGTCAGATTATTGAGTAGAGGCATTCATATAGAGATATTGTGTTACACTCCTCTTGCACTCTGCAGGGTGAAATCCTCATCATTCAAAAGTACTTTACGCCTGGGTCTGACTTTATGGTCGTTATGGAACACCTGCTTCTCAACCGCTTGAAATTCAATCAAATTCTCATGGATAAAATCACATCCCGCCCACAACTCTTTCACTCTGAAATACGTCATGCTAAGGAGGAAAAATGCATCCTGGTTTCCGATTCATGGTGCCTTTTTCCAGAACAGTTTACAGCTTGCCTTATAGGAGTTTTATTGGTACATGATAGTGTTATTTCAGGTTCTTGCCTGAATGGGGGATGGAACACCGTTCTTCTCTTTTGCAAGGCAAACATGTTATCCACTACTCTATGCAACTAATCAGTAACTCCTCTAACAGAAGCCCTGAACATCAGAATGAATTCTATTTGGTATCACATTAGTCTAACAAGGGGTTTAATAGACGTTATGATTAGGGATATCATTGACAAACCAATTAACTGTTAACCGACAAATACATACATGTTCAACTTCATTTCCAATAAACAATTGAAGAATTTGAAAAGGAGAGAACTTAGACAGTTTTTTGGATTATATGTATGAGGGCACGGGAGCACAACCTGGTCTGGAGGTCCCACTTAGTGACGCACAAGTCCAGGCTTTCTGAAGTCTCAGAGCCATCGATAAAGGGATACAGCAGATTAAGCCATCCTAAATGTAGTTTACAGCACTAACACAACAGGATGTTTACTTCTGTTTAGTGTAGCCTTGAGGGTTAGTCTTCAAATGTGTCTGTTAGCTAACAGTTATACCATATATGTTGAGGCCATATATGTTCATTAACTTGGGCTAAAATTTGTGGTAAATGTAAGTTAGTAGACTACATAAAGTTTATTTTATCTGTTACATTAGGCTGGATTTTTTCTTTCAATAAAAACCTATGTAAACTGTATTTGATGTTTACATAGGTTGTGTGCATAACTTTGGGTTAGTCTGTTAATGATAAATTTCCATGACTAATAACAGCTGAAAAAAGAAATTGCCAAAATTCACATCACTAATATGAATATTAGTAATTAAATGATAAAATATCAACAGATGGGCCCCATAAATGTGACATTATACTATGTTATTTTTCCCCTATCCCTAGTAACAGCCAGGTGCTTCTGTGCTCAGGTTCCTGTCAATGATCTGAAGGTGACAAATGGTCCACTGTACCTGTTCCAAACTTGTTGCCAGTGACACCAAAAGGCTGCACCTGCAGGCTGAAGGTGTTGAGGGAAAAGGTGTTTGTCACAGGAAGAATCTGCTCAGTTGTGCACATGTAGGAGCGGCCCAGCGTGCCCTGCAGGTAGTTCAGAGAGCTGTTGCCCACAGTGAATGGAGCTGGAAAGAACAACACACACACACATCAACACTTGTTAGATCTTTGAAGTCATTCCTCACTCCATACATAATTCATATGGCAAATCTATGAAAACTGTGCTGAAATGAGAAGTGGCTGCAAACCAAGGCCAAGTTTTGCGATCAAAAAAATCTAAACAGTAGCAAGAACATGGTGCTGCTGCAATATTTCATGGGGTTCTCTGGGATGAGTGTTGTGGCTCTCTTCCTTACCCGTCATATCAGGCCAGGCAGCAGACACGTTCAGAGCACTGAGGTGATATTTTTTGGAGGTGACATTCTGTGGACATAAAGAAGACATACATTAGGAGGAAAAGAAGGATGTGAGTGGAAGAGAAAGAAAATATATGTTTAAGCCCCTCACCAGCATGAATGCGAAGCTGAGGTTGGTGAGGCCATCCATCAGCACCAGAGTGGCAGTTGTGGCCTCACACAACCCTGTGAAAGACGTCCTATTGGGCTGCAGGTTCACTATTCCCTTAACAGTCTGATTGGAAAAATAGAGAGAGATAAGGTTTAGAGCAGCATACAAATCCAATTGTAAAATGAATATACATCATTTATACAGACAGTTTCATTATTTTTCAATTTTGTTTTTAGCACATCTGTACGATCAGGTCAGAGTATGTAGAAATATAGTAATGTAGCTGAAGTCAACCTGAAATCAAAATGTAGCTTTTTTTTTTAACCTTGCATGTTTTTACCATGCATGTCTCTTGTCATATTAAGCATGATCATCATATATTGTCAAAAAAATGCATTATGTACGATTCCCTCGTTAAAACATAGATAAGTAGCGGCATTACTGGAGGAGAAAAAACATGCTACAATATGGTGTGCTTGCGCTGCTGTGAATCGCCCTGTAAAGCCTGAACTTCTAATTTACAAGTCGGAGCTGTCGGGATGTATTTTGCAGGAGTTTTTTTTAGACCGCAACATACATCTTTATATATAAAAATCACACAGCGCAGAGTCAAAAAGAAGGTCCGACTTAATGTTTAGGTCTCAAATACCTAATTTCACTTGGAAATACGTCACAGTACGAAAGGAAATTACAAATTCACATTAACTTGAAATCATCAAAATCAATATCAATAAAATCAATATCAGCAATAAAACAGAAAATATTATTGGCAACAATAATAACTGCGCACACATGAGTTCTTGTACTGAAATTGCAGGTAATTCAGTTTGAATATTGTCATGCAATTAGTAAACATGAAGTGGAATTTGCACTGGGCCTTTATTAGCTCATTAGTCCTTCAATTGGGCAGTAACCATAAACAGAAAAACCACTTGTTAATCAGGGCAGAATTTGCAATGCTAGAAGACCTCAATGCCGCATTTGCACATGAAAGAGCATTGCCTGACCGGGCTTCTTTTAATGGACGACAGCTATTGACTCATGAGCCTGCTGAATGCTTTTCTTTCACTGGCTTTAAATTATACATAAAAGCTGGTAAATTAGAGCAGCGTTTGCAGATGACATAAGCAGTGTGTGTGCACTTGTTGCCATACAGCTGAAAATGATTCATAAGCTGCACTTCTAATCTTGACATCATATGATGGTTTTATGAACCAGAGGTGGAGCAGTTTACCTATCACTCTGATCTGTGCTCGTCTCTACACAATCCTGCTAAATAAGGGACCAATATGACCTTATTAAAACACTTGCTTTACTATTACTAAGAGCCTGAATGTGGTTGAATAAACCACAAAGGGCACGTAGATGTGTTTTTACCTTGTTCTGAGACTTTGAGAAATAGGTGACGTTAAGCTGCAATCCCATATTTGCCAGAAGACACACAGTGCCGTTCACATTGGTGACGTTGTAGTTTCCGCGCTCTGGGTTGCGGGGTGCAGGAGGGGTTGGCGCGGTCGTGGGTGACTGTGTGGGTGCTACAGTTGTGGCATGAAGATCAGCTGAACATACAGACTCTGAAGAAAACACATACAACATAACATGCTCATTATGCAGTACTTACACTGATTATATAATTACATTATCAGTCTGGATAACATAACCGAGAAATTTATAAATAAAATATAGTCAGGTCAGAATGATCTGCAATCTTTGAGCTGAAGAACCCACTGAATACCCTTTCACAGAGTGGAGGGTCAATTCACTTCATTCTCTAATAAATACTGCAGCAGCCAATGCTATCTTTCTCACTTTGTTCTGATTCAGATTTTTTGCTCCACACATACATTGTATGACTTAGCGCAGGGTTCGAAGTGTGGTGGAGGTCTTAAGGGGGTCCCCTGGTGGAAAGTCTGACTATGACATGAGCTATGTATTGATGATATCGATTTATTTTGTAGGCATTATTTGACAGAAGTCATTAAACTTACTATCTGTATCACTGTGAATGACTTCTACTTAGATGTAGGTCTAATAGTGTACCTTTCCTAAGCTAATTTATTAAAATATATTATTTAGGTAGTTCAAAAAAAAAAAAAATAATAATTAAATCTGCAGGCAGGTTTTGTTGGTCCCACAAGAAGTGAATCAAATTTCAATTCTGCCAGAAAAAAGAAAAAAATCCTGGTCATATGTTGGAAGTCTTATTATTGCATGCTGCAAGAAGCTAGTGTGAATGTTACCCACTGGCTTATAGCATGGCTGCTAATAACATTAACTGTCTCTGTGTTCACGGTTGTTACTGACAAAATTAAAAGCATCTAAAGTTTCTCTGAAGTTTGAGATGCACTCGAGCTTTAAGCTTCATTTTTAAACCAGAAAGATGTGGCTCAGAGAACAAGACTGTATGGTTACATTATGCATTAGGGTTGGGTAGGTTACAGTTTATCCAGGAGGAGGAATCTAATGCTGAACACGATAAAACATTAAAAAGAAGGTCACCTTGTGTGAGGGCATGCATTCTGTCAGGAAATTCAAATTTATTCAAGGAAATAACATAGGACCCCTCAAGTTTAATTCTGTCTCTTTTCTCTTACGGACCCCTCAATTGGCTGTTCATTTACTCAAGTCCGAACCAGAGTTTGAGTTTTTGTGACACTGCGTATTTTTCCATTTGGTTTAGTTGGTTTCACACTGCAGCAGCTAAAGTTGACCAAATTTATAAACATGAGCTAATTATACTTATGCACTCATCAGAAATTCAGCAGAGATTCAAGTGCTCTGTTACTCTCATATTTCCCAACACTGTAGCCAACAAAACTCCTACTGCATGAAAATAGGGTACTTAACGTCTATGTGTATCACAGTCAAAGCAATAATAATAAAAAACCTTACTTGATATCTGCTTCTGCTGTTTGTCAGTTTGAATGTAATGAATCAGGTCACTGATGCAATACATTACACGATCCATATGCCAAAATCAAACACATTGCTTTGCCAATATTTTACTGCTCATCTGGCATTATTAGCAGCAGCTTAAGCTGCAAGAGCGATGTAAGCGTCTGTCAAGACTCGACTCTGTCTTGAAACAGACAGATTATGTGGACAGTACTGTGCTGACGTGCTGCCAGAAGAAGAGAAAAGCCTGCTCTGATGCTGATTCGTCTCTCCAGCAGAAAACTGAACCAGCATTTACCTGGAAGACCTGCGATTTTGCCAGTCCACAGTTCAGTTGTTTAGTGCGCACCCAAGTACTCAAGTATAGGTGGAGTGTTCACACCTGTCAAAACGGGCCAAGAAAGTTTGATAGGTCTGCACCAAACAAGGAAGGTGTGAGAGCCCCTTGGAGTGCAACAAGAACCCTTTCCTTTTAATGATAATAGAACTGATATCAAGGTACCATCCTTATACCACTTCTTCCCTTCCAATACCAATACCTGATCCTTGCTGATAGAGAGAACTGATACAGGAACTCTATCTACCCTAACTCAATAGGTGCCTATATATCCTGGTATAAGCAACCACAAAAAACATAATAAGCTTGAATAAAGGGTATTTACTGTTTGGATAACTTGACATTTGAAAGGTTTCAGAACTAAGAAAAGTCACTGTGCTCTTTTGCATGGTTTATCTTTAAATGATTATTTACATTTAACGTATTGAAATCCTTGCTGCTTGTGCCACCTTTCAAAATATTGGCAATATAAATTTTGCAACGAGCATTTTTATAACTGCATGCGAAATAATAACACCAACATTTTGCTTCAGTTAAGGTCCACCTATTGGCATGCATGCAGGTGTCACTCGGTAGCACGGCTGCCCATTATAAATTGCTCAATGGAATCAGCACCCATAAGGATACAGTAACAGTGCCGCACAACGTCTAATAGTAAGAACCACTAGACTTTGTACCTTTGGAGCTGAGGTTGGCGCTGGGCATGTAGGCTTCCATCCGGACGCCTGAGAAGGTGATGGTGACATTGGAGCCCCCAAGACGGATGGAGCTGGAGCTCAGACATCTGTAGGTGGTGTTAAGCTGTGCCGAGATTCCTGTAGCATTTGTATCCAAGGTAACAATTTCTGGAATGGTAAGACAGACTCGCATGTAACTCAAATACACCTTCTCGATACCACTTTCTCTTTTCCAGCACTGAAACCTTGAGTATCAGTTGATACCAATCTGATATGTTCTAATTAATAAATTACTTAAAAGATATAAAATTAAATCTATGGATAATATTTACATACATGCATATCATGATAAATGAGATTTACTTTAGATTGCCAGAAGAAACGCAAAAGATTTGTGACAGGATCAGAATGTGCTCATTTTTTTTGTCTACGATATTCGACCCAGCATTTTCTGCTCAGAATATGATAGCAGATATACTGATGGTCAGTATGCAACCAGTGTCATCAATAACTTAAGTCCTACTCATAAACACCACAGACTAGGGTTTGGCAGAATCCAATAGTTTCATACTTTCAAGCCGTCTCCAAATACTAGCTACTGCAGTTTGTGGTATTTCAGAATAAGCTTTTCAAACCATCATTCAATAAATGTCAAAACATCTGTCTAACAATCACTAAAAGTTGAACCGTGCTGGTGACTAGGAGAGAAGAGCTGTTATCACGCTAGCTAAGCTAAGCTAAACTAAGCTACGCTAAACAGCTCTGCTTAGCACAGAACATGTTAAATTCTGAAAGCTCTGATGAAGTTTAGATGATAACAATTCAAATCTGAGTGAAGTTGAATACCCGGTGTTGAAGGTGCAGAAATGAGAAATTCAACCTGTTCTGTGGTATCTGGATCTATAGCTTGGCTAACTTAATGCTCGCTTAGCGAGCAGGCTACAGACCCAAACGGTGCCAACCACCACAATATAGGTTTCATTCTGACTAACTGCTGCTCTGCTGAAACAAGTGTAGACGATAGAACACTAATGCCTGAGAGAGCAACGGTCAAGTGACTGGTTTCAAGCTGAAACTGAACCTGTTCTGAAGTGTTTGGGTCTGTAGCGTTTAGGCTAAGCTAATAATGGCTTAGTTGGCAGGCCAAGTGAGATTCAACAGTTTTATTGTCATATGCACAGCAGAATCAGGCAGTTACACTGTACAATGAAATTATTACTCTGCTGTTCCTCCATTCACCAAATATAATCTTAGAAAAAAATATAAAATTAAAAAAAAAGAAAATCAAATTCAAAAACTGTTCTCTGGTGAGTGTAGCTTTTAGTCATCACCCTGCTATAATGCTTAATTTTTTCCTGGCTCTGATTTTTCCCCTCTTTCCATCAGCGGCACCCATCAGTGGGCTTCCACTGCACCAATCTAAAATAAATGGTGGTATGCGTTTGTTTAGGCATTCAGACAGGGAACAGAAATATGACATATTAATTTGGAAATACTGTCATAATTTTGAAAAACTGTGATATACTTTATTACCATTATACCATCCAAACCTACCAATGACTATAACTGCCTACTGTTCCCACAGGAGTGATCACAGAGTGAGCATTTGACCATCTTGCCTGAACAGACCTTACTCCAGTTAACACAACACTAAAGCAGAATGCAGTGGAAGGACAGAACGAAGCATTTCTCACCCTTTTTGGAGGACTGAGGAAAATAGGTGCTGTCGTTCAGGTTGTATGTCAGGCTTAGGTTTAAAACTCTGTACAGACGGTCATCCTTGGAGAAGACCAGGCCCAGAGAGTGACCATCCCCAAAGGATGCCAGCAGCTCTGGAGAGACCCCAGAGCTTCCACAGGAACTACCACTGTCCACTACTGCTGAGCTCGGGAGCTGCACATTCACCGTGTTCTGCAGGCAACATACACATGAACATAAAAAGGCTTAGCATGTTACGATACATATGTGAACTAGAACACTGATTATTGAAAGTTTGGAATCACTCTTGTAACAATATAAAGAAGAATTAGGTGCATGTTAAAAAAAACGATTAAAATCAACAACTTCATAGATTTCATAGATTTCAAATTTACAGGAAGCTGTAAAAATTTTTCATATTTTAATATTTTAATTCTTACAAAAAAAAAGCATGTTTAGTTAAAAACATTTTTGTAAATCCAGCTCTATCTGGATGCATATAACTTGAAATTGCTATGAATACAATTACAAATTAATTCTGAAATTAATTTTGAGTTTCATTGTTTCACATACTAGTTAATAACTTCTTGTTGTTTCCCAAAAGATCCAAAGAATATAAACATCTAAAAATACCTTCTGGTGTGTGATTTATAACATTTCAGTTTAGTAATAGTGAATAAAATAACAAATATTAATACGACTATGATTAAGTGATTCTAAACTTTCTAACGCTGGTGCACATCAACAGGAAGTAACTGGCCATAATACTTTGTGGTTTAATTACTGTGTGAAAAAAATAAGTAACACTTTAGTTTGTCTCCACCTTCACAGCACATAAAGAACTTCCTTTAAGGGATATTTATAAATGCTTATGTTGACAACAGCAGGCAAGACTGTACAACACAGAGTAGAGTTGTTCAAATAAATTAAATGTCTAAAATGTAACTGTGTGAAAAAGCAGTAAACACAGATCATGTAGCTACTTCATGTTTAACAATGATATGTAATAAACTGATATAAAGCAGCTTTACATTCTTACACTTTAATGCGCAATTAATTAGACGTTGTGATTTGCTGATCGAATTTTAATGCAATATTAGTTTCAAATGTTATGTTTAAATACACCAACATTTAGTTGGCTATATTAGTAAATTGTGTTTTTTTAAAATAAAAATAATTTACATCATGTAGAAAAATATTTTAGATTCTGATTTATTACATACTGTACATAATGTGCTGTATAAATTCGTATCTAGAACATATATTTTTTAGTTCTTTCTCAAAGCTTATTTGCCACAGAGCATGAGGCACTCTGGATGTTACATTTATTATGAATTAATTCTCACTGCTACCTTTCTCAGTCACTTCAGAATCATCTAAAGCCCTGTTTATCATTCTAACATTTTTTCATTTTTTTTTATAGCTTCCTAATAATTATTTAAAGGCCATAAAATTGCATACGTGCGTACTGAATTCATTTTATACATTCATCTAAAACCAAACTGGTTTTATATAACTGAAAACATTGATTCCAAACTTTTGAACAGTAACATCTGTGGGGGTATAGTGGGGTTTGAAGACCATACCGTTCCATTGGATGTGGAATACATGATGAAGAAGCTGGCAGAGAGCTCTGCTTTAATGCATGTTGAATTCCCATCTTTCACCTCGAATGATACAGCATGTGCCACAGCCAACCAACCTGCAACAGAGAGCAGCAGAATGTCTTTTATTTATCTGGGAAAAACTCAGACGCTCAGTTCCGTAAAGGTTTCTCTGTAAAGCTGTGCCACCATCAAATATATTTGTAATCAACAGGGAGTCACGGACCTGGCAGGTTCTTGCTCTAAACACAAAATTGTGAATCAGACAATTTATTGTGCACTCGCGCAGTATTCAGCTGCTTCTACACCTGTACTAAAACATGCTCATTGTGCTAAATATCCATGTGACTCTCAAAATATAACACTATTTCATTCATGTTATTTTGATAGGTAAGAGATTTAAAATTGAAAACTCATTAAAAAGCAAATAATGTTTATATATTGCAAGTTTGACTAATAGGAAGTACTGGAAATGTGTTAGTGTGTTTCACGTGTTTATTTACCCCACACAGTGTGAGCTTTGGATTTTAAAAGAAGGCCAATAAAAATCGGCCAAATGTTGAGCAAACGTGTCATCATGTTTTTAATAATGTAGTCTTTTGTAAAACCCAAAGTACTAAAGTAAAACAATTGATTACATTAAGTTTATATTAGTGGAATTATTTAATAAACTATGTAAAATTCTCCTCATCGTTAGTGCCAAACTAATGCAGCCTTTGATCAGAAAACAAGCACTTATTGACAGAATGAGCCTGAGAACCACAGAACTGGTCACCAGAGGGCGCTACAAGCATTGATTTAAAACTAAACAAGCAGACATTCATCTCCACAAGGGCTTCTGTGGGTGAACACAGGCAACCAAATATCACGTCGCTCTTTAATGGGTGTGCACTGATCATGAATTTTTTATGACATCAAATATGTATAACCTAAAATGTGGCCTGTGCAAAAGTCATGGCACATTTTATGTTGTTCATTGTTTTTTCCAATATATGAACTAACATCAAACTTTCGCATTCAACTCTGTGTGTGTGTGTGTGTGTGTGTGTGACAAATGGAGATAAAAGGCTTTGTATATATGCTATATAACACTGTTTGCACTTTAACTGCCCAAACTGTCATTTGTGCTACATTGAAAGTAAGAGGCGACTGGCTATTCAGCACAATGAGTCATGCATAATTAGGTTGTTTTGTAGGTGTAGCAGCAGGACTTAAGTACAGCATGAGCACACTTACCTGCCTCACACTATTTACATCATAAAACTGCAAAACAGCTTGGCAAAATAAAAATATATTGGCCGAGTGTTTCATCGGAACAGAAATCTGCCGATTCCAATAAGGGCTGAACCTGTTTATGCATCCCTACTGTTTATGTGAAGCAGCACCATAACAAAACCCACTACTGTAGCCAAAAACCAAACACTCCTCTTGTTCACTCAAGACACCTGTTGCACGGATCAACATGAATTAAAGTAATATTTCAGCACCTTCAATCTGAAGTCTATCTGCTGCTTCTGTATTGCACAGTCAGTTAAGACGGACAGTAATTTCAATGTTCTCATTTTAATGTAGGCATTTGATTCAGCGCAAAATATCATCTATGGTAATTGACACTATGCTACAGATGCAGCCAGCAGAGATTAGGCTGAAAATACAGGTGTGTTTCTGGTGTATGTTTAAAACCTTCACTGTTATAAAGTACTTCATTTACAGATGGCTACTGGGATGGAATCCCAGACAAATGCATATTCCTTTTGCGCCGTATTGGAGATATTTGGAGTTTGGCTAAGAAGCCACATGGGCTGGGCAAAGTTGAAAGCAGGCCACAATTGTGCAGTCCTGGGATGGTGATGACCAGGGATTCGGGAAATTATAGTGCCGTATGACAGGGCACGCCTGCAGTCACACTCACTCACATGCTATCCGGTGCTGACATTACACAGCAGTTTAACTATAAAAAAAAGAAAAAAAAAGAAAGAAAAACAGAACAATATTTGCTTTGCAACACATGGTCACCTCTGCCAAAAGCGTTAGGCCACAAAGCCTGTGGCTTTAATAAGAACGAAGACCACAATGAAAAACAGCGTTACAAACACAGTGTGGGAAAAACAGAAACATCTAGAGGGGCTTTCTGCTCTAGTAGAGAAGTCAGCAATTTTAAAAAGATTTTCTCATTATCAACATCAGTGCTGGCTGATATACTGCCTGTACTGGCAGACTGTCACCGTGATACTGTGATATATTCAGCGTTAAAGGTACTGACACATAATCAAAACTATGGCCATAACAGCTTTCAATTCCAGTCCAATTCTACTCAACGTCCCCATTGCCAAGCTGATTTTTTGACTCTGCAGGTTTAAACAGGGATAACTAAACTAAAATCTGATGATAAAATGGAACACATCTCCCATTCTGGGTGCTTGAGATTGTTCTGAAAGAATGGTTTAAAATAGGCTACATAAACAAACAGTAAATAAGCAGGACGTTTCCTGGTGCTTTCTGTCTGGTTATCACAGTACAGAGGTAAATGGAACTAGATGAGAACAAGCTTTGTCATGCTGGTGAGGCATTTTGTTCAGCACAGAGTACCATTAATAAAAGAGTTCACTGACCTTATTAATGCAAACTCAAATTTCATCTGATACTGGGACATTCAGTTCTATCACTATTGCTGGTGCTACATATTAAACTTGTTCCTAAATGCTAGCATATTCTGACATTAGCCACTATGTACTTAAAGGAGCATTTAGGCCCTAAATGAGTGTTTAATATGTTATTTGTCTTGTTATGTAGTGTCCTGCTGCGCTGCACCGTGTCCCTCCGACTCATGATTTTGCATTATTTTATATATTTTCACTTGATTACTGTTCTCTCATTGCAATACCCAGCATGCTTTATTCAAATACAGCTTCCAACCACCGGGAATTCCTACTGAGGCGTCAATCCTGACTGCTAGCCTAGCCACTGAGCTGTGGGCTAATAATTACAACAGAGTTAGCGTAAGTGTAACTCCTTATTTTGGCTTTTGAACAAAGAAACAGCAATTCTCTCTTTATTCAGCACAATAATGGATGACAGAAATAAGTGTTTTTCACCCTTTCAGCCAGAGAAAAGAAGCCAAACTTGAGGTAAGATAAGTAGACAGCCTGGTCTAGTTATCTTACCTTACTAACTCTAGCTTTCAGCTTGTCCTCATCATCTGGCGAGTCATTTCTGTCGTTTGAGTATCGACTGATAATGATGATTTGAAGACTGTTACCACAGTTGCACACCTACCACAAGATATTCCACTTCCTAGCAGTACCATTAGCTATATCTGCCTTCCTTCTGTCTTCACCAGCTAATGGAAAAAAAAAACAACAAAACACTCTGAAGAAGCTGCAGTGTTTAAAAGCTCAAAGCTCCTCCCACCTTCAAGACACATCATCAGCAGGGAGTTTTCCTACTCTTTAAACCACAAAATCCAGCTCTAGACGCTACTACAGCACGGCTGTAGGAGGCAAGTAAGCATGTTTCACACAGATGTAATGACGGTTAAATTTTTCATTTTGGCTGGAGTGTTCCTTTAAATTTGTAAAAATATAGCTTTAAAATACAACTAACATTTCTGCATTGAAAGGTTTGAATACAGCAATAAGAATCCTGCCCAAAGCTGAACAGCAGCATTTATAAAACCCATTGGTCGTATAAAAACACTAGCCTTGTGGTCTGAAGAAGAAACGTTGAACTTTAATTTACAAAGAGAGCCCACTTTACAGAGGGGTCAGTGTCCCTCACACACACAGAGGCCGCTGTCAGCACACAAAGAGCTGCTGGCGTCACGTGACGCGCGCGAGCAAGCACAAGCACAATAGTGTGTGTGTGTGTGTGTGTGTGTGTGTGTAAGTGGAAAGAGAAAGAGAGACGTGCGGTTTACATGCGACATTAAGGCTTATTTGAAAACGTCACCACGCCTCAGCGCTGCTACAGGTCTGAACAGGCCCGTAACACTGTCAGCGAGAGGTGAACGAGTCACTCTTTTGAGACGGTTCTTTTCAACGGACCGACCGAACCGACTCACACGTCCAACTGAATCGAACGTTTTTGTGGGGCTGCTGCTCAGTGTTCACGTCTGTGTTGTCGGCTGAGGACCTCTAATACACCCAGAGCAACGAGCTTTCGCTGTTTAACCCCGTAAAATCCTGACTGAAAACACCACACTGTGGCATTCTCAACCTGTATGGAAACAGAGGAAAAAGACAGTTTTCTCCTCCTGTTTCTGCGGGATGTTAAACAGTTTTAGTTACTTCTTTTTTTTTTTAGTTTTTAATAATACCTTATTTCCTCAAAACGTGGACTTAATATCTCGAAATAATGAATTTGTCTTGAAATAATGACTTAATATCTCAAAATGACGACTTAATATCCCGAAATAATGTCTTTTTCCGCCTCAACAATTCGAAATACTTTGTCGAAATAAGTTATTGTATTTCGACGAAGTGTTATTTTGTGATTATAGCCATTATTACGACATAATACGTCGCTTTTGCGACTTAGTAAGTCCTTATTTTGACATATTAAGTCGAATTTTGAGAAACTAAATATTTATTTCGACGTGGCATGCCAATATTATGACAAACCAATGTCATTATTTCGAGATACTAGGTCAAAGTGTTGACATGCTAATCCCAGAAACTCCGGAAAAGGCGGAAATGGGTTCTTGAGTATGAACAGTGACTGTCCGGATCTGGCTGAGCGAGCAGGAGAAGAGGAAACAGCTGAACAAGAACCTGGAAACCAAGGACTCGCTGAACCGGTCAGGTGGGAAGAGTCGGTTCGCTTAACGGGATCGAACGGGGCCATCAGTGAGTCACTTTATGGCGTAGTTTGTTTGAGAAGAGAGCCGATCAGCCGGACTGACAGTCCAGCCGCCTCAGCTCGGCGGAGGAGACGGACAGGAGCTGAACGGGGAGCTGCCACTGCGTTATGAAGAAAGACGCGTTATTTTTTGCACATGCAGAGAGAAACGAGCACAAAGTGGTTGCCAACTTTAAACACTGGTGTGTGAGGCAGAGTAGTGAACGGGTTGCACGGCACCGAACGGAGCCGCTCAGTCCTGCACACAGGTGGCGCTGTGGAGCTCTCGGCTTTCCTTACGTGATGAAATAATAACGCTCTCTAAACGCTGTACTCACCCAGCAGAGCTGCGGCGGCGAGAGCAGCTGCCCGCAGAGCGCGGCTCATGTTTCCGCTGTAGACGATAAAGCCTCGGTCCAGTCCTGCTGTGGAGCTGCTGAGAGGAGGAGGCTCCTCTGTCGGCGGCCTCGCCCGCTGATCTCCGACTCGCTCGTCGCTAAAATCCTCAGCTTTCGCTCTCCGGCCTGCTTTCAGCAGCGCTCTCTCTCTCTGTGTCTCTCTCTTTCACTCTCTCAGCAGTAGGAATGTTCCAGTCATGTGAGGAAGACAAGAGAACCACCCAGCACGGTCACGTGACATCCCCCTCCTCTGTGCCCGCTCCGGTGTCTTACCGAGCATGCGCACATCATTACTACGGCGTAGTTTTTAAAGGGGAGTTCCAACAAATTTTCAGAAAAATTCAGTCCTTGATGTGTAAACAGAGTCACTCAGAGAGGTTTGATGTGAAATGGGTTATTTGTAGAGAACACAGACTCTTTCTTTACAGTGGTGCTGATAGGAACCAGGAGTCACAATGTCTACAACACAAATATCCACTTATTTACAAACCAAAACAAACAGTGAAGCTACAGGTGCCTTCTGAGTGTTTGTGTGTAATGTTGACAATGGTTAAACAGTCATCAATCTGGAAAAATTACTTTCTTTAGGGACTATTTTGCCTTACAACGCCCTGCATGTGTCCCTTCGCCAGGAATAGATTAAAATGAAAGGATCACAACTTTATCACAAAACCATCCTAAAACAACGTCTCAGACATCAGACAGTGTATATTTAACCACTGTACGTAAGAACTTTTTGTGAGGAAGCTTTTAGAGGTGGACGTCTGGTTCCTATCACCACCACTGTGAACAATTCTGACTGCAAGTTTCTCTAGAATGGAGCATTTCACACCAAACCACCAAATCAGTCCCCCTTTTCAGGAGATTTAGGCTATCAGCCTATGATGAATATTATAGGCTGTTGGGCAGAATATACTGCCCAACAGCCTATAACTCTTGGCTCAAGTTATCTGGTTAACAGAGAAATCTACCCCTGGTGCTGAACCCTGTCTCATCATGCTGTAATACAGTGTTCAAATAGGTCAGACCTACAATTACATTAATAACTAGATAAACCAGACGCCCTAAAGGGGAGTTCCACCGATTTTTCACATTTCTGCATTAGTCAATTGCTAAAATGTAAACAAAGTCCTTCAGAGTGGTTTCTCTGTACTAGAGAAACTAAGAGTCATAATAGTTCACAGTGGTGATGATAGGAACCAGAAGAGTTTAATGCCTCTAAAAGCCTCATGGCAGAAAGTTTTTACATTAAATTTTTACAGATTTGCTGCCTGAGACATTGTTTTACGATAGTTTTGAGAGGGTTTGGCCTAAAATGTATTGTAAAAAATATAAATTTAGGGCAGAAAGGTACCTTTAGTGTGTTGTGAGGCAAAATAGTTTCCAAACACACACACACACACACCCACACACATTTCCTAAACCGCTTATCCTTCTGGGTCGCAGGGGGTGCTGGAGCCTATCCCAGCAGTCACTGGGCGGAAGGCAGGTTACACCCTGGACAGGTCGTCAGTCCATTGCAGGGCCCAAAAAAATACTTACATTTTTTTTTTGATTTATGACTGTTTCACCTTTAATCAACATTACATAAAAAAACTAAACTTATCTCAAATGTTAAGGTCAGAGTTTCTCCTGTGGTCAGTCCACCACTGCACTAACACACTTTACTCAGCTTGTGAACCACTGACGAAGCAGAGGTTCCGCTCAGAGCCTGTGCCACCAGGAAACCTCAAACGCACCTCGCATGCACTTGTGGCAGTCAGCTGAGCGCCACTTGCCCTCAGACTGGCATCAAATCTCTGAAATCCAGCTGATTTTCGCCACAGTGGTAAGAGTGTGCTGTCACAGCAGGCAGGGCTCCACCCTGCAGTCATGCAGCTCCGTGGCGAGCGCGTCATGTGCTTCAAGAAGTGTGATTGTGTCTCAGTGTGTTCACAGAAGAGGTCAAACACACTGAGGAACGAGTCCTGCTTCGGACAGGTCACTCAGAGGGACAATAACCAGAGTACACTCTCATAAAAGATGGTTCTTCAAGGGTTCTTTAGCAAAGTCAGTGGCTATGTTTAGAACCATGAGTTGTATATAGAACCATTTCATGCTTAAATGGTTCCCTGCATGGTGAAATGGTTCTTCATCAGACTGATGCATGCTTAAATGGTTCTTTGCATGGTGTAATGGTTCTATATAGTTATATATAGAACCATTTCATGCTTAAATGGTTCTCTGCATGGTGATATGGTTCTGCATCAGACTGATGGAGCATGTTATGGTTCTATACAGTTATATATAGAACCATTTCATGCTTTAATGGTTCTTTGCATGGTGAAATGGTTCTCCATCAGACTGATGTAGAATGTGTTGTTTAAGGATCTTTTTATATAGAGTTACACAGAGAACCATTTTGTTTTAAATGGTTCTTTGCATGGTGAAATGGTTCTCCATCACACTGATGAAGAATGTGATATACATGGTTCTATACAGCACCAAAAAGGGTTCTTCTATTATTACAAGCTAGACATCCTAACAATAGCAGAACCCTTTTGGCGCTATGTATCATGTACAACCATTTCACCATGCAAAGAAATAGTTACCCTGCTGAAAAAAACAGCACAGACCAGCATGCAATTCTTGCTGGTCTAAGCTGGTAACTTCATCATGGTCATGCTGGTTGATCAATGGGTCTATATACAACTCATGAGCCTGAATAGAACCATCTTTTTAGTGTGCAGAGGTACCACAGGAGGCAGCTTCTCAGTACAAATACACAAATACACGAGGCTTTGAAGTGAAATTATAATTTGAAAACAGACCAAATCCATTAAGACCGCTTTAAATAGGAATTCCACCAATTTTTCAAAATTTCAACCTGTTTTCCACCTGTTAATGTCATACCGTAGTCTGCAATATGTATATAAACTGTACATTCTGAATCTCCTTGCATGGGATTAACAATCATCCAGTGGTGGTGATAGGAACCAGAGATCCTATGAAAAATGTTTAAACCCATTAATGGTGGAGAGATACATGTAGGGTGTTATAAGGCAAAACCAGTCCCCAAAGAAAACATATTGTTTCTTATTTACCACTATTTTACCATCATCAACATTACATATAAAACTCAGAAGACTCGTGTAGCTTCACTAGTGGTTTTGAATGGTAAATAAATTGGCTGTATTTGTGCTGTAGACACCACAATGTCTGGTTTCTATCAGCACCACTGTAAAGAAATCTGAGTCAGTAAGTTTCTCTACAATGAACCACTTCACACCAAACCACTCTGAATTATGCAGAAACTTCATGTTTGCTTGTACTTGCTGTGTAATACTGAAAACACTTTAATGACAGCTTGACTCACTGCCCTGATCTGCTCTGACTTGTTAAATGGTGTTTACTCTGAGGATTCACAGATAAGGCCTACCACACGAGTTCCGATATGTGTGGTGGAATTGGTGTGCAGGCGTTAAAAGTCAGAAATGATGTGCAAAACCATTTCACAGCTCTGTGAGAGACCACCAGCTCTATCTTCTTTCTGCCCTCTCTCTCTCTCTCTGGTTGGCAACGGTCTGTTTCTTTGAGGAATTACTCCCTAATTCAGTGAAATAAATTAAATTAGTCTGGGCAAAACAAGAGCCTAGTCTGTCCGCCAGAGCCAGAAAGTGCAGGAATCTCGACTGGACAGACTGAACTACGGCAGGCCTACGACTACGGCTCTAGGCACTATTACATTTACATCACGGTACTGTCCACTATCTGAATGATTGATTGATAAATAAATGGAAAATTACTACTACCACCACTATGAATAATAGCAGTCTTTCTCTTCTACATCTTCAGTTTTGTTGATCTGCCTTTTTGTAGATGGTAACTAAAACAACATATCACCATTTACTGTAGCTACCAAAGGCAGACAAGCATTTCAAGCATGCCAAGTTCACTAATTTTTTTTCCATACTGATACAAATAACAATACTGTGCCTTCAGTACTTATTCTTGAACAATATCACAAAACTACAAACCCAAAGTGGGCGTGGCTTTTAACCAGAAATAAGTGGTAGGAACAGGAAGTGGGTATATTTACTAACCATAGTGGTTTGCAGAGCAATCAAGAAGCTCTAACCTTAATAATACATACAGAATGTAATTTAGACAGCCAATCAGCAGTCTAGATTTCAAAACTAGCTGAAATCTTGTTCTGGTTCATGGATACTAACAAGGCAGATTGCTTAGGTGCCAGAATGTGGTACTGAATGACATGGAAATTTTTTATACTCAGTAGTATTTAATTTCAATATCCAGCCCACCTCTGCACCAGAGCTTAATGCAACATTATATTTTATATATATATATATATATATATATATATATATATATATATATATATATATATATATATTATTATTTTTTTTTCCAAAAAAGCGCAACAGGAGTAAAAAAGGAGGCCTGTTCCGCATTGCAAAGTAACAATCTGTACAAACACTATAAAACAGCTGTATAAATGCCTAAATTGTATGATGCCTTTGAGTTTAAAAGAAGTATTCAAGCTGTTCAGTTACATTTCTAACTGTGGACGGGGCTCATCATAGTATCCAAGATGTAGTTAATTCCATATCATGGGACAGTGACATACAGGCAGGGGTTAAGTTCATGTTCTGTTTTGATAATTAAATGTATTAATTTTGCCTCAACCTCTAAGTAGCCTATTTTATATGACATTATCTATGTAAGTAATTCTAAAGCATTCTGCCACACCGATACAACTGTCATGGCTGAGGAGGCTAAAATTGAATGTTTGTTCACACAGTAAACCTGTTCCACATGAACAGGTTTTCTGATATTTGACAGCCTTGAATAACTATGATGTTTAGCTCACTGTTTTACCAGCTGTTAATAAATGTACTCAAAGGAACACATTTGCATTAAGCTAGCTAAGTGTTTGTAGATTAATATTGCTGATTAAATCCAAAAATTCAACAGAATTGAACTGGTTAACTCTGTGAGGTAGGAGTGCTAGAGTTCAGAGTAGTGTGAAATCTGACTAGAAGGCACTGAACACTTGGCAGTAAGGTACTGCACAGAGGTGAACGATATTTCACAAGTTTTCTCTTTAAACTTTATAGTTTCTACTTATAATAGTAGAAACCTACGAAACCCAATTAAACCCATGCGTAACAGTGTTCACTTTACATGTCCCAGCAGGTCTGGATGGTGAAAGCATTAAAAGCAAACTAAGTTTGTCCTACAGTTGGGATTCAGATTCGAGCCCCAGTTGTGGTATGTGTCGCCCATAAGTGGGTGTGCAAGAAGACACAACTGGTTGCATTCTGAATGGAGGGAAGAAATACAACATGCTTTGAATATTAATGTATGAACCCCTTGTTTAAAGTGCCTGACGAAGATTTGCCATTAGTTAGCCGCAACAAATGCTGCAACTTTTGCCTTCTCTTCTGATCTGAGGTTTGGAAAGTTGGCACAGACAAAAAATTAGTACTGCATTTAAGAAATAGGAGTACAAAATTTCACATACTGCCCACGTAAATTTCAGGCCAAAATGGCGCTTGGTGTTTGGCCAAAAAAAAAAAAAATAGATTTAATACAAGGAAGGGTCAAAATGCAAGACCTGACAAGTATGTTTAAAGGTAATGAAATGAGAAATAGTCACTAAAAAGATGTTTGTTTTCTTTGTTTTGGTTGGTGCAAACCTGTTCAAACAGCTGGAGCAGCAGCAGATAAACAGTGGAAATGTCGGCCATGAGGAACTATTTTATAGTCTCTATGGAAAAATAACACTAATAATTCTGATACTGTTTGTAAACATGACATTGATAAGCAGAACACAGGAAAACAGAAAGGAAAGTCACTACTAGCACACGGACGCCAGCCTCCATTTTTTAAATGATGAAAAAATGTATAAACAGTGCCAAAGTGTAAAGTATACATAAAACTAAAAAAATAATGGAATTCATGGTCCTAGATGACCAACTGTTCTTCGTTGCTGAAGATGTTGGATTTTAATGGCAAATATTGTAGCCTACAGACTGTATTTTAGTGAGTTTATTTTATGCAAACTGTCAAAATTTACTGTCAGCTTTTCCGGTTTCCATGTTTTGGCCCAGTGCGTCTTGAATTTCGAATTCGGTCAAGATTTTTCATTTCAGTACATCAGTAAACAGGACTAATTATGCTCTCTCTGCGTGAGCACACAGCGATGATGTCATTACGCTCAAAAAAATGAGCTGTGAAATTACATATTTTATCACAATAACCATAAATACCATCATATTGCCCACCCCTAGTAAAAAGGGAAACAGACCAAAAGTATGTTCTGAAAAGGCTCGAATGAAAAACAAAAATAAGCACATACAATATACCCCCTGAACACACGCAGCCATGCACACATACCCACACAGGTGTTTTGTGTTGATGTCACACCTGGAGTCACAAAATTCTAATTAAATATGATTTAATTCTTTGATATCTTTCTGCACTTACAAAGAATAGAATCTTGTGGTCTACAAAAATTTGACGTGCCAGAGATGTTTTGTGGCAAATGAGAATTGGGAGAAGAAAGAAAAAAAGGAAGCCAACACACAGGTACACACCACACACACACACACACACACACACACACACACACAACTCATAACACAAACACACAGAAAGGTGCTTGTCGAGCCATAACAAAGAATCATACATTTGCTCGCGTCACTCCATTCTTGTCTTTATCTTTTTCAGTGTGTGAAGCTTAGAGAACAAGTCATTCCAAAGAGGTCACACCTTGAAGTGCGTGTCTATGTGTGTTAGTGTGTAAAATGCTTGTCCCCCCGTCCCCCCCCCAGATTTCCAAAGCCTGAGCGAGAATTTGTCAGAAACCCTGAAGCTCACAGGACCTGCTGTCATTCGTTACTGTGTTTGCACAACTGAACTAACAAAGTCCTGTTCTCTAGTAGCTGTTTTCTGTGGACAAATCAGCAGCGAGAACAACCAAAAAAAACTAAATTAAAGTACAAGACAAGTAAAGACAGAGATAGATAGGCATGGTGGGAGAGAATGAGAGAGAAAGATAGATTCAACATAAAACTGCTAGAATAGAATGGACTGACCACAAAATAATCACAACCAAAACTCCAACAAAAAGGAAAAAACCAAACAGTGGTAAAGGGAAAAAAGTGCTTGTTTGTGGAAATCATCAGCTGAGCATTCACCTCTTCCTCCTAATAGTTTGCCCCCTAACCCCACCCCTCCGAAGTACAGTACATCCACTATGCCAACCCTGTTCATTCTCAGTAGACATGGCAGGGTTTTAGGGGCCAGTGAAGGGTGGGCTATAAGCTGTCCTGGGGCCAGTCAGGCAGGTAAAGCCCTGTTTGCGTGCAGTGGGCAGGGAAAGCAGGGGCCCGTTGTCCAGAGAAAGGGGCCGTTCCGGGGTCTCCTGCCTGGACCTCAAGCTACATAGTGATACTGGTTGGGGCTCTCCTTGTCGCGCTCCATGTAGTCTCTGTCGATGAGGGACTCAATGCGCTTCTTCAGGTCTCCGGGCTGGTGGGAGGAAGTGTGAGAAAAAGCATGAGGGTTGCGTGGGTGTGAATGAGGGTACATGTGTAAATGTGTCGCAATGCTTGTGTGAAGCTCATGAGAAAAGCACAGTCACTACGAATCTTTACTCAATCAAACTTGCAGCATATACCTAACCTTTTAAACGGCAGGCTAATTACTCGTATTCATTAATCTTGAAGGATTAGTTCAGTCAAAAATGCTAATGATGCTAACAAGGAATGAAACTGTACACAGGGTGTCTGCAGACGTCCTCAAGTGAAATTGAAAACTTTTGAAGATTTTAATGCCACTGCTTGCAGGGGATTCTGAGGTGTGATATGTCAGCTGCAGAAGAGTTTTTGTTCTATTTCAGTTACTTTCAGACACAGATGCTCTTCTCACTCTCTTCTGAGGTACAGACTGTCTGATGTAAACTGCACAAAATCCGCTAAAACTGCTAAAGTCAGCACAGCTCTCAGAATTTCACCCCCTCAGGCTTCCATACACTGGTTTTATCAGTCTGATGAGAAACAAATGACCCCTTATCATGCTAAATGCTGGTAACAAGGGATTGATCTCTCTGCACAGGAATGAGCCTTTCAGAGACACAGACTATATAAAAGGTCACACCACCCTGTTTGCAAAAGTTATCCAAGAATTTTGTATGAAGCTGTTAGCATCAAGTACTATGCTTGGTGGGTGTATATTTCTGTATCATAAAATCTAAGACCAAATTAATTCAATTTAATATTTATAAATTTATAAATTTAATTTGTAAATATGATTTCAGACTAATTAAGATATTTTTATGGATCTGCAGCATTAGCACGTTTGGCTGACCTTGTCTTTTAAGACTTATCATTCAGTAACTACTAAAATTATTCCGTAACAACTACAAAACTAACATGCAAGTTATGTGATTGAGAAACTGAAGTGATGAACCACATACAGATCCATGAGAGTTTAAGAGGCCTAAACTATCAGTTCCAGGCTTAATCACTCTTGTCTATGTTGCTTCATAGAAGCGCAGAGTGCTGTACCTTGACAGGAAATTTGAGCTGGTTGTAGAGTTCTGACACCAGCAGGTTATGACTGAGGGTCTTCCTCATCTTCATGATCCTAACCACTGCAGCGTCTATTTGATACTGCCTGTCCTGGAACACTCGCTCTGTGGTGCTCACTTGCTCCTCCACCTAAAAAAAGAAAAAGTACATAAGAAAGAAGAGACTTGGCTCTGAACCGAAAAGGGAAAGTAATTTGTGTATGTAAAAAACTACATGCTAATACTTTGGGTATTTTTGCAACACTTATTCTCGCCAAAACGTCTTCCTTTAACATAATTTGACAGTTTACTTTTCCAAACTATTGATAAAAGCATATATTTTTGCACAAATGTGTTTAAACAGCTGAAAGTACTGATGAGTGTTGACATCAACAAGGGGATAAAATGTGTGGGGTTTAGCGTTACTCCCAAAGTAGGGCTTGTGTCATTTGTTCCTTCAGTTTTGTAAAGGAAATGGAAAGATGGCAAACACTTTTCTATTTAATGTTCTAAGTTATTAAAAACCAGCACAGAAAAAATGCTCATTAATTAAACACAATTCTGAAAAGCTGGGTGTCCCCAAATTGTGACAGGCGGTGTATAGCATTCTACAACATGTTCATTAGTCTTAATGCATCATACTGATAAATACAGAATAACAAAGGAAATGGAACATTAACTGCTATTCATCATGCTTATGGTCAGCCAGATTAGCCAAAAAACAGATCTTGTGGTACAGGATGTTTTTTCCCCTTCAACCACCACATTTGTTTCTACCAAAAATAAATTGTGAGAGATGGTGATAGACACAAAGACAAAGGCTATTGACATCAAAAACACACAGAAAACCTAGAGCAAGATGATCGGACTGTAAGAAATATGGGAAATGAGAAAGGATGACACATGCTCAGCAAGTAAAAGAAAAACAGGAAGATCAGTGAATGACCTACTGTCTCTTTCATTTGAATCTGGTTGATTTTAATGCGGAACAGTTTGTGCTTGAAGTCATTGTTGAAGTTGAAGCGGTCCCCGTCCTCAACGTCTTTCCCTCTGGGATTTTTATTAAGCACACGGGCTTTTCCACAGGCCAGCGACTGCAGTGTGCGTCTCAGCTCACCGTCCTCTAAAAAAACATGAGACCGACCTATCAGTTTCTACTCAGTCAAAAAAAACCCACCATTATAAAGACGTAATGTAACTACAGCCACATTTAAATACCTTGATGTACACAAGAGGTCAAGGCTCAAGTGGTCTTGAATAGTAAAAATATGAATGGGAATATTCACTAGATATGTCCAAATGTTTGAAGACCTGCTAAACTAAAGTTTCTCCTGGAATGACGGTCATGAATACTGAGTTGATTTGACTGCATTAAGCCACAAGAGCATTAGTGAGGCTGGGTGATTAGTTCTGGATCACAAACATCGCTCCAAGTCATCCCAAATGTACTGGATGATGCCCAATCACTGCAGATAACACAATTCTAACACTCCACAGCCCAATGCTGAGGGAATTTATAACCTTCTAGCTGCTGCGTGGCAATGATCATGGCGACCTTGTGTGGACGCTCACGTGTGGTTGCTCCAGAGTGTCTATTGCCATTAAGTGGGTGCACATTAAAGTAGCTGAACTCACTAATTAGAAAAGGTATCTGGATACTTTCTGACATATATAGACAAACATCCATTAGATTTTTTTCCTAAAAGATTCAGGGGGAGGTCCCAAAACTGACACCTTTTAAGTAAATATGTATGTTTGCTTGTTTTTCTTTCATCCTGTCATGACTATGCATGCTGTAGAGTAGAATTTGTGCCAGTAAAACAGCTTACATAATTCTGCTGTGAGGATTTACAAAGCAGAACAAAAAGGAAAAAGAACTGTGAAGTAAAAGTTCCCAATAAGGAGAAGAAAAGAATTCCCCATTCTCATATCAAGGCTTGTTCTTGTAGTATGAAAGGCGTTTCAAAAAGGCAAAGACAACTGAAGACAAATCAGCAAACAGCCATTTTTACCTATTCCAGTAGCTGTCTGGATCTCCTCCAGTGTAAACTCTTCCCCTTCATTAAACATGAGTAAGACAAGGGTCTGGAATAAAGATACCTGCAGCTCCTTTTTACCCTACAGAGAGACACAGAGCAAAACGCATTAACACTTTCATACGCCAACCTCCAAAATAATGTTGATATTAAGTATGAGCATTAAACATTTAAACAGTGTGCATTTCCATGGTTAAAGCGAAAAAAAGCAAAAAAATAGATTTACACAAATGTCCTCTTACTCCAAATGTAGTCAATCAGCCAAGACATGTTTTGTATCTATCTAACTGTGTCTAAATGTTAAGCAATCTCATGACTTACTTAAGTAGAATAAACAGAAAAGTTTATAAATCCAGTTTTTCACAGAAACTACCTCTTTAAGTTCACTGAGCAATAGACTGACTGCAAAAGAGACTGACCTCCTTAAACTCAGCCTTAAGTACTGCGTGGCCCAGTGTGGGCTGCCATTGAAGCTTTCGCCCACTGTGCTTCCCCAGGTAGAACATCTTGAACACCTCCTGAAGCTTCACCATCTGAATAAACAAAGCCAAAAACCTGCAAGTCACACAACGGCTTAGGTACTTACACAGAACAGGTTTATACACAGAATTTTTACCAACTGTACATAAAATTAAACAAGAATAAAAAACTTGTATGCAAAATTAAAACAATTTGTATCTTGAGAACTCTGCCTATTGCTGTCAGTCACTTTACATGGGAGACATTATATTTTGCTTTATTTGCACAAGGCACTTTCTATTGTTCACACTGTACTCTTGGCACTGTCAGCTGCCGCTAAGCACCACATTTAAGTGTTTACAGTGTACACTGTTGAACAATACATTTAAAAATATTGACCGCTACTAAGGTCTACGTTTGCTTCATTTTATTGTTCACTCTTCTGTACTTACTGTGTGAATAAGCTTATTGTCTTTTTTTTTTTTACCGTCTTTATTGTCTTTGTGTGTTCACCGTTTAATGCACTGCTGTTAGCAAACAGGAGTCCAGTTTGCATCAGTGTTGCTTTGCACCATGTTACATGCAAATCCAAGGAATTCTCTACTGGAATTTACAGTTCTACAACAAACTAAAGACAGAACCAGTTTTTAGTAATGATTATGGTCTAAAAGGCCACAGGAGCTACTGTATGCAGCTTTTGTTTTGTCGTCCGTGATTCATTTCAATAATGAAAGAGCTCCATGGGTGAGAGAGAGAGGACTCAATACATAGGAGAAAACAGTGCTAGGTGCTTTCTCTGTCAGTGACTGAGTAACTACGTAGTGGATGTCAAACACTAGACTTCATATACAATTGAATGTAGATTTATTTAAGTACAACAGTGACTTAGTTCTGTCTGGGAGAAGTCAAAGGGGCATTCTTGCCTTAAAATTCAAGTTTAATACATTATTCGTCATATTATGCAGTATTCTGTAGCACAGCATTGCATCTTGGTTTAACAGAATTCATGATTTTGTATTGTTTTAATATTCTCTCACTACAATACCCAGCATGTATTATGAAAATGCACAATATAACCACTGAAACTCCAGTGATGTCAACCATTCTGGACTGGTAGCCTAGTTACTGATCTATAAACTTGCTAGCCCTAGCAAAACCCTTATTTTTTCCTTTACTAATTATGAATATATTTAATGAATATTTTCTTAACTAAAAACTGAAATATGAAGAAGCAAATGCTAAACCCAGAGGGATTGGCAGCATATCAGGGTTCGAGTCCATAAACAAGACTCCTACCATTCTTACCGTCTGAACAAGAGGGTCTGATAAACATACAAAGGTGTTGTTTTTTACCATTTTCCTAGAAAAATATGGAAAAGGATACATGACAGAAATTGATTTAGGAACGTGCAACACTTTAAACCAGAAAACTGCTAAAGAGACAGCTGTATCTCCAACAAAATAGATCATAAGAAAACAAACAACAACAACAAAAAATGTTGCTGTCGAGTTGCTTCTGCCAATCAAGTACTCCATCCTATCCAGTGTAATGACATTTTATTTTTATTTTATCCTATTTGGATTCTATCAGCTTTTGGTGATCTTTCACTGAGACATCATGAGGCCTATGAAAAGAAAAAAAACGTTCTAACTTGCTTTAACATTCAGAGGGCAGTGCTGAGTAATGTTTGTTTTTGTTAGCTATGTAGCTATTTTTTTAGCATGTATGCTGACAGAATGAGTTTTTAGGCTTATATTTTCACTCTTATGAAGAACATTTAGTGTTGCTTAATGCTATACTATACTATTCTATCTCTGTGTAATTGTAGACATTTGTGAGTGTGCGCAGTACTGATACAACAGTACAACCAGTGTTAGCTGATAAGTAAACACAGGCAGTAAGTTAAGCAAATTTGTCCACTTTAAGCTTGTAGTTTGATAGTTGCAAACAATGGACACGAAAAGAAAATTGTTAATCGCTAGCTAAAATTTCATGATCGTGACAAACCTAGCAGTTGATGTTTTTCAAAACTTTCTTCCACCTTCAAGATATATTAGAAGGTGATTTTCTTATTATTTAAATCCAACGTGTCCAGAGTGTCTCTTTAAAGATTATGTATGTGGCTTAAAAGAACAGTAACAGTAATACTTGGCTAAGTTGCATTACCAATCTCAAACCACTTATTGCAATGACTGAGTGATCAGACAGCAGTCTATCTCCATCATGTGTTGGCTGCACAAACACAAACTAGGCTTCATGACCTGATGATCACCTGTATGTCATGCTGGAACACACATGGGTTTGCTGAACGAAAGATTTGTGAACAGAGACCAGTTTTTGGGTCAAAATACATCAAATATATCTGCAATATTTCCTTTATATTTTGATATTTTTTGTGCGATATTTCCCTCATTTGCTTTCACACACACACCAACCTCAGCGGGCAGATGGACCTCCATGGGGGTGTAGGTTGGCCAGTAGCCCATGGTGAGGATGTTGACGGTTAGTTCTATATTGCTGGGCTCACTCTGGTTCTGCATGTACTGAGGACAACAAGAAAAAGAAACAAAGATCTCACTTACTAGAACCATGTGTCTAGCCCACGTTCATCTATGCTAATAGGCAGGCCTCTAACTCTTGAGAGTGTCACATGCATGCAGTGTCAACCACATGCAAAGAGCTGACACCTTGCTGAGACCTATGCAACACCTCACTATTTTCTGTGAAACCTCAAATTAAAACTAGGTGGCACTTTGAAAGTTCTTAGAGGTGGCTGGGGATTAAAATGTATGTGTACCTGTTTGAACTGGATCATGATGTCTTTGGACAGCTCCATGTCTTTGAACATGCCCTCAAGCTTGCTGGTAAAGGCTGCACCGCACTCTGCAAAAGACCACAACCACACATCATTAGAGTTTCAGAGGACTCTGGGGGGAATGCAATTAACTGAGTCATTGACCATGCCCTCTTGTTCTGGCTTACACCAGAGCTTCTGGTGATGGTGGAGCGCATCCATTTAGCCTGTAATTTGAGCATTCAGTGTTTGAGGATGTAAGGGCACAAGGTGATGACTGTTAAGATCTTCTTTTAGTGAGAATACTTTGTAAAGAGATTGGATGAACAAACCAATATTCTAGGCCTGTTGCTGATTCTTGCAAAAGCCAGTCAACAATAGTTCTTAAATGACAAGCCCAATTATAAAAACGTACATTAGGTAGGGCTAGTCCGCCTTTATCTTCAGGAAGCTGAAGCTTTGATAGCCTAAGTCTTGGTTTCTTATTATGCCAAATGAATCTGCTCATGTGTCTTTCAAAATCAATGGCAACTTTCTTTGTAATGTAAAGTGGGATCATCTGTAGATGGTATAATATCCTAAGAAGAATATTCATTTTAATTAAGTTTATCCTCCCTATCCAAGAAATCGGTAGGTCCATCCATCGAGCCATGTCCTCCTTAACCGTCTTAAGTAAAAAAAAATTTAGTGCACCAAGCTTTTTTAAATTTGGGGAATACTGTATTCCCAAGTAATTAAATCCATCCAAAGACCATTTAAAAGGAAAAGATGGAATGGAGGTCAGATCTTCAAACTTCCCAAGCGGGGTTGCTTCTGACTTGTCAAAGCTGATTTTGTAACCAGAAAAACAGCTGAATTCTCTTATCAAATCTATTAAAGCTGGGATAGATTTTTCCGGCTCGGAAAGAAATAACAAAATGTCGTCTGCATACAGAGCTATAACGTGAGTTATCTGACCTATTTTTATCCCTTATATACCTGCATTTTCTCTAACGGATATTGCAAGGGGCTCTAGCGCCAAGGCAAACAACAAGGGAGACAAACAACAACCTTGCCTAGTGCCCCGTTTAAGATCAAACGGTGGGGAACGCATGCCGTTCGTTATGACTGAGGCCTGAGGTGAACAATAAAGAATCTCTATCCACTTTATAAACTCGTCCTCCAGTCCAAAGCGACGTAGTATACCAAACGGATATTCCCACTCTAGCTGATCAAACGCCTTCTCAGCATCCATAGAAATAACTAAAGCTCTACACTGTGTTGTCTGGCAATATTGAGTGATGCCAAGAAGTCACCTAACATTTGAGATGGACAGTCTATCACAAATAAATCCTGTCTGGTCCGGTGAGATAAGATGTGGCAAGTAGTTCTCAAGTCTTCTAACCAATATCTTTGCCAAAATTTTTGCATCAACATTTATTAATGAAATTGGCCTGTATGATGAACATTCATCTCTAGGTCTATTCTTTTTTAATATAAGGGAGATGTTTGCTTCATATAGCGAAGCAGGCCTAATATTTTTATTGAATGAATCTAAAAACATGTTCATAAGCTGGTTGATAATCATATCTTTACATTTCTTGTAAAACTCTGGGACAAACCCATCAGGTCCAGGAGCCTTTCCTGCTTTAAGTGTGGCAATAGCTTCCATAACCTCCCTTTTGGAAATCTGCCTGCCTAAAGCTTCCCTATCCTTCTCAGATCATGCAGGGAGTGAAGTCTTTTCTAAAAACTTGTGTATTTTTGGGCCAGGTGTTTCAACGGATGAGTCGCCCTGGTTTGTTCCCTGACTCATATAATTTTTGTCTGGCATAGAAAGTAGCTAGTTCTGCTCTCTGTGTCTGTATTCGATCTATAGTAGATCTAGTAGCTAACAGTTCTTTATAGAGAGATTTAGTGGGTAAGTTCTTAAATTTCTTATCAAGTTCCTTTAATTTAGCCTCGAGATCCAACTGTGCTTGTATGGTCTCTTTTTTTTGGCATAATTTTCATGTATATTTAATATGGATTTCAAAGTTTACAGGTTAATAACACATTATCACGTTAAATTGTTAATGGCACTAAATATTTTGCGCTGTTAACACATTTTCCTAGTTTGACCCTTAAAACTATCCGTAGCAGTCCAGCCTGAAGCCCAGCTGCTTGCTTGCTGTATGTCATTGTAGAACCTATGACTGCAGCCCTCATACAGAAATACAGTTTGCAGATGGCTTCTAAATAATGTCAGCAGACTACACCAGACAGTGCTCGCAGGATGGATATGGATAAATCAACAAGCAGCAAACTAACAAGAGACAAAAAGTGGAAAGCTACATTTCACCTCAAGATTCTCTATTATAGTAAGAATCCATGAGCTGTATGAATGAGAGTGAGAGGCTACAACTGCGGGGGAGCTGGAACCATTGACTGTATATATGGAGTTAATGGGGAGGGTGGCCATGCCAGAAGCCCCTCCTCCTTCAAACCTAATATCCTATAAAGTTTTCACACCCAACCACAACCCCATCTTCTCCCTGTTCCTCTGTCCTCTCTCAGTCCTGCCTCCATTTATCAAAGGCAGGGTCCAGCCATCTAGCTCAAAGGAGAAGCTGCCTAAAACTCCAGCCCAAGTCTCAGGCTTGGTCTAAATTCACAAAATGATATATATGATATATGATATCACGTTCAAATGAACCCTGCATTCTCAACTTAAAGTAATGTTACTTTTTTTAAAAGTAATAAATATGTTCCGATGAAGGTGATAATCTGTCTATTCATACAGCTTAAAACAAAACGCACTGCTTTAAATAAGGGGAAAAAAAAACAACAAAAAAAACACTTTCTTTAGAGTCATCATCATCATCACGGCAACAAACAGAAAACTAAAGTCCTCATATAGTAAATACTGACACAGTTTATATTATGTGAAAGCTCTAGGACTGTCTATGCAAAAAGTATGCATCTTGGTTGCTCCCTTTTTATCTCCAATGGCAGAAGAATGATTCTTCAGTCAACAAGTCAGTACATGTACTCATACGTTTATGCTGATTAAACACGTGATGCTGTAACGCACTACGTTATCTGATCACTGCTGCACAAAATTTGCAACACTGCAAACAGGCTCAGCACTGGCGTTAAACCACAGCCACTGCGCTCACTTCCCGCTCATGCTATCATGTGATTACAGAGGGCCTCGTGCCTCAGGGTTGGGAAATCAGACTTTGGGGTTTCCATAGTTACGATCTTTCAAGCTTCGGTCAAGGGTATTTCCTCCATACTTCCCTTTCAAGGGAAATGGTGTTGAAACGTGAAGAAAAAGTAGACTAGAAGGACAGGCTTACCATGCTTGAGTTTGGACAGCATGGACTTCTCTGCATCCACTGAGGCACTTTTGCCCACCAGCAAGCGCTTTGCTAAGTCTTTCTTGTAGAATGCTTCAAAGACGTCTTTACCTGTAACACAATATATATAAACATGAAAACACTCAACTTAGTAACTTAGTGGAAACTTATCTGAGCAGTAAATGTGCTTTTAATACTTAAAAAAAAAAACACTACATGACAGAATAAATACAAATAAACACAAATTCAGTAAAACATACAATTTTTTGAAATTTAAAAAAAAGCTAATATCTTGGTTGGAAGAATACAGGTTTGGTGCCTGACTTCTCGGTGAACTCCAGCCACTGTAAGGATTTGTTAAATTTCATCTCCAACACACCTGATTTAAATTAATAAAGGACTGATTAGCTGAATCAGGTTGGATGGTAACTGTAAACACTGGGCTTCTTCGAGGAGAACTTTGCAAATGGTTAAGCTACACACGACTACAGCCCAGATAAACGGCTTTATATATATCATTTTCTCAGATGCCCAAAATGTTTGCACTTACACTGTATCTGTTTTTACTTCTTACTTTGCGCACAAACAGAAAATGGACACCTTTAGGATCACATTTGACTGACAGCTGATTTGGTCAGACTCTGAAGATGAGACTACACTAAATTCCCAAACCGTCATTACCACCGAGCAAGCTTTTCGGTCGGCAGCTGTGACCAAATCGGACTGAGCCATAAAACTGCCGCAATAAAAAACAAAAAATCTTGCTCAGTGGTGACGACAGTTTCAGAATTTAGTGTAAGGACCTGGAGAACGAACTGCCGGCTGTGCATCGAGTGAGTGGAGCTTGTTACTGTGACGCAGCAACGGGCTGCTTGTTAAGGAACTATAATTTGGCGGAAGGAACTGCGAACATTAAAACACTAAATGCCGCGTTCACGACCCAGTTTATTAATTTCTTACTTTATTTATTTAACTGTTGTATAAAAGCAATAGAACACTCGAGGTTCACTGTTATCGCTATAACATCACAGCTGAGATGATCTACGGCGACCAAATCACAGCCGTGATGTTGTTTCGCGATAACACACTCCCTCTCGTGTTCTATTGCTCAAGTAAACAAAGATTCCAAATCTTTGGACTGTAATGCACAAGCTGGTGAACATACTTGTAGTGAAAAAACACTACGTCAATCCCAGATACTGAGGATTTTTACAGCAGTTGTAGCGCATGCACTCTACCGTGGATAAAGCGGAAGATGATCATAATCTTGTCGAGGATTCTTTCCAGCTCTTCCTCTGTGGCCTCTTTATTCCCAGCACGTAGTTTAGAATCCACATATTTGGCTGGAGGAAAAACACACACACACATACAGACAGAGAGAGAAGCTGAGTGAAAAAACCTTCCTGTGACAAAAGCCCTCATGAATGAATCAAACCAAGTGAACAATCTGAGTGCATTATGCTTATGTGATCCAACCACAAGAACTCCAAAGAGAGGATCAGAGAGTGTAACAGAGTAACACTGTGTTTGAAAAAAATTCTCTGAACAAAAGTAACACTGCATCTTTTAACGACTGCTGCAGCACATACAACGTTACCTTGAACTTAGCACTGGATTTTCATTTTGATGTAGAGCTCATAATTAAGTCTCACTTATCTGATCCCATGGTAACTGTTAGGTGTACCTAACAGGCCACTGTACCACAAACACTCAGTTGTCACTGAAGTTAGTTGACCAACTGGAACACATCCTGCCCCCTATACAAGCAACCTCACACTTCTTGCTCATGAGTAACCTGTTTCTGACCACAGCGGGGCTGAACTGATCTTTACACAGATGCATACGCTTCCTGTCAAAAGGTTTTTTTTTCTTCATTAGTACTTTTCAGTTTAATTTGATCAAAAGTGTTGATCAGCACAATTGTCTAAGTTTTGATCCAATCAATGGAAGGTTGTGAGTCCAAAAGAGCACAACTTGCCCTTCCTCTCCATCCCATCATTCAGCACAATGCTAGCCAGCATGAGAGTCTGTTAACTGATCTAAAGACCTCCTGCACTCAAAAACCTGTTTTTAAAAGGTTAACTTGTGTCAGTGGTTATTTGTGTTCTTTTTGAAAACACAGGCTCTCTCAGCACTCCTGCAAATAAGCTAACCATTGGGCGCTACATAGCAGCTTAGCTTTTTACATTACAAATAAGCCTGAACCCATCAGGGTCCAACATACTAAACATGCTAATGTGGGGATTACGACTTGGCAACAGAAAAGAGTTACAGAAAGCAAGTGCTAATGTTAACAGTTAGATAGCATTAATAAATATTTATGGCATTTAAACTGTGACTGTGTTAAATTTAGATTGCACATCTGTATAATAAACTGTACTGGTGTGGTAGAGCTGTCTTAATAACAGACTGTAGCAGCTTAGTATGCTACAGCTTCATACACCACAGCACAGCACTGAAACTTCACTGATGCAAGTTTAGCAGACAAAGTGTTGAGCCGTTAGCCAAGCTGCTCTTGCTCCACTATACTGCACTTGGTAGCACCAGAGGCTAGCAGGAGCTTAGCAAGCAAACGAAAAGAGTTTCATACAAGACAGTTTAGATATCCATAAGTTTAAAAAATAAAGACTCAAATCTGAGGGAGCAAAGTTTTTGTATGTTGAGCCCTTAGAAGATCATAAAGGACTCCACCCACCCAAGCCACTGTCTGTTCTCACTGCTGTCGAGTGGCAGGCGGTTCAGAAGCATAAAGTCGAGAAGCAGCTGATTCCATGACAACTTCTTTCCTTTTAGTGTTTTCAGTGAGAGTTCTCTGCTCAATCAATACTTGATTCAACTAAGCAGTTAGTTACCAGGTTTAGCAGGCATGATACAGCAGGGAAACTGTACCAGACTTAACTAATGGGTGGAATAGGCCACGACTAACTGGAGAAAGATTTAAAAAATAAATAAATAAAATAGTGAACTTTAAGTTTTCTTCTCTTAACTGTTGTTAAAAGCAAATGTTATGGTCCAAAGGTGGTGCTGATGGGTGCTGACACAACAACAAGGGCACAAACTGTGTGAGGTTTGAGATTATTGATATTTACATTATTTATATTGTTTTCCTCCAAATAAGCCAGCTAGTCTTTAATACATTAAGTTATTGCAAAGTGATAAAGACAACATGGATTTGCATTAGAAACATTTAAAAAAGGTAGGCCCCCACAAGGTTTTGAATGGCAGTGTACATAAACTGAAAACATCTATCTACAAATACAGTAAAGCAAACAGTGGTAGGAGATTTTATCAGGTAAACCTGCTCTGTCCATGACACACTTCTTAATCAGTAACAAAAGCACAGAAAACACTGGTAGTGTGCACTTCAGGGCTGAGCGTATGTATGATTCAGCCAGAGCAAAACAGTTCATTTGATAAGGATGTTCTTTTAATTCCCTCTTAGCTAAACTCCTCAAATTATGCATGACCGTCACAGTACTGATGCATCATAAACATACTTTACATTATATATTGCACTCATTCATGTCAGCACGTAGAATTTTACTGCACTGGAGTGTAGCTGTTCTTTTGTTTTAAAAATGTATCATACCATTGGGCCTTCCAATTACATATCCTGAGAGGGCCCTGTTTTATTTTATTTATAGGCCATGTATTATGTGGGCTAATATGATTTTGCAATGTAATTTCCACCAAGCCATTAATTCCTACAGTGAAAGTTATCATTCTATAGACCAAATGCTAGTATATTAAATTACATATATCTTAAACACAAACATAACTCACTAAATCAACTGAACAACCAGGTATAAATCGCCCAAGTATGCAATAAACAAATGTTTTTTTTTGTTGCTAGAAATATTAAATATTTTCTTGTTGAGATATTTAACACTATTTGAATAAAAATGTGGGTTTTTGGGGGATTTTTGCCCAATTTTCTCCCCAATTTCATCACTGCCAATTCCACCTTTTAGTTAAGTCTCTCCCATCAGGGAGGTAGAAGTCTAGCAGGAGTTTCCTTCATGGCACATCTTTGATGCACATCTTTTCAAACTGCTACTAATGCAATGTCATTGGACAGCAACACACTTGGAGAAGAGCAGCAACTACCAATTCCGCTACATCACCTAACAGATGCCCATGCTGGTTATCATTACAGGAAGAGGGAAGGCCACCTACCCAGAAACAGCAAGGCCAATTATGCTCTTTTGGACTCCTGGCTACAGATAGCTGTGGCATCTCTGGCAATCAAACTTGAAAAAATGTAATATTAGACACATATATTTAAATGCTACCCCATCTCCCCTCTCACCGATGAGCTCTGCTGGTTTGTTGGGTCTTTTGTTAATGAAGCTCTCAAAGGCCTCCTTCATGGCATTGATGAAGGTTTCGTTCCTCTGGAAGCAGCGGTGTGTTACGTTGTCCATCTTGTCCTTAAAGTCCAGCAGCTCCTGCACCATGTCCTTGTCTTTCTCTGGAGAGCCCACAATCTCACCCCCAAAACTCTACAGGAGAAAGACAACACTGCCTAAACAAGAGATAAACTAGGCAAGAGCCAGCAGGGGCTGGACTACTGATGATAGCTGAGCTTCTGATAAACTTGCATTGAGAACTTCACAAGAGTAAACGCTGTTCCCAATAGACTGCGCTGCGAGGTATACCTACACTTGTAGCCCATCTGTAGCCCCCCTCTCTACCCCATTCATCAATGGAAACGGAGTACAATAGGACAACTGCTGACTAGACATTATTAGGGTGGATGATTCTCAGCACATGTCAGTGACACTGACATGGCAGCAGCATGGTAAGGAAAGCAGGGCTGTGGGTCGGGCAGAGCAGTGCTACTGGGTTTTTAAACACTGTGTACACTTACTGGCCAACATATGGGGCCCACACTGTGGATGTACTAGTATAGATTATAGCTCTTATCTTTTGCTTGCAGAATTTCTAGTATTCAGGCCATGGATCGCAAGTTAGCATGACTGAAAAGTCAAACTTCAAATATACATGCAGTAAAAATAATTAGTTACAAGGGAAAAACAGCTCTGTTAGCTAATTATAGCCTTTACTAGCCAGCTGATTTTTCTTGTTATAAATTGTACTCTGGACAGTAAAAAAACATTGTTAATTTTGGGGTGGGTTTTAGAAGAGATGTACTCCAAAAGTTTAACAAGTTTCCCCAAAAAAGCCCCAAACTTGTATTCTCATGAGATCACGTCTCGCCACATGAGACTATTCTCAACACTGCAATGTCACAGAGGTGTTTATAAAAAAAACAAAACAAAAAAAAACAAACAATACATCTCGGTGCTTGACGTACTGGCAGCTCAGTATATAACTCCTGAGCTCAGATGTGTGCGCGCATGCTCACAAATGTAAGAAACACATTTGGATATTTCAACAATTCAACATCAACACATAAAAATAAGCTAATACAGCTGCTTCATTATCAGTGACTGTGTGTGTTTGTTTATGTACCTTGATGTAATCTCTCCAGAACTGCAGCAGTACAGGCAGACCCCCTTTCACTTTACTGAAGAGCTGGTACAGTAGAGTCAACTCGGTCACACGATTCTCATCCAACAGAGTGCTCAGCCCTGAGGGTCAGAAAGGAGAAGAGTTAGTTTATGTGATCACACACTCTCTCTCAAGCCTTTCACAATCATTACATAATTGTCTGATCACAATTATTTTTACCATTAGCGTTCACCGTCTCATATTTATGTCCAACAATCATATCTTTATGTTCAACCAACAGAACTGCATGTGCTTTCATCAGCTGAATTGTAGCAAACAAATGTAAACAAAAAGCTGGAAATGCACTTATTGAGATGTCACGAGTTTTACAAAAATGACAAGAGTTCTAACTTCTAACTGGTGCTACAGCACATTTAGATGCCGTGGTGAATAATGCTTGTTTATTTGAGCTCAGCTATGTTTGTCGCCTACTATGTATCAACAATTAGGAATCCAAATAGCTAATCACAGAATTTGGCCACTTTAGGCTTGTACTTTAATAGCTGTACACAATGAGCAAAAAAGACAATTACATTGTTAATTAAAATTATTAGATACCAATTCTGAAAAGATATGACCCGATACTGAGTTACGATTTTTTCATTCACGAAACCCAACCAAATGTGGTCATCAGTGATGCATACAAGACACCTGGAAAAGCCAGGTGTAAATGGCTGTACATCTTACTGTCCACTTATAATCAAGCTAATAGCAAGCGTGAAGAGGGACTGTGAAACTGTATAGAGAGTGGATTGGTCACACCGGGCCGATACCCGATCAGTTTAACTAGGCCAGTATTGTGCCGACACCAATTCAGTGTATCGGATCTGTGCAAAACTAACTCACAGAAATGCTCTCTCTACGACACACAATAATATTTCACATACCTTTCTGTAATATGGCCGTCATGTGTTCACCCAAAAGTTGCTTCTCTACCGTAGAAATTAGTGGTTTTCTATAACAGACAAAGGCAGAGTTCTAACTTACAGCACTTTTATAACTAATAGGACTGTCTGTCAGACACAGAGGCATAACTTACTGAGTGCTCTGATCTAGGTAACTGATGACACGATCGTTCTCCTCCTCTAGCCGTCGTGCTACATGGTGCAGGTATTCAGGCACCTGAGTGAAACACATACGAGCACTTCAGTTCAAAACTGTGAGCTAAGGAGTTGACATATGGGTGTACGGGTAAATGTGCATTGGTTCACATACAGCAGGAGATTTATGAAGCAATATATGTAGCCTTTTGTGCTTACGTCTCTCTCTAGCATCAACCTTTGACCTTCTGCAGCATACAAGCGATCTGTCTCTACTAGGAACCGCTGTTCAAAAGACTCCTTATACACCTAAAAAGAAGAAAAAGGAGAAGTAATGAGCTAAAAAACGAAAAATTGCACTAAAATCAAGCAAGTCCTATTATGGCCAATATAAGTCAACTAATGAGTCAAACCGTTCTATAGTCCAATATTTGCCACAACTGTCATTTAGGTAAGTACAAGTTTATAACTAATATTAAAATGCTTCCAAGAAACCACCCATCACCTGCAGGTCCGACAGCATGCCCAGTAAACTGCGCAGGAGACTCCGGTCCACAGTCTCACCATTCCTCTCTCGCTCTATTTGCTCTAAGATCCCTTCCACTGTGCGGCTCTGGACCATGCTGTCACTCACAATATGTGTCCGAAACAGCTCCAGTCCTGTGTCCCTAAGTGATTACAGCCAAAGTTATTACTGCAATAAAGCAAATAGGTGTGTGAAAAGTTTACAAAGAGGGTTTCTGATTGGTTAACTCACCAGATGGAGGGAAGCAGGGAGTTCTGGAGGACGTAAGTACGATCCAGAAACAGAAAAATGCTACGGATCATGATCTGGAGAAATACAGTTCATATTAGAGAACCGCATGACATGCAAACACATACAAATACTTCACAACGGATTCTCGAAAAAAGAGTTATTAGTCAATTATTTGCAGCGCGACTACTTAAAAACTTAAGACAAGTGTAACCATTTATGATCTGAATGTTTTCAGATTTGATCCTGAGGTAGTCGAGTAGGCACTGTGACCAGATCTCTCTCTCTCTCTCTCTCTGTGTGTGTAAAAGCAAAGTGACGAGCTTCGCTACATTCACTGTTTACAGTCACGTGCACTCCACCCACAGCTTCAAATATCGTTCCCACCTTTCTAATTAAACAATTTATTTTTAGGCACTTCTACTTGTATTCAAACATAGGCTTACAAACGCAAAAGATGAAAAGCCATTTGCTGCCTGTGAAGGACAGTACACAATTCTTCCACCACTCCTGCCTGCAAATTTAACCCGTATCTTTCTGTCTATTGTGCTTCAGTTGTAGTAGCTAAAGAAAACGCTCAGAATTCTTTTCTTTCTCTGTGGCTTAAAATGCCTGTAAAGCTCTGAACAGCAATAGCAAAATGGTTTGTAAAGCATTTAACACAGTATAGCCTATATAGACTCCACCTTCTCCGCTTTAAAAAAAGGAAATACTGCGTGGGAAATGAGATCCGATCAATACCTGGACGCAGAAAAGGGCAAGTGTAAATGTGTCGTGTCTTGACTAGAAGATGATCATGATAATTTGATATTAATGCCAAATGTAAACAGGGCCAAAGATTTCACAGATTCAACAATACCTTTGGAAAAAGACAAACTAAAAAGTCTTTTTAAAAGACTTCATTAAAAGAAACTGATCTCACTAAGATAATTTAAAATCATGCGAACTGTTATTTAAGTGTTCATTCACTGAGAAAATACATTTCTACTATTTTAAAAATATATAATTTTGTAATTGGGTTTTAAGTAATCACAGAGGCTCTACTTTGTTCCCTCAGGGCTAAAACTCTTTGTTTACCACTGTTTCTTTCTTACTGTTTGTCTACAGTGGTCCTGCCAGCATCTGTTCATCCTCTTCAGGAACGACAGGCTATCCAGTGAATCTGTGAGAGCAGGTTAAGGCATTCAAACATGATATGGAGCCAACCTGTTTAGCAGAACATCTGGAACTGCCAGTTAGTGAGATTGCACCATGTCATTTGGTGAAAATAACAGGATGCTGCCCCCTAGTGGAAGAGCTAACATGAAGTGCTTTGGCTTTAGAAAGACGAGGGTTATCACTGACGAACAGCGCAACACAGCAACACACACTTCGCTGGCCAATCTCATATCACACATACACGCTGAAAAACACACAGCGAAGGATATTCTCTAAACTGGTGGATTTGAGCCTGGACGTGATCTTCACACACTTGACGGAGCTGCTTGTATAACATGGGGGAGACCTTGTAGGAGCAAAGATTCTCCACTGCCTAAAAGAAAGAAAAAGAGAGAGAGAGTGAGAAAGAGAGAAAGACAATTATTATTCCATTACCCGATAATATTGTTAGAAATCAAATTAAATAATAAAAAAAGATATTTACACAATACTGCAAAAATATTAATAATAATAATAATAATAATAACATCAATAATAATAAACTATAATAATATTGGTCAGAAAATAAATAACAGTGTAACTTCAACAAAGGCAACAAAAAAATAAAAAAACTTTTATATTCAGTTTATATTCAGTTATTACTATACTATAATCATGATGTGTCTTGAGCTTTTCTTATTCTATTACACTTTTCAACATAATATCTGCAAATTATATTATTAATTTATGCCTCTTATTGATTTCCAGTTTGAACCAGAATGAATTTGCCAATTAAACTCTAGGGGCCTGTATGTGGGTCCACACTTCAACTCCTTACTAACTATATACTTCATAAATTAGTTTTACGGTAGTTATATTTTACAGCAATTACTGAAAAGTATGTCTTAAAATAAAAATGTCTAACAACTTCATAATGAGTCTGCAGTTTAGTCAACTACTAAACTGTTCCTTGACAAGCAGAACATGATGTTCAGTAATCTGGCATGATATGCTGGAATGTTCTGCTTGTTTACTACATGACTGCTCCACTTGGCACGAACCAGCAATGTTACATCACCATATGCGAACAGCAAGCAATGCAATGATCAATCTGGGCAGAGGAAGCACTAATCCGAATCTAATTTGTGACACATGTAGCTGGCCCATAATAAAACACACAGGTTAACTGTGTTTGATGATGTTTAGTCCAGAAGACAGTTCTGTAACTCAGAGGTTCATGCAGCATTCTTTGTACAAAAGACTCACAATCAATGACAATTGACAAATGTTTCTGCTGTTTGAAAAAAACCTTTTATCTTCATCTTTGTCTTATTTATACATAATTTATAAATACGACACACAGACCAATAGAAACGATCCAAAATGATTTTATAGAGATGCAAGGTTTTGTTCCAAAAGCAATGACTGAGGTTAGTTTAGCCAATTCCTTCATTTCACTCAAAGCTTTCAATTGCAAGTAACACAATTTTTGCCCTTGGATTAACATTCAGGCACTTGGCAGATGCGCTTATCCAGACACTTTTACAGAGGTAGGCAAAGGTAGCGTTAAGAATCTTGCCCAAGGACTCTTATTGGATAGGGTGCTTGCCCTGGTGGTGGACTGAAACCTAGTCTGCAGCGTAGAGGGCAGAGGTGTTACCCACTACACTATACCAACAATTTGAGCCCAAGCCTCCATTTGGAGACCAGAAACTTTGATTCTGGTGCTTTAGACCACTCGTCCATTCTGACATGATCATGCTGAAACTTCAGAACAACATGGCCACTGAACCACAGACGTGGTTCTAACTTTGAAGCTTACAATGAACATTCAAACAGGGCTTGTGAGCCAGTCACAAACTACAGCTTGTCAGAGAACACTAAGAACGGAAATACTAAAAATATATAGTGGGCTTAATATTTACTCGTGATGGCTTAAATGAATCCTAGGGCTTCCCTTAAACTCAGTGCACACTTATCACATGCTTTTTATTAATTATTATAATTATAACTGATTCTATATGTAAAACTACAATATACTGCACTGTATTCTGATGTGTTTGCTATTAATCATAGACGTTTCAGAGGCTGAACTGCTCCGACCAGCTGTACAGATAATCTACCATCTCTTTCATTTGAATGTTGTAGGAGGAATTACAGTGCAGCCTGCTACAAGTTGTACAAGGAAAGCACAAATCATGCACTAGGGGAAGTGTAATAGGGTATGTAAGCGTGACTCCAGGGTGACTTGTTTTGTCTTCTGATATAAAACAAACTGAGTCAAGTTAAGGCATAGGCTTTACTTCTGTGTGCGCAGGCCAAACTTAGGCTAGCAGCTTACACCAGTTCTGGACCCTTCTCTGTATGTTTCCTTAAGTGCATACCACTTTTCAAGGTCAGAGGGCACTGTTTGCATTTCTCCAAGACCCAGAACCAAGGTCAGTTGGTCAGCCTACCTGATAAAGCTCCTCCAAGTTGTATTTGATAGAGGTGCTGTTCTGTATAGCACCGACAGCATCTCGCAGCTTCAGCCACGTGTCCTCTGTGTAAGTTTCGGTCAGCTTCGGTCTATCTGTAAACACAAGGCAAGCATTTTCAGTTTAGCCGTTCTGCTGCCCTGCCCCATCCACAAGTATAACTTTACAGTGTATACTCGTTGGAAAGAGCATGCATGTAATAGAGAAAAAGAAATTCTATAATTGCAGAAAAAACAGATGGTAAACAAGCATGTTGGAGACAACATGACTGCTCAGAAGACTACATTCAAGAGTTAAGTAGAGCAAATTACTAAAAAGGACAAATGATGAAGAAACACATTGAGCTGGTTTCCCTGCATATGGACTAAGCCTTGTCTTTAAACTGCAGTGCCAATGGTGAATCGCTGTGAAAACTGTTTTAAGTCTAGGCTTAGCCCTATTCGGGGCCTGGGAAACTGGCCCACTGTCAGTCAACACGAATAAATTAGGGATGCACTGATACGGGAACTGTGGACCGCTGCTGATGTCCGATATATACATAGGACACACAGGACTAGATCTACCTGAACTAGAATAGGGTTGTAAATACAGTTAAATGAATAAAATGCAGATATTTTAGCAAAGTATCCCACTGTCACCTAAATGTTCTGCTCTTCTGAAGTACAATAAATTTGTAATCAAATACTGGTTTGAAAACATTTAAACATCTGGCCCATATCAAAGAAAACTGGATTTCTAAAACTTAAATAAAAGTTTACAGTACTGTTCACTCATCAGTCCATACATGGAAACTAAGCTGCAAAAAACTGTTTTACATGCACGAAATCCAGTGCATTAACATATATCCATCTATTCAGCCTACAGCAGTTTAGTTGCGCTGACATTATAAAGCGTTTTTCAGTCCAGACAGCTTTGTGAATGAAAAAACATTACAGGGCAGCCAATCAGAACAGAGCCCATTTATCTTAAATCAGTTTTAAAAGCACAGTGATAAAAAGTCTGTTTAATTCTTTTAAATAAATAAATAAATAAATAAATAAATAAATAGAGATTTGGAAGTGGTCATGTTTTTGGAACATAAACATGAACATCAAAAGTGGACCTCAAGGGAAAAAATAAAATAAAATACAACACAAAATACAATATATACAGTATACATGATAAATCGTACACTTTTAATAGTTTAGCTTTAAACTCATAGGTGCAAATTCTCAGACAAAAGGCCAATTTTTGATGCCTTTGAAAAGGACATGGAACTCTACATTGCATTAACCCAGCCCACTTTAAAACAGCTATAAAAACTGTAAGAGCATGTATGTACTTCAATGTTTTGTGTAGTTATATATATATCCCCCAGCAAATTTACGTACGTGTACACTGTTACACGTATGTTTCTTTTTTATGCATCCGATGTTGTGTACTACGGTTTGCTTTCAATAAAAAAAATAATAATTTTAAAAATTGCCAGCACTGGGAAGACCTAACCTGACATCACTACTGTTATGTTATGGCACATCATTGTACATCATTCAGCAATAAAGAAACGGAATCAAAACACTTTATTGGACATTGTGTAATCCTGCACGTCACTGATTCGACCTGTAAACAGATGAACAGCAACCATCGTGATTCATTATGAAACCTGACCTGATCCTTCTGTAGATTAACGAAAGCAGTAGAAGCCTTACAGAGCCCGAGTTTGTACATGAAGGTGAAGTCAGTTTCTTAATCGCCAGCTTCTTGTTGTAATTTTCCCGTTCCACCTTAAATGGTGCAGCAGTTACATGCTGGCGCCTCGGGCCAGAACGCAACTGCCGCACCATTTAAGGTGGAACGGGAAATTTCGAACAAGAAACTGATAAATAGGAAGCCAACTTCAGCCTCACAGCTTGTACCCGACAAAACCAAACAGCAGTTCGAGGGACGATGGTGTTAAAAGTTAAGATAATAAACGGAGCGACTGTATCCTGTGTGTCTTCTTGACCGTTTTGTTACAGTCATTTTCCGTCAGTGTAACTGCCTGTTGGACGGAGCCTCTCACTTCAAAACAAACAAAAAGCGACTAGCCTAGCATGGCTAGGTAACCGTTACATTTCAGCATGCACCGGTTTTATTTTCATTCAGCTGAAGCTAAGAGTACATTCAGCTAGCTATCATTAACAGTTCACAGGCCGTGACATTTAGCTGATGTTATATAATCGTTTCCATCGGGCTGGAACTGCTGGAAGAAGCAGTTTTTTGGCAAGCGCTCTACTGTTATAAACTTAGGAGCGGAGAGCAGCTTAGGTTAGCTTAGCCGGCGTTAGCCACACCGCTAACTCACCTTTAAAGTTTTTTATCACCAGTTTCTTCGACGCTCCTGTTTTTGAGGCCATCGCAGCAGAAGCTGGGCTCTTTGTCACTCCGTTGCTGTGCTCTGCCAAGGCTGAAAAGTTTGCTTTCTTGTTCTGTCGTGTGTCTTCTGCCATTATGTCGGAAGATTTGTTCTTTTCTGCGCTAGGAAAGCGACCGCAGGCAGGCTGTCACCGTTTTGTTTTGTTCGCGGCGCTCCGACCTGGACGGATTAAAACTCTCCTTCTTTACTGTTCTGGCTACTAAAATTAGATGAAACCCAACGCCCGGTATGAAGCCTAGTGACTAAAGTATAAATGTAAACCTAAAGCCCCGACTAAATAACTGCTCCCTCTCTATGACAAAGTTATGAGGAAAGTAACGCTACAGCCGAACTGGAGCTTTTCGGTTCTGCTAAACTTAGCCGGCTAGCTAGCTAGCTCAGTTAGCGTGTAGCTAACTATGCTAACCTAAATAAAAACCACACCGCTATAAGCACCGTAAATATCTCCAAAGCGCTGCTTGTCCTCAGCATTCCTGAGGCGTACGACCGTCATGTAGGGTTTCGGCCTAATGTTTCCGTACGAGAGAAAGCGCACTCGAGTAAAAAGTGCAAAACGGTCATAGTTAGCGGCTAATTTTGGCCAAACGCCGTAACAAAATGGCCAGAGCGCCGCGTCTCCCCCCAGCGTGTCGATAATAAAAGTCCCTCCTGCGTTGTTTACGGACTGAGATCCGCAGATGAATTTTAACTCTTTAGGGCATTGAGATTGGTCCCAAAATATTTGTAATGACAAAGTCGTTTAATAAAGTACATGTTAATGTGTTTTACTGTTTCTTATCTGTGAATAATACGTTTAAGAGCAAAACTGATCAGGAACAAATATTTCAGCACCATGGAGAGAGAAACTAATCAATGGTCCGTGTTAGTAAGCGTTAAATAGCATTATTAGTTATAATGAATATGATATGATCGGGGTCCAAACCACATCTCATTCCTAACCCTAAATCCTCATCTTCTAACACTTCGCCTATAAGAACTGAGTTGTAGCCAAGGGGTGGCCAGAGGTGGCCAGTGCCGCCCCAGTATGAAGCATGGTCATCCTTCTGACCACCTCAGTTATGGAAAGTGACACAGTCAACTATCATCAGTCAGCCATCATTAGTAAAGAATCAGTTATGCGTTGTGGTGAAAATCTGCTTTTGGGGTTTTTACAAATCAGTTATAAGAGTCTGATGATGCTCATTAGCGTATCTTGCAGTAATGGGTTCATCTGCTGAGCAAACAGGCGAGTGAACGTGCTCTGGGTCCTTCAGCAGTGCTGCTCTGTGGGCTACATTATGAAGTAGACTATGCGATGCTAAGATAAGTTAACTATCAAAATCAGTCATAATAATTTATCATGCTAGCTTATTTCTTTTTACAGTCAAATACATTCAGGTGTTGTAGGTTCCCTTATACAGTGCCGAGCTTTCTAATCATTAGACTCATATATAATCTGTAGTGAAGGGCAGCCTAAATGAATAACTTCTATGGCCGGTCTATATGAAATATTTTTAATAAAGTTAACACTGTGCAAAAAAAAAAGGATGAATTTCATTTACTTTATTCAAATGAACCATTTCCTCATGAACGGCTAAAATATGTTAAATCAACACAGTTTTGTCTTTCAGTTTACTTTCGTCAGTAGTTGTATTGATGTATTATTTTATTCACATGGAAATGATGAACAGGTTTAGTTATGTACAGAGAAAAAACGACACATTAATTCATATTTCATTTTAGTACAGCATTGCTATTTTATTTTATTTTTCTAAGGAGTGTGCTGCCACATAAAAAAATCTGTGGGTCTTACCTGGCTCCCCCATTCTAAAAGTTTTAGCTACACCCTTGTATAAGATATCCCAGAATTCCACATTCTGAACTGTGCTATTTGTGGTGGATTAAACAGCACCCCAGGGTCAACCACCATCTTTCACCCTTGTGAGATAAAAGTATGCTCTGTAATGTATTTTGCATATTTGGAAATTTTCTGTGTAAGTATTTGATCTGTGATATTTATATTCCTCCATTTTGTTAGCCTTCAAGATGTAGTAATAAAGAATTAGAAAATGTAAAATAACAGACATACATATACAAAACTGTCTTTCACACATTCAACTCCCCACCCCAACATACCTGATCCAGCTCATCAGCTTATTAAGGCTAATGAAGTGTTACAGGTTTTGATAAGCTGGATCAGGTGTTTTGGAGCAGAAAATACATGAAACTGCATGGGTCTGTGCTGCTGCCCGATTTATACTACACACATTTATATTACTGTTTTCATATAAAATACCACACGTGCACACACACATATTATAAATGTATATATATATATATATATATGTATATATATATATATATATATATATATATACATATATATATATATATATATATATATATAACTGTACTAGCTATTTAACTGGGTAGTAAGTGTTAATTTGCTCAGAAAAACACTGATAAAAGAATAAGCACAAATAACATTAATACATTCCAAGCTTTTGGGTGGTAGTGTGTGTGTGCTAAACTAATCTCTCATCGGATCACCTAACAGCTCTCTCTGTGAGTCTCGGTTCCTCTCAATGTTTCTTCCTTTTTTTTGCTCAGAGTTTTTCCTTGCCTCTCTAGCCCTAGGTGACACTGGGGACTGGGGACTTGAAATGTCCTTATTTACATTCAGTTAGGGTCAGATTTGAGGTCACTCCAGGGCTGATCAAAGAAAGAGCCTGTAAAAAAAAAAAAAGAATGGGTGAGGCACCAGCAGACAGTTCAATAAACTTAAAAGAAGCAATAAATTATACTTTATTGCAACAAACTCTATTTGAGAGATTTTGAGTTTTGGCTATTAATTTTGTTTATTTAGGTTTTGTGTGACGTAAACATAAAAATGAAGAGCATTAGCGTTTCGAGTTAATTTGGCTTTAGTGTGTTTTAGTGTGTGTGCAAACAGTTGCAGTAAAGGTTAAACACGCTGTTACTCCAAATCAAGTCATCTCTGATTCATGCAGTGTCTTTCTGGTGTGTGTTGTTTTCTTTGTCTTTTCTTTTTTTTTCTTCAGGAAGAAAGAGCTCTAATAGCTCAGTCCAAATTCATGTTCCTGTGAGAAATGCATTTTATACATCGATGCTTTCCACGAGATGGCGCTAAGGGTTTTTAAACAGACTTCAGTGCAGGATGTGCAATCAGGTTCGGGTGAGCTTTGTCACTCAATAAGGGCCTCAGGGAGGGCGCTGCCGAGCGAGTCCAAAATGAATGGGTTCCTATGGAGCGTGTGTGCAAAACTGCAATTACAGCAGTGCTGCCATGTTTCTGAACGCTTTTCAACATAAGTTACAGGACTTTGTGAGTGTGAGCCCAAACCGCATTATTAACCGATTTAGCCAAAAAATAAGACCTGTTTCCTGAAGGAAACCCGAAAGATGCTGGTAATTTTTCACTGATTTGTATAGTACAGTATTCTACTTTCCAAAAGTATAGTAAGGAAATTTCTGTGTAAAAGAACTATAAAAATGTTAAATTAACATTTTTAGTCATTTAGCTCCATTCACCCCCATTCACCAAGGACTCATTCATGGTTTTGCAGTGGTGTTTTTGGTTTAATGTGAGGAACAGGAAGAGGCCAGACTCCCCAGAAACACAGGCTGAATCTCAAATGGCTTCTACTCCCTACATAGTCAGGAAACTGCCTTCTACATACAAACAGTGCAGTAAGTGTGAAAGAGAATTATGCAGCCTATGGCTGAATATAAATGGCTTTCTATGGCTTTGTTAGAAACATAATGCACCATTTGGGTGTAGAAGCTATTATTTCATGACTTGCATAGCGCAGTACGCAGGGAGTAAGAATTAAGACATTTGACACAGAGCCCGACTCTGATTATACTGAAAGTGTGGTAACAGCCAAACAAAATAAAACGAGCAAAAAGCCTTTATATACAATACTATTTTCAATTAAAAGTAAGATTAAAGTATTACTAATAAAGTACAAACATTTTGCATTTTATTTATTAAAGGCTTCACTTGGATAATTCACATTTTTCTGAAAGTTCCTCTTTTTTTAATTTTCGTTTAAATTAAGTTTAAACTCAAAACTATTTAATAAGTTCATCCCACTTTATTGTGTAGCTTAATAATACTCACTAAAATGTAATTTGTATGTTAATTTACATTGTTTAATTTGTGTTACATAGTTATGTGGTGTTACTGTATATTGTTTATTTACACTCCGAGTAGAGAAGAGTTTATTTTCAAAAGAACAACTTTGTTAACATTTTTCATGCTCTGTATTTTGCTTTTTGTATATTTTTTGTACATATATTTTTTGCGTATTGTATTGTGTTTATAATGGCTTTATGTTACCATGCACCTGAAAAATGGAACCAGTCTACCAGTCGAGATGAGACAGTACAAGCAGCTTAATACATAATTATTTATATGAATTCTTTTCCCTGAACCCTTATTTTTACTTCTACTATTAATACACTTATTTATTTATTTATGTAGTCATTTAGTTTTTCATTCATTCATTCATTCATTCATTCATTATCCATGTTATTTTAACATTCCTTTGCTTTGATTTTATTTTATTACAAAATGTATATTTATTGTTACTTTTAATTATCTATACTTTCTTTTAATATCATTATTTAATTATTGAATTAGTAGCTCTTGCTTTGATGCCCATACAGTGGATGAAAGGTGAAAGGTGCTGCACAAGTAAAGATTTAAAGAATTGAATTAAATAAAAGCCACAACAATAACTACTACTTCATATATATTTCATTGTATATATTTATATGTTTTATATTCATGACGCTGAACGAGTGCCAGAGCCCGTTTTTCACTATAAGTTCTCTGCCAATACCACATTTTTTATATATATGCTGTTCACTTCATATGTGTCCGGCGGTATGTGTCCGGCAGACAGTAAAACGCTTTTTTGATTCTTATCTTGAGATTCGACGCCAGTGAAAAGTAGCGAATCTGCTTTTGTGAATCCCGAGTTCACATGGGTAAACACGAAGTCTGTGAGGAGCGCTGAAGCTCTCGGGCACGTTTTACCGCTGAAAGAGTGATATGAGACCTTAAAGGTATTTATGATTGGAATATTTTGTGTGACAGTTGTAGGACAAAAGGTACACCACGCCGCAGCCTCGAGTCAAACGTTAAAAGGTGTGTTTTGTTGATGGCTGTTCAGCAGAATGAGAGCGCTAAGCTAGCATACCGGCTAACTAGCGTAGCCGGTGTAGTGATGCGGCTCGTTTAGTGATATAAAGCAGATTTTAATGACGACCGCTGAGTTTAATCACATTAAAGTCCCGTCAGAGGTTCGGCTGTGATATTAAACTCGTACACTGAATGTTAATGACCAAGAAGGCGTCTCCTTAAGACGAGGCGATATGATAATATTTATCATTATCGTGATAAATTATGTCTGTTTAAGCTTTTTTGAGCATATTGTGGTTATCGTCAGTACTGAGAAGAACCCAGACTGACTGCGTTTCATTAAAAAGAGGGCATAATTGGTCCCGTTTAAGTAGATTCAGTGCAGTATGTGAAATGCTGTAAAGGTCATTGGCACTGCACGTTCTTAATAGTATTTTAATTGTGGAAGCACTGGCCCTTTTTTTTTTGTTTTTTTTTGCCTATTTCAACATTTCATATGTCAGACAAAATAAAGATGATGGCATATCGCCCACCCCTACTTCTCGTACATGATGAATGCAGCTGTTTTGTTTTGTTTTTAGCTCTGCTGTCCGGGATCAACATGGCTCACATCACGATCAATCAATACCTCCAACAGGTACCTTCAGTTTGTATGCTGTAACATCACTCAGAGTGGTTTGATGTGTAGTGCTTTGTTCTTGAGAAATTTACAGAGTCAGAATTGTTCACAGTGGTAGTGATGGGAACCAGACATCTGAAGTGTTTAATGACCGTAGAAGCTCCCTCACAGAAAGTTATTACGTGAAGTGGTAACAAATACGCTGCTTGATGTCTGAGACTCTGTTTTACGATAGTTCGATTAGCAATATTTTTGGCGTAAAACATATATTTTTTTCAATCCATTAATGGTGGAGAGATACATGCCGGGCCTTCTGTGGCAAAATAGTTCCCAAAGAAATTTTCTTTTTTTCAGATTTACCACTATTTCACTATTATCAACATTACATATAAAAACCCAGAAGACACGTGTAGGTTAAGTGATCGGTTTGTGTCATATACATCATGACTCCTGGTTCCTGTGACCACCACTGTAACGTTAAAAAGACAGAGCTGATTAGTGTCTTTACAATGAACCATCTCACATCAAAACAGTATTCATAGGGACAATGTCTTAAAATATCATGATATACTGTTTTCTCTATATTTGACCTCCTCCCAAAAATATTGAATGGTGCCACATCACTCCAGAAAATGCAGTTCCACTGCTCCACTGAGGGGCTTTATACTCCACTAATAATAATAATAATAATGAAAAAAAAGTGTGGATGCTCCAGATTGTCCGGTTCTATTGGCAGTGCTTTTCTGTGGAGATTGTACAAGCTGTGTGTGCGCAACTGAATGCATCTTTAAGGGAATTCCACTGATTTTTAAAAATTTCTGCATAATTGAAATCTGTGAAATTTAGACACAGAAAAAAGAAAAAGAACACCATGCAAAAGTTTGGGCACCCCGAGAGATTTGAGCTCAGACCTTAATCAGCTCTTTAGGGCTGTGGCTGGTTAGAAAAGGCCAGGTAAAGCAAATTTCAAAGCTTTATAAATATTCTGGCTCCTCAAATCTTGTCCCAACAATTAGCAGCCATGGGCTCCTCTAAGCAGCTGACTAAAACTCTGAAAATTAAAATAATTGATGCCCCCAAAGCAGGAGGTGGCTATAAGAAGATGGCAAAACGTTTTCAGGTAGCTGTTTCCTTGGTTCCAATTGTAATTAAGAAATGACAGTTAACAGGAATGGTGGACGTCAGATTGAGGTCTGGAAGACCGAGAAAACTTTCCAACACGACTGCTTGTAGGATGCCCTGTTTGACTGCAAAAGACTTTTATCAGACTTTGGAGTGGTTGGTGTGCTGTTCTGCTTTGCAGTGACACATTTACACATAGGACCTTCATCAGAGAAAGCCATTCCTTTATCCTTACCACAACTTTCAGTGTCAGAACTTTTCAAAGGCACATCTAAACAAGCCTGATGCATTTTGGAAACAAGTCCTTGGACTGATAAGATTAGAATGAAACTTTTTAGCCACAATGAGCAAAGGTATGGAGAGAAAAAAAGGGTGCAGAATTTCATGAAAAGAACTGCTCTCCAACTGTTAAGGATGTTGGTGGATCGATCATGTTTTGGGCTTGTGTTGCAGCCAGTGGCACAAGGAACATTTCAGTGGTAAAGGGAAGAATGGGTTGAATTAAATATCCGCAAATTCTGGAAACAAATGTCACACCATCTGTAAAGAGGCTGAGGCTGATAAGAGGATGGCTGCTACAACAGGATAATGATCCTAAACACATGTCAAAATCCACAATGTACTACCTCAAGAGGCGCAAGCTGAAGGTTTTGCCATGGCCCTCACAATCCCAAACCAAAGAATATTACAGAACAAGAAGCCTTTTGTAAGGAAGAATGGGCAAAAATCACTCAAACAAGAATTGAAAGACTCTTAGCTGGCAACAAAAAGCATTTACAAGCTGAGATACTTGCCAAAGGGGGTGTTACTAAGTACTGACCATGCAGGGTGCAAAAACTTTTGCTTTTTTGTTCTTTTAAAATTGTGAAAGATGGAAATAAAAAAAAAGTGTTCTCGCTTAAAATATAAAAAAGTGCCATCTTTAACTTAATGTCTTTAACTTAATCAGGTCATCTTTTACTCACTTAGCTATTTACAGCAATAAAAAATTTGACCAGGGTGCGCAAACCTTTGCATGCCACTGTATATATCATTGCTGCAATATATATGTACAACAAGTATCTCCAAAGTAACAACAGGAGAGGACACAAATGTTCTTTACTTTAATGTAAGTTAACATAAACAATTTTATTCTAAGCAATTTTGGTGCATTTCTGTTGGTCCATTGAGTATCAACTTTTCACACATTGTAAAGGGCAGTAGGTGTACTCAAATTATATAGAAAAATTAACATCAAAAAAAAATGAAGATACTTCGTTTACTTATGTCGTTATGTTAGTCTTTTTGAGAAACACGGCCCACAGGATTTGGAGTCATGGTTAAAGTCATATTGTTAAAGATGCAGTGTTTTTGATGTAAAATTTGAACACCATGATCCAAACTGCCCACAGATACACACGTCTGAAACATCTAAGCATTGGTCAGGATGTTTGAACTTTGTTTGCTTATTGCAGCTTTCTTCAGTAGCAGTACTTTAAATGTGAGGATTGCAGTAGTGAGTGCTGAGTAGTGTATGGTACAGCCCTAACAGTCAGTATGGTTGATGTCTGTGCCATAGAGGTTGTATGTCGGGCTTAGTAGCAGCGCTCTTTTCACAGGTGCTGGAGGCCATTGACACAAGGGATGGAGTGTTCTGTGCAGAGCTGCTGTCATTCAAACACCCACATGTAGCCAATCCTCGTTTGCAGGTAAGACGTCTTATTCTCTCATTCTTTTATCCTGTCTCTTGCAAAAGGTATGCATTGATTGTGTTTTTATATGCTTACCAATAATACGATCTGATTTTGGCAGTCATCTTTTTTGATTTTTAAAGTGTTAGTGTACAAACCCAATTCCAAAAAAGTTGGAACAGTATGTGAGATGCTAATGAAAATAGAAAACGGTACAAAAGCACAATATTTGCTTTATTTTGTTTCTGTTGTGGCTGATTGTGTTTGCAACAAGAGGAAAATTCTGAAAATCAGGCTCACATTAAAAAATGTGAACTTCATGTAAAATTTAAGCAATTAATATTTAATAGTCTGTGAGTAAAGTGTGCTACTTACTCTTATTTTTTACTCTCAGCTTTCCAGTCCGGAGGACAAGTGTCAGCAGGTGCTAGAACCTCCTTATGATGAGATGGTTGCTGCACATCTCAGGTAAACTGCTTATCTGTTCTTTCAGCCAACACTTCACCGGGCTTCTGTTCTGTTAAGGCTTTCATTCTTTACAATTCTCGCAGTTGTTTTTCTTCCTCTCTCTTTGCAGATGCACGTATGCTGTGGCTAACCATGACTTTGTGGAGGCATACAAATGCCAGACAGTTGTGGTCCAATATCCTTTTTTAATAACCTTAAATTCTATGATGTAGCAGGCAAAATGAGTAAGCAGTAGAGCATAATGAAGGTATAATTTTCTATTCTTAGCTAAAGATTCATTTCAGTTTTTGGTATGTTTTTTGGTAATTCCACAGAGCTGTAATTATGTGGCACGGTGGCGCAGTTGGTAGCGCTGTCGCCTCACAGCAAGAATGGCCTGGGTTCGATTCCCAGCCGGGTGACCAGGGTCATTTCTGTGTGGAGTTTGCATGTTCTCCCCGTGTCTGCGTGGGTTTCCTCCGGGTACTCCGGTTTCCTCCCACAGTCCAAAAACATGCAGTCAGGCTGATTGGACATGCTAAATTGCCCCTAGGTGTGAATGTGATTGTATATGTATGTCTGTCTGCCCTGCGATGGACTGGCGACCTGTCCAGGGTGTATCCTGCCTTCCGCCCAATGACAGCTGGGATAGGCTCCAGCACCCCACCGCGACCCAGAAGGATAAGCGGTTTAGATGATGGATGGATGGATGGATGTAATTATGTACTACACAGGGCCCAGTTTTTGAAAAGCATCTTAAGCATGATTTTAACAGGATTAGTTTACATGGGGGTGGTGTGGAAATGAAATTTTACCGCAGGACGTCTGTAATATTTTGACCAGCATAAGAAATGTTGGTATAAAAGACAGAGATGGGAGTGGTCTATACTCCAGAATAGAGCAGAAAAAACATTGTATGCTTGAGGGGGATAGTACATATCAGCTTGATTTCAGCCACAGAGACCACAAGTAAACGCTTCTTTGAGAAATGCCAGTAAAATTACATTACCCTACCTCTGAATGGTCCCTCTACCATTTAAGAATCATCTTTGTGCTGAGATGCTATCGGAAAATCCAGCCCAGATCGATTTGGCTCATTTTTCTTGGCAAACTGAACGATTACAAAGTAGCACATACCTGAGCAAGTTGCAGATCTTATAAAACAGTGCAATTAACTTATAAACAATACAAAAATATAGAATGCGCCAGGTGTAGGTTTCAATCATTGACAGTGGTTTATGGAAAAATGGCAATAGAGAGAGACCCTCAGAAGAGCCCGAAGTACAGTTTAAGTTCAATACACTGTTTCGAGTTCATTTTTTTTTATTTCTCAATAAAAGATTGAAATCTCCCTCAATTGATGTATGTTCTCGTTTATGCCAGTGATTAATACGAGCATGTATCCTAGATCTGTACTCTGTGAATGCAAGCTTAAGCACCTTTGTTTTGCCTTAACATCATACGTCATTTTTGAAAGCTTTTCAAGCACACAAAGAGGAGAATTGGTATGTTCAAACAAAAATGCATACTTACAGAGCAATGTTTCAAAAGTGCTTTTTTTCAGATATTTACAGTTGAACGGTTGTGATTACAGATACAATTGATCTCCTCTTGTTTTGTTGTTTAGGGCTTTGCCTGTGATGTTTGCTGTAACTCTTGACCTGCGAATATTCGCCAACAATGTAAGTTATGGTACTACAGGGGTTTAGCTTGAGGGCCTGTTTTGTTTCTGATCAGTGCTGTTGGTGCTTGTGCTGTTAACCACACTACTGTAATAGAACCAGTTATTTACAAACATGATGTATCCTACAAAATCACCTGTAGATGTTTATTTAGACTGAAAGTGCAGTATGTCCCAGAGAAATCCTGCACATGTATGGTGTTTAGATCAGAGTACCACCCTGAGGAAAGAAATGACTCAAACACGTGCTGTACATATTGAAAAACATACATTTCAATAAGGACATTAAAATAGGTCACTAAGATGATTGTCCACAACAGAAAAGGCAACAAGTTTATCTTTTTGAATTGAAAGTTTATCTTTTGAATGTTCTTTTCTGTAATGTTCCCAAACATGTTTGATCTCATAGACAAGTCATCAAAAATTTGTGATGATCGTGAGGGTGATATATATTTCTTTAAATCGTTTTGAATGTAGCTTGGTCAGCTACTGATTTAAAACAATAGAAAAACAAAGTGGAAGGGTGCCTCTTTGAAAAAGAGAATATACAAAATCAACAGTACTTTAAATTCTTAAAGAAGTGAGTTTTCAGTATTTTATATCGAAATGGCATAATAAAACGAATTGTATGTACAGTTAAATATTCGGGAAAGAGTAGAAAAAAAAGTAGAAATAAAGTCCTCTTATACTGATTGTGGTACAGCACCCAGTGACATCACTAGGCGGGGACTTATTAATAGAGAATTCAATATAGAGTATTTTACAATGACATTAACAAGATTTAGTCAGTCAGCTTAAAAAAAGGAAAAGGTTTGAGGGGAGGTACAGTGTTGCTGCTATCGTGATTTAAAAGAAGTCACTAACTCAACAACAAAACAATACTTCCATTTGAGCACCCATACAGGCGCTGAGCATCGGTCATTAATATGCATTACCTCGTTCATCTGTTGATTTTGAATGGAGGGACGCTTGTAAAAATGTAGCAGCTGTATGAGTAAGACTTAATTACTCTGCTACAAATATTGTGTGGCGAAGTGCGATTACTGCTGTGTTTTAGGAGTCAAATTCCTTATTTCTAAATTAGTGGATGTGATGAAAATATTTGTGACTACGCAGTTTTTCTGAAAGTTGACAAATTCTTCTCTGAAGGTGTGGTTGTGGTGTGCGGATGATGCACCTTTCACACCTTTAAGCGCTTTGCGTTAGCGGAAAGAGAAAATTTGCAGAGTGGTGGAGTCACTGAGGAGGTGTCCAGGACACGACCTCACAGGATGTCAGTTTAGTAACGTAGTGCAAGATTCTTCTTAAGATTATAATTTCTGAGATTATGCACGACATAGATTGATTGCTTACACTTTGGATTTAAACATAACAGTAAATGGGACTTGAATGATAAGTGATTTCCTATCCCCAGAATAAACCTGGCCCTGAACTAATAAAGAATTTCAGTGGGGAATCACCATTGGTATTATAGGCTTACTCCAAGATTGAGAAACAAAGCCCTAGCAACATACAGCTAAGGTCAAGATTATTAGCCCCCAAGGAGATCTGGAACATTTTCCTAAAATTCTGTCCAATGTTAACATCATTCATAAAACTTTACAGATTAAAACATTCATCAGTGAACATTTGTCAGTGTACCCCATTTCATAAGTTTTGTATTGGGAAAAAAAAAAAATTAAGATGGCTCTGTTACAAATGTATTGAATTTTGGGGTGGTCAAAATGATTAGCTCCAACAGGAACCCCCAGATCTCTGCAATGTGATCATTTAAAAACATGGGGATGCGTTTTGGAAGTCTGTTCTTTGATCTAATGAGACAAAACTGGAGCTGTTCAGGCACAAGGATGTTACTTTTGTTGGTGAAGGATGGGAGACACCTTCAACCCTACAAACACAATTAAATGTGGTGGTCATAGGATAATGCTGTGGGGCTGTACCATTTTCAGACGAAAATTGTTGATGGCTGAAATCTTGGTAAAACCAGTCCATTGATTTAAAACGTGTCCGAATGCAATAGGTTACTGAAGTTCAGGATATGGTGTAGGTGTTGACTAATAAGATGGAATAAGACGATGCCTACTGTGTGCCTTAAAACTGCTTCTTTGTTGTTATGCTGTGCTTCTTGTGGGTGTTCAGTTGCTGTGGTTTCGTTGCTTTGGCTGAGGTGTTCTCATTGTTTGTGTGGGCAGGCGGAGCAGCAGCTGCAGAAGAAGGGCAAAGGGAAGGTGGGAGACATGCTGGAGAAAGCAGCCGAGCAGCTGATGAGCTGCTTCCGAGTGTGTGCCAGTGACAAGTGAGTACGCACATAGACGCTTTACTAGGGCTGCTCAGTAAATCATTGTTGATCGTTACCACAATATTGTGTTTTCTGATCGTCCTCATTATCTCAGATGTTCCACATTCGTGTTGGTAATAGGGCTCACCTGATTTGAATTAGAACTCATGCTAAAGCTTAAAATATTTGTCCAAACAAAATGGGATCCAAGTGTTTACATTGTGTTCAGTCGGGTTGGGTTGGTATTTTGCAGATATGTGTCTGGCTGCCCGGTTTGATTAAAACTAACAAATATTTTTTGCTTCACAAACAAACTTTCACGTTTAAGTTTCCCACTCACACCAATCTGTACCCACAAACACACCCACAACAAACCACTAACACGTCAGTGCTTTTTTTTGATGGATGTGAATGCAGCCTGACAATGTGCTGTTAATCCAAACTAAAAAACGTTTGGGATGTTGTTCAAAAGCATTGCAGAATTTAATTTTGCACAGCTGGTTATTTTATTGTAGTGTATTATTTTATAGCATTTTAGATTTTATTTATCTGTTATCTAATGACTGCTACTATTGTCACAACTCAGTGACTGATGCTATTCTGTCAGGTTTTATTCAGCATTTTGAGTGAAATGGGCTGTCCAGGTTGGTTTCAGACTCAAGAAAATTCTTGGGCTGTTTTCTGATTTGTGCCAAATGTCCAAGCTGATTAAAGCTGTAGCTTCAGTACTCTACCACAAACACGTAGCCTAAAATAAATTTAATCAATAAAGACCTTTAGATAGAATTGTTAATGGAAAATGTTAAAAACAAGTAAACTGTGGCTAAATTAGTTGAACACATCATAAACTGATGCAAAACACTGTGTCATCTCACCTCACACACTGTTAGTACAGCACAGGAGCTACTACTACACCAATATGTCTTATTTATAACATTACTGAAAGTACGAATGACTGATTTGAGTGGATCTCAAGTTTACGCTGCACTTAAGTGCAAGGCGAAAAATAATAAGCGTGTTTTGATGGACACAAAATGGACGTGTCATGTAGTCGTTGTTAGGGAAACACTAAATAAAATAAAAGTGAATATGTTCTATCAGGTGGACGACCTGAAGCACTTCCAATATTGTTGGTTTTAGGGTGATTTTGAGTGAGTATTTGAGTACTCGTTCTGACACATCAACAAGTTTTGAGATCTGTAAACTGCGGTTCGGGCTAGTCCTAGTTCTTTGTGTTTTGGTGAATGAAGGCATTGCCGTGATCCAACAAACAGCCAAAATAATGCAGAGCAATCTTATACTACATTAAGACCACCGAAAAAAAACTACATTAAGTTCACCAGTGTGGTTTGTAGTGATATAATCACAATATTGTATTTTGTCCATATCATACAGCTCTACACTGTACATAAGCACAGACATCAGTCCGTTTGCATTGTCTCATCTGATGAATGATAACGTACATGTACGTCTCTTAATCTCTGTCATTAACAGTCGTGCTGGCATTGATGACTCCAAGAAGTGGGGGATGTTGTTCCTTATCAACCAGCTGTTCAAGATCTATTTCAAGGTAAGAGGCAACATATAAGAGGCTAAACTTTATCAGAATCACACCAATTCCCTCTCTAGTATTACATATCACAAACAAGATAACCTTACTGTAGACCACAATCTCTGGAGTCCATGTGAGGGCAGTTGGGGAATAAATAGTGTCTTTGTTTAAATAGTGCCTAACAGAGGATGTCTGGTATCTGATGTTCATCTCTCCAGATCAATAAGCTGCATCTCTGTAAGCCTCTAATCCGGGCCATTGACAGCTCCAACCTGAAGGACGACTACAGCATGGCCCAGAGAGTCACTTACAAGTACTACGTGGGCCGCAAGGCTATGTTTGACAGCAACTTCAAACTGGGTTAGAGTCGCAGCTCAAATATCACTTTTTCCATGAAGACCACTATTAAAACTTATGCAGATGATATTGACCTGTCTTCTGTCAAGTATATGGCATTCACTCCATTTCACTTTGTGTATGTGTTCTCAGCGGAAGAGTACCTGTCCTTCTCCTTCCAGCACAGCCATCGCTCCTGCCAGAGGAACAAGCGGCTCATCCTCATCTATCTACTGCCTGTCAAGATGCTGCTAGTAAGCAATACATACACTCATACTTATGTAAGCACTATATTGGGAAGTGATTGCAGTGTGCGTGAAATCACAGTACTGCAAACAGGTGTTGCGTGAATTGCATACACACAACACCAGTGGTCCCTTGCAGAGCCTAGTTCCAACCACAATTTACCACACCTCCTCCAGCTAATCGACTTCTTCCCAAGTCTCTGATTGGCTAGATGTATTTGACTTAAGTAAAAGGCGGGGCAGCTTATTGGATAGAGGCTGAAACTAAACTCTAAGTCTGGAGACCACTGCATGTAACTATTATGTTTCCTTACACACTATGTAATAAATTATAGAACTATGAAATCAGTTGAGGGCCACACACAAATGAAGATCAGGACAAGGGTGTGTCTTCTAACTCTGCTTTTATCACTGCAAAGTATAAGTTGCTGCTGATGCTTAATGTAGGCCTGATTCTGTTTTACAGGGCCACATGCCAACGACCCAGCTGCTCAAGAAGTATGACTTAATGCAGTTCACAGATGTTACCAAGGCAGTGAGGTCTGGTTGCTTTCAACACTTACTCTTAAAAATAAGTGCTAATTTTTGGAAGCCCTTTTCAGACTGGATGTTTTACTGGATCCTGTGATGCTATTTGTAATGTATTTGGCCAATTAGTACAGGATAAACTTTGTGTAATTTTGCTATAATTACTCCACATAGCCCGGATTGAAACAAGAAAACCCAAATATACACATCAGTGTTACGTGACAGGTGTCACATTCAGTAACAGACAGCAACAACACTGTGAAGGGCTGTGTGGATTACATTACCATGTAATCAATTCAAACAAGACTATTATTACTGAGCCCTGGGTTCAACCAGTTATAGAATGTATTTCAGTCTGGAATTATTCTTTTTTTTTAGTCTAAAAACTAAGGACATTGCAGGTTTATACTGGAAATCGATTTATACTAAAATCACAGATCTCATTAGCATTCACTTAAATTACAGTACCTTCACAGGTAAAACTAGTCCATCTTAACAGGATCTAAGATAGTCACCATATTATAGGAGACCATTATTGTTTGCTTTGTTTTTATCTTCTGCTAGTGAGGGCAACCTGTTGTTGTTGAATGAAGCTCTTGCCAAGCATGAGACGTTTTTCATCCGCTGCGGTATCTTCCTCATCCTTGAGAAGCTGAAGATCATCACCTACAGGAACCTTTTCAAGAAAGTGTAAGTAGACCTTATAAACAGAAGATGTCTTTGAAATAACACAGAACTTTACTGTTTATGTGGCTGGTTCTAACTGGAATAAATAGGAAAGGGCAAATTTCATGTTTTAATTTTATTTATTTATTTTTTTATATTTATCCTCTTCCTCTCTCTAGGTATCTTCTGCTAAAGACACACCAGCTGCCTCTAGATGCGTTCTTGGTGGCGCTGAAGATGATGCAGGTGGAGGAGGTTGACATTGACGAAGTTCAGTGCATCCTGGCCAATCTCATATACATGGTGAGATATACATGGACGACACATTACAAACATACCCACACAAACACAGTAAGATGTGCTTGATGTGCCTACTGTTTGGCCTCATTTTCCTGTCTCATTTTCTTTGACTTTATAATATTCATATTTCCTTGTGCCTACACCACTTTGGCTCTCAATTTGTCAGAAACTTAACAGCACTGCTTCCAGTTTAAATCTTTTTCAACTCGGAAACTTTGTGAATTGCAATAAATACCTGCAAAGCCAATGGTGGTGAACAAAAAGTACAAATAATTCTGTACTCTAAATTAAAAAAATATTTCTTCTCATATTGTTGAACTGTTTCTGGTAGACTTAAATTTAAGGCCATAATCACTGTGGCATTTTAAATTCATAATGCTGGAGTGCAGTACCTAAAAAGCAGAAAGTCTGATACCCTCCTAAGGTGATAAAGTAGGCTGCTATGCTAAAAGGTCTGCCTTTTGTTCATTTTTATTGCGTTGGTAATTCAGAAATCAATGTTATATTTCCCTCTAATACTAATCCAGGTAGATGTAGTCCCAATTTCAACATTTTATTAATGTTTATGTATTTTCATCAGCAGATATGTACATGAACAATATTGGATGTGTCCTAATTCAGTGCATTCCTTATTCTGGCAGCTGTCAATAAATACATGCTAGTAAAAAGTCCAGGATCTATGGGTGCCACAAGTTCTGAAAATGGGGGGAAAAAAACATGTGAAGTGGACCACCTAAGATTCAACCAATCATGACAAAGAGGCGTGTCTACTTGCCTATCAGATTGCACTTCCACAGCATGTAGTGGGGAGTCATAGACTAGCCATTCAGTTAGCGAGTTACAAAAGTGGGTGTGCTCTGATGAGACCTACTGAAACGGCTTCAAAGAATGTTCAAAGAAATAATGGCAAATGAAATAGTGCCAAAATTGCAGATCCCCCCCTTACCAATAAAGGCTAAAACTGCTAAACAAAACTGATAAAGAAAAGAATATGAAGAATAAGTGGTATAGAGCATCAGTATGGCTTCCCAGTGCTGGATAGATAAAGGGAAGTCTAATGGCATGAAGAGCGATGCTAACCTTATTCAAAATCTGCTGAACTGGTAATTACTTTCCTTAACACAACTATGCAGTTGGCTTACTAAGCTAGCTAAGAAAATGAGCTACATATATTAGCTCATCCAAAAACGTGTGGTAGTTGACGTTCACTGACTGATGAGCTGTCCCATTTTTTCTTGTGTTATCTTTGTAGAAGGCCTTGCATGTTAGATTAACTACTGATATAATAAGGACCATGGAAAGAACCAATGAATTTCAAGAACAGTTTCATGAGGAAAAATGTCACTGTAGGCCTTCCTAGATATGAATGGGAAAACCCTGAAGGGAGAGGCTGTGTTTGTTTGGCTGTTGGGTTTCCAAAGGGCTAATTTGGACTAACGCATCAATTAAATTTTTTTCATGTCTCTGTAAAGATATCCTTACCATGTTCTTATAGTTAATGTATATTGTTTGTATTGTTTCTCTCACTTAGGGTCACATCAAAGGTTACATCTCCCACCAGCACCAAAAGTTGGTTGTCAGTAAGCAGAACCCCTTCCCTCCATTGTCCTCTGTGTCTTAAATGCCATCGCTTCGAAAAGACTGAACCTGGAACAACAACCCTCCACTAACATCAACTTCTGCTGCATTTACGTATTCCTGGTATTACTGTCATTTTGAGCTCCTAATTACAAATGTTCAAAAGTTTTTTTTGTAATCCAATTGATAAAAGTTGGATGCCTGTGACTAAAAGCTTTGAGAACCATGGGCTGATATTATGTGTCTGTCAGTTACCGCCATTTAACATTTGCAAAAAATTCTCTTTGTGACAAATATTTAAAGGTGTAAAGATTTACCAGCGGCTCACTTAAAGCAGCGTTTCCAGGTTAGAAAGAAATTGAGCTCTGTGAACTTTAACAGGTGAAATATATGGATTTGAATGGACTATTTTATCGCAGCAGTTAGACTCTGCAGTCTTGTTGCTACACAGCATTGCTTTTCCAGATGGTGTATTTTATTCCTTTGTGGGGGTTTTTTGTTTTTTTTTTATTGGTTATGTAAAATAAACTTATCATGATTTTGTACAACTTGTCAGTGTTTAATAATGTATTTATATATAATTGTATACATCTATTGCTACATACCTATTTAAGATCAGCCAAATATCAAAAAAATGCATTATTTTTTAGATTTGTATGTTGAGAAGCAAGGAAGCAGAGCACGTCTTTGAACGGCACATATAACCATATAGGTAAAATTGCTCAGTAGTTTATTTTTATAATCATAACAGTGGGATATTTCTGGCTTCAAACATCATCTTTGCTCAGCCTCAGACCTCAACAGGAGTGGGCGAATCCAGTGAGTGTATCTGGAGACTTTGGTGAACACAAGTTCCCGATTACAGTCATTTTGAGACAGAGATAGTCCAGTCAGAAAAGCTGTGTTTCCTTCCACTGTAGCAGCAGGAGTCCCAGACTTGAGATCGCACTGGACTCTCTTTTGTAACCGTAATCTCATACCGCCACTCTTGGGTTCTTGCTCCTCTATACAAAACATCTTATTAGTCAGGGAGAATGTCAGGTTAAGTTTGTCTTGGCAGTCTTCCAGTGAAAGATATGAGGGATGGCTGGCACCAGAGACCACGACACCTTCCCTGCCAGTCCTCATCAAGATGTTCTCACTGTAGTCTTTCTCTGGGAGGCAGAGGGATACAGTGTCTGGACCAAGGGTGATTGGCTGTTTTAGCTGCAAGAAAGCCAAGTCATCATCAGGCTGACCTAGTATGTACCTCCTATGAAGAGTCCATTTGCTGGCCTGTGAAGCGTTCCTTTTTTCATCTGAATGGCCCGCTGTTGAAGGTATTACATAAAGTTCTGTTATTAGAAACATAAGCTCAAGCCAAGAACCAATTCAGCAGCCATTTATTTTTAATTGCGTATAAGAAAACATCTTATTTGTCATTTTATTTAACTTGTTTAACTTATGTTGAAGTGTTACTAACTTGTTAAAAGGAGTCAACATTGCCTTAGCTAAGGATGGCACTGTTACTCACCAAATACCATGTAAAGGTCTTTGTCTGTTGTCATGCATCCAGCTGTGGTAAGTACAGACCTCCGTCCTAGGATCACGCCGTGACAGACCACATCACCACGGCCATCCACAAAGGTCACCTAGCCGCCACAGCATGGTATAATTCATCTGTTAACATTCCTATTTCAGTTCTTTAACAGTGTGACATTCCTTCTCTCTTGATGTTTCGATCTGGACCTGGAGCACCTTTAGGGTTAGGTAGGGTAATTTCTTTGTTCAGACACACCTGCTTTACCTTTGTAGGTAGTTACTTGGTTAAGTGGGTGTGGTTAAAAAGGAAAACATTGCACTGTACTGGACTCTATCCCTCCAGGATTAGAACTGGACACGCTTGCTATACGTTGATTCATTATTGTGCTTACCTGCCATGGACAGTGTCCTTGGGAACAGATCTTGCCAAGTTCATTTTCGTTCTTGTTCAGATTGGCATATCTTTCAGAGGAGATTCGCAGGTTCCCACAGGGGTTCTGAACTAAGAGAATGGAAGATGTCATCACTGGAAATCCTGAAGCATCCCAGCAAAGCACTGTTAAATTAGGCTCCACTGTACTGTTCTGATGATCAGTATAGCAAAACTATGACAATGACAATGACTACGTCAAGCCTAGGATGTGTTCCAGTTCCAGGCATCATCAACCCACTAAAGCTCTGGTCCTAACTAAGCTAACTGGATTTTCTTCTCACGACGGTGGATCATTTTTTAATTGTCACTTTGCAGCAGAGCAAACTAATTGCACTACAAAGATATTAAGAATACAAAGCAGTTATTACTTCAGGAAGCAGGTGTAACGGGAGTTCTTCATAAAACTTTTACATAATGGGAAGGTTCTTTAAACTTTGAAAAGGTTCCTCACACGCACACGTCTCCTTTACAAAATTAGTTGCATTTGTTAGGTTTGTAATGTTGTGATTTAGTCAGGAACTCTTGTCTTATTGAACATGCTTTGTGAGACAGGTCCCTGTTCAAACAAACCAGCCCACCAGGAGCAGAGTTGGCCACTCCTGCAGAAATGGACAAGACGTAAAGTTACTAAACCAGCTCTAACTAGACTCAAGTCTATGACATGAAGGTAATTATTCCAACAAAGAGGCCCAGGATTGCATGTTGCTTACAACCAAAGTGCTGTTGATTGTATGTTCTGGCAGGGCCAGAAAGATGTTGAGGGGAGTTGAAATGATCGAAAGAAGCTTATAGGTAACAGAACATGTTCTGAGCTATTCAGTAGGTGACAAAGCAGACGTGACCAGCTCCAGTCCTGGAGGGCCTTATTCAAACACAGGATTCTGGCCCTTCGAGCACTAGACTTTACTGAAGGCGTCTCTGTCTGGGACAAGCCCCCAGATCTAGCCAAGACTAGAGTAGAGATGAGACACTGTAAACGGCTTCACATTCTAATACGAAAGGTCTACTAGTGTTAGCATCATTGCTGTGGGCTGCACTTCTTCTTCTGAGTAGAAGAATGTATTTATATACATACCTTGAGGTACGCAGCTCCTGCCATCACTGTGAAGGCTGTAGCCCTTGGCACAGAAACACCGGTAAGATCCTTGCGTGGGTTTGCAGTAGTGTTCACAAGCCAAAGGGCCCCCAGAAGGGCATTGGGATACATCTGCTCAATGTACAAAGAAGAATGCGACTTAAATTAAGACGAATCTACATGTAGTAAATCCGCCAAGACATGTTTGGTGTCCAAAATTTGCTTCTTTAGTTTTGCAGTGGAGCTACGAGGCTAATATAGAATTCAGCAAAGTCATAAATTATTAGTTTTCTGTTAGGGAGCTTTTAGAGGTATTAAACTCTTCAGACATCTGGTTCCTATCATCACCACTTTAAACAATTCTGACTTGGTAAATATCAAACCACTGTGATTTTAAACTAAAAACACATGACATCAACGCACTCCACCCCTAAAAAACGTTACCCTTTTCACAGTTGAACCCGCTATACATGTCTGTGCACTTGCAGCTGTAGCCTCCTACTGTGTCTTTACAGGCGCCGCCATGTTGACAGGGATTGGTTTTACACTGGTCTCCATCTGAAGCGAAGAAATATTACTTTAACACTGCCAATGTTTCTTTTCTTCATCATTCCATTTAGAGATAAATGAATGCAAAAATTAATAATACCCACCATAGTATGTGGCCCAAAATTCTTCCTTTAAAAGCAACATGCAAAATAAGGTTATAGTTAACAAAGCATAGTATATATTGAATATTACGTAATAGAGCACTTAAAACACAGCTATACAGGAAATGTGTTTTAGTAGCTGTTCATGCCTGGATGATCATGTGACTCACAGTTATGCACAGTTATTCGTTATTATCATGATAAATAATATTGTCACATATCGTGTATCGTGACAACTTTTAGAAGTATTGCGATATTACATTTTTGCCATATCACCCACCTCTGCTCACAGTGCTGTAGAATGAGTAATAGTTTACCAAAAAGTAATTACTAATTTTAATCTGCCTTGTCATTGCTGGCATATTTGCTCATGACATGATTAGCATTAAAGTGTCCTAGATATTTCCTACGTCAAATCTTACAGTTTTTTCATTGTTCTCAAAGACCTCTCTGGCCTCCTCCTTGTTGCATCTCTCCTCATAACACTCTCTTTCCAGGTTACCCTTTAGGATCTCCTCCACAAAGAACGCATTGGCACGTTTAGGCCGCAGGAAGATGGTGTGGGCTTGTGAATGAGCCGGGAAAACTAAACAGGACAAAAGGTAGACAGCAGATTGTGGTTAGCATCAATCAAGAAGAAGTATTTATGTAAAATACATGTTAAAGGAAGAGTTCGGTACAACAATGTCCAAAACAGTGACTGAACAGGAATAAACACCATTACAAAACAGACAGCAACTGTACTACTGCGCCAGGTCACAAAAATCCTTGTGCTGTTACTGGGTTAATCTTTGACTCTAATGTTGCTCATGGACCACTGAAGGTGCTGATGAAGTAAAACCGGTTTTTGTTCACACTGAGGGGCTGACGGTTTATTCTCTTGACTAGAACTTGGCTGGTCTGCTAGCTAACAATTGAAAAGATAGCAAACATGCTAATCAAGTCCATCATTAATATCACAGGCTTGAATCAAAGTATTTGCGATGTGATTTAGTGTAAAATGGCGATATAAAAGACTAAAGAATGTCACTTGAATGGATTACACGCTTCAACTGTCTGTTTTTTAGTCAGATCTGCCTTAAGTAGCTTAGCATCAAACCCAGTGAGAGTCTCAACTGGCTCCATATTGCCTAAACAGTGAGCTAGGGAAGTTTAGAAATTTTAGCTTCTGCAGCCAAATATTGCACTTTTTGTTGAGTGTGGATGTGGCTGAATCCCAAATAACTATTTTAAGCTATATTATGTGATGTTGGGATACAGGAGCCAGTATTTAAATTCCTGTGTAGTGCACTATGTAAGGAGCAGGGAGCCATTTGAGATTCAGCCCCAGCATGGGAAGCTCTCTTAGACTGATGCTAAATAAGACTTGCGGTGGTAATTTGCTGACTAAGAAGTACTTATAAAGCAAAGGTTTTTGCATTAAACAGTGACACTCAAGGCCAAGTGTTACTGTGATTTTATCACAGGGAAGGGGGTTTTCTAACACCCTCGTGATAACATTGCAGTAACGCAAGGCGTCTCGTGGCTTATTGCTTTAATTAGCTTTATGCAGATGCAATAGTAACTGGTGACTACCAACTTCCGTTCCTTTTTAGCCATGTTAGCATGTTTGGTCAGGCTATTCCATTAAAGATATTGAAAATGCTATTAAATCAGACAAGGTTATGTATTGTCATGGTTATTTTACCAAATTTGTGAAACTTGTAGCTAATTGCCTTGCAAAGAAAGTAGGCTAACACCAGCACTGAGGTTTCTATAAATGTATTGTTTTGTAACATAGCATAATTTGTTGAGCTTTTACTAAACTTGAAAGTTGGTTGGCAGGTTGCTGAAAAGACACTGTCCTATTTAATTTCAGTACAGATACACTACCTATTTGTACTCTGCTATGCATCCATATTCAACAGCCATCATAATGCCAAAAGCATGTCATAGTATCACTACGCTGAACCTTAACACAACATATTAATGAATAATGATACAATATATAGTGTTTACTCTTGCCCAGTGACAAACATTTTCTAAACTGTTAAGGATTGTAAAGCCAGAGAGAAGGCTCGTTATTAAATATCCAATTAAGTAAGAAACTTAGTTTATCTTCAGCTTCTCAAGTCTAATGTCTCTTTACCTGTCTGGCCGGCGTTGGTCAGGAGGAAGTTGCACTGCAGTGCAAACAAGATAAAATTCCATGTTCGAAAATCCATCACGATCAGATAAATGCCCAAACGTTTTATCGTTGACAGACCCACTCTTGTGCCTTTCTGTCTGTTACGCCGCCCACTTTTCCCGGCACTTACTGCCCCCTGATGTGTTCTCAACTAGTTCATGAAAGCAGGGTCCATCCTAAAAGCTCCCTCTGTACAATTCATGTGTGTGGGCACGTACACACAGACATACATATATTCAGATTGCTATGGTTCACAAATGATGGTAATGTTTGCCTTCAGTCTGAGTTAAATGACTTAAAATTACATATATGACTAAAAAATAAAGATCAGATGTTCTACTGCTGGAAACAGCCTGTCCATCTGCAAACACTGGGGTTGAAATGTTTGTCCTTGTAGGAGAGCTTTGCAAATAGAGCTTACCATGAGTTGGACTCTAATCTGTAAACAAACTAACAAGCAGAATGTACGCAAGTAACCAAATCAGTAGGTTTGGATCTTTGACCCTGTTGTTTTTCTCTTCATCTGTATCATATGAAGGGTAAAAAAGCACTGAAACTGACATATTACAGTATACATTACATACATCGTTGCTGTTAAAGCAACACTGTATTTCCAAAATGATCACTATATAAGAGAAGGAAAAAACATTCTTAACTTGTTAATGTAAAGTTTTTTTGTCCAATTTTTTTTATTTTAACACAATTCAAAAGATAACTGGAGTTATCAAATTAAGAAAATCAATGAAAAAAGGAGATACCAGGTTTTTAGGTGACAGCAACAATATATTTCTACAAGCCATTTATCAAAAAAACTTCAGGTAGGTAATGAGGATGTATGGTACTTATAAAACCCCTAACCTCTAAGAGCCCATAAGTGGGTCCATAAGTAGTTTCATAGTAGTTAGTAGATAATTTGTAGCAGTTAATGAAAAATAAGGATCAAGAATAATACCAGAATAATAAGCCTATAAGCCAAGGTTTCAAGAGGTGAACTCTCAGAACACCAATCAGCTGTGACATCACAACAAAAAACAACATAACTTGAATAAATCAATATAGAATCTTTATTTAGTTGTTGTTTTGTTTATTGTTTTTTTTTTTTTTATATACGTCCGTTTATGACGTCAGTCAATCTTCCTTACCATCCGTATCACAGGTGAACACCTAAGGACCTGCCTCTTTTCCCTAGCTTTTTCCGGAAGCTGCCTTTCTGGGCATGACCTTCTCCATGGCGGTTTCGATCCACTTGATGTACTTGGACACCTGCGTGTAGACGCCATACTTTCCTTTGCGAGCGCAGCCCTCACCCCAGCTCACCACACCGGTCACAAACCAGGTGTTTTGGTACTTGGTGACGTGAGGGCCGCCGCTGTCACCCTGGCAGGCGTCCTTGGTTTCTCGATCATAACCGGCGCAGAACATGCGGTTAGAGATCTTAAACTTGGTGGACTCCATGCAGGTCGCTCGGTCGACATATGGCACGGTCAACTTCTGTAAGATGGTGGACTGCGGGCCACCCTCGTAGAGACGCCCGAAGCCGCTGACCATGCCGTCTACTTGTTGCATGAGCACGCGTTCCGCAAAGTCGCGTTCTGGCAGGCAGGCAGGGAGGATGTATTCAGTGAAGGTGATGGGCTTGACAAGCTTGATGAGCGCGATATCGTTGTGGTAGGTTTCGGGGACGTAGTTCATGTGCTTCAACACCTGGGCGACTTGATGTCTTACCTCACGCCCCTCTCTTTTCAGCGTGTCAAATTCACCTTTTGGAAACAGGAATACACACAGATAATTTATTCATATGGTCTATGTTATTCTTGGCTTGGACATGTAGTCCAACGAAAAGAATCTTTACATTACGTGGAGGTTCTTTAAACTTCAAAGAGTTTCTACACACTCACTTGTCTCATTTACAAAAATGTAAATCATCCATCGAAAAGTTCATGGAGCCAAAAGTGGTTATTCCATGGCATTGCGCCAAATTATAGCCACAGCAATAACAAAAGTGTTGATAAATTAGATCGCGTGTCAACCTGCGGTCCTTGCAGGCCACAACACTGCAGACTTCAGCAGACTGCCTCATTAAACACACTTGATTCAGCTCATCAGCTAATTAGCAAGGCTTTCATGAACAAAGTTCATGTAAACACTGATATCTGCAGCACTTTGGTCTGGAAGGTCTCCAGTTTGACATTCCTGAATTAGATTATTTCAGCTAAAGTCATCTTCACTGGAGCTCACTAGCCAGTTTCCTGTGCCCTCTAGTAAATTAACTTTGAAGTGCAAGCTTATTATTTAGTACATGCTATAAATTGTTCAGCAACAACTATGAAACTAAAATTCACTCAAAAGTATGTGGACACCTGACCATCATACCCATGGGCATTAATATGAAGTTGGCCCCGCTTTGCAGCTATAACAGCCTCCACTCCACTAGGTAGGCTTTCCAGAAGATTTTGGAGTGCATCTGGGAATCTGTGCCCATTAAGGCAAAAGAGCATTTCTGAGGTCAGGCACTGTTGGAGGAGAAGGCCTGGCTCGCAATCAATGTTCCAATTCATCCCAAAAGTGTTGAGTCGGATTGAGGTCAGGGCTCTTTGTTGACCATTGGAGTTTCACCACACCAAACTTGTCAAACTGTGCCATGCACAGTCATGCTGGAACAGGAAATGGCCTTCCCCAAACTGCTGCCACAAAGGATGGAAGCATATAATTGTCTTAAATGTCTTTAGATGCTGTAGCATTAACATTACTCTTCACTGGAACTAAAGGGCTCCAGAGCCCCAGACTATTATTCCTCCTCCACCAAACTTTACTGTTGGCACTATCCATTAAGGTAGGTAGTGTTTTCCTGGTATCTGCCAAATCCTGATTCATCCATCAGACTGCCAGATAGTGAAGCATGATTCATCCCTCCAGAGAATATGTTTACACTGCTCCAGAGTCCAGTGGTGGCATGCTTTACACCACTCCAGCCGACACTGCCCATAGTGATCTTGGGCTTGTGTCCACCTGCTCAACCATGGGAACCCATTTCATGAAGTGCCTGACACACAGTCGATGTTGCTTCCAGAGGCTGTTTGGAACTCTGTAGTGAGCGATACAACAGAGGGTAGGCAATTTTTTATGCACTATATGGTTCAGCACTTGGCAGCCTTGCTCTGTAAGTTTGCAAGTTCTGACATTTTGTGGCTGAGCTGTTGTGGCTCGTAGACACTTCCTTTTCACAATAGAAGCTTTGACAGTTGACCAGGGCAGATCTAGCAGGGCAGACACTTGTGGCAGACTTGTGGCAAAGGTGACGTCCTATGAAAGTGCCACATCTAAAGTCACCAAGCTCTCCAGTATGACCCATTCTACTGCCAGTATTTGTCTATGGGGATTGCATAGCCATGTGCTTGATATGGTGTGGCTGAAACACCTGAATTCCATAATTAAGAGGGGTGTCCACATACTTTTGACCTCATACTTGACCTCTTTTACAGGTTACATGTTCACAAAGTAACATACCCCTCACCCTCCAACACACAAACACACACACAAACATATACAGGATACCTAGAATAACTGTGATGGAGCGAGACTGGTTCATGCAGTGGGCAGCAGAAAGAATGAAGTATTCATTTAGGATGGTCCCACCACAGAAGCCTATTTTATCCTCATTCACCAGCAGGGCCTAATAGGGACAGTAGCACAGTCTGTAACAAGTTTTCTATGAGCAGCAGATTACCAAAAACAATCAGCTTTAAACTGTACTACAACAAATAAATGTCAAATAAACCAAAATACAATATAAAACTTCATGATAATAAACCCCTTCTCATATATGTTAGGCCATTGCTCTTAGCTATGATTGCGGAGTGCATTCGGACATTTAAAGTTATACAGTTATAGACATAACTAATGATGGAAAAACTCCATTGGCAGTAACACTCAGTCAAAAATCTCTCATAAATGCTTTTGGATTATGTGTGTACCTGCCATGGGCAGTCTCCAGGTGCACAATCTTCCCCATTAACAATTCTTGTGTCTCCTGCAACCTCTGGAAGCACAGGATCCTCTTCTACAGGATTAATCAGTTCCTCATCATCCAACCCAAACAAAGTGTCTGGATCAGAGATTGTCTGAGTGGAATTTGAGACTTTCTTTTTTGTGATGGTCTTAGTTACATTTTTGGTACTCATGTCATTGGTATGGCCAGTGCTATTGTCTGTACCAGTACCGTTTTCCACTACATGATGTATAAGAATACTTCGGGTCTGCTTAGGATGCAGCTGACCACATCTGAAGGGATCTGTGATGAAAACAAGAGGTAAAATGAGCATCGATAGGCTGAAGAGTTTCAATTCCAGCCCTAACCTATTATGGCATCAATATATTAATGCCTCTGAAGAACTTGAATGGCAACAAGCGTGCAACACTAGGGTTGGGACAAAGTTCTGCAGGATTAGATCTCCAATGACTTGAAGCTTGAAGTTTCCAATGAAGTTTGCCTTTAGTGAATGTTAAGGCTCTTAATAATGAATGCATGTAAACTTTTGTTTAGGCAATCTGTCATTCTCTTACCATCAGATATGCAGGACTTCCCATCCGCAGCCAGTTTATAGCCTTTGACACATGAACACACGACACTATTGCGAACCACACTGCAGAAGTGCTCGCAACCTCCATTCTTGACCTCACATAGTTGTGGTATAGCTGAATTGAAAAATTAAAAATTAGAAAACTAATATTGTTGCATGTAGAGGTTATCAGGAGTTATCAGTGATGCTGTGGCCACTTACCAATCTCACAGTTGTAACCCTGAAACAGTTCAGGGCAGAAGCAGACATATTTTCCTATTCCATCTTTGCAGACACCATTGTTGAGACACGGATGGGACAGGCATGCATCTCCATCTGTGATGACATTGGAGACAAAAAAGAGGCTTGAAATGACCATTTTGGATTCCTGGCCTCTGAGTCTGATGAAATCTTGAAATGTGGCTACTATGTTGACTATTAGATTGGGTCGACCCAAAATGAGCCAAAATTTGATTGGATATTCATTGAAAAGATTGCCCTTGAACACTTTCACTTACCAAAATACACATTCCAGAATGCGTCCTAGGAGAAGAAAGAAGCAGTAAAAAGCAATGGGAAGATTGGAACAACAGAATTGAAAGGTTAACCCCTAGAAGTCAACTGTTGTTACTTATAAATGCAATGCAATTTGGTATCACAGTGAGTATAATGAGCAATGAATTATATTTACATTCAACTGAAATTATGTTCTGGTAGGCTCAAGTCTGCATAAACAGAAATGTTGTATTGATTGTAAATTCGGAATACAATTTTTTTGTTGGTTTCCATGAGCTACACTTTACATTTGTTACCACCGGCAAAAACCTTTTAAGGGTTTAAAAAAAACCAGCATCATGGAAAGAAATGGAGAAAGATGAGTGTTAACATGCCGTCTTTTCCTTGTTCTCAAAGATCTCTCGGGCCTCCTCATAGTTGCACCTTTCCTCTACACACTCTCGCTCCATATCACCCTTTTTAAACTCCTCAAACATGCTGTTGGCCCGCCTGCGCCGCGTGAAGACGTGGTTGGCATCCTTGTTCTGGAGGAATACTAGAGAGACAGTCAAACCACAGCTTATCATCAGTAACACCATCTGATTTCATTATTACCACTAGACCAGTGGTTACCAACCCTGGTCCTGGAGATCTACCTTCTTTTAAAGACCAACCACAATCTGCCACACTTTGTCCAGTTAATGTTCTTTAGATGTTCTAGATTGGCTGGATAAGATGCATCAGTGTTAGATAAAGGTTGGATCTAAACTCTGCAGGAAAGTAGATCTTCAAGAAGTGGATTGGTGACCACTGCACTAGACTATAACAAAAAGACAGAAAACTAAACTATTTCTTTGGTATTACCCATTGCACAGTATAACATACCTACTGCACTGGAGTAGTAAATTAATTGTAGATACTTGCATGTCTGGCATTACAGCATACTAATAACTCAGCATGTGTTTCCATACTGAACACCATCAGTGCAACACTACCTTGCTAGCCTCCAATGATTAAACACAAACCAGAGTTGGATCTTCACAAACCGCATGGTAGGTGTAGGAAACAATAATGAGGTCAACTTACAAACTTAAACCACAACCTATCAAATTAGTAGGGTACTTACCCTCAGATGTGGCACAGTGTACAAGAACTAGACAAAAGAATGTCTTCAATACCCAAAACATGGCAAGTTTTATCGCAAGGTACGTCTCTGTAAAAGAGGAGTGAAATCTGGAACACAGGCACAAAAGATCAATGACCTGTGTGATAAATGGGAGGGGGGAAGAGAGAGAGAGAGCGAAAGGACAGAGTTGCAGTACACTGCAAAAAAATACATTGGAAATTGAAAGCATCTAAAATGTAAGCAATGTATCTAAAATTCCTCTTTATGAAATTGTGAAAATTTTTTACTTTACCTAGGTGTATATAAAATGAAATTATATTAATTTTCTGATAGTTCACCCAATTTTACTTAATAAGATGAAGTAAAAATGTATAAATATGTTGAAAAATCTAAATATTTTGACAATCATATGACAAATATTAAACATATTACCTACATTTAAGATGTTTTTCACTTTACATGATACAATTATTTTGCAGCGAAGTAGAAATCGTGAGTGCTATTAAACATATAGCTGTTATTTCAGGTTCTCTGAAACCACAACAGGCAAAATATAACTTTGAAAACAAGAACCTCCCCAGTGTCAAACTGCTTATCTGAATCAATCATATCGGCTTGCTGAGAAGGAGCGAACCCAGGCTGCTCTTGGGACTGTGAGCTAATATTTACGCTGTGTGGCCACTGTCCTCATGCTACCAGCAAGAGACTGAATGTTCAAACACAAATATGCCCAAAATCTGCAAATAAGACAAAATGCACTGAACCTCATTTTATGACAATTATAAATGTTACAATTAAATCAGAAAGCAAACTTTAGATCTCATTGACAGAACACAAAAGAATAATGCAATGATGATGTCTGATTTAACATCTTTATTTCAGAAAAGAACAGCAACTCAATAGCTAGTGTCAGTTAAGCAAGAATGGCACATCAGGTAAAGTGGGCTGCATAAGCTTCATGCTGAATTAAATGACTACAGAAATAATGACTACAAGGATGCCTTTGTGCAGCATTTGTTGTGACTGGCCTACAATCAGTTCTTTATGAACTGCTCAAGAGGAGGTGCTGCTGAGACTGAGACATTTGCAGTTTTGCTGAGTGTGTCCAGCTGGGTGATTGGCATGGCCTTGGTCTGCTGAATCCAATCCAGAAAGTTGGAAACTTTGGTATATATCCTGTAAAACCCTGGATGAGCACAGCCTTTACCCCATGACACTATCCCTGTCAGGAAAGTGGTGTCCCCATACTGAGTGACCAGGGGGCTGCCGTCATCTCCTCGACAAGACTCCTGCCTACCCTCAAAATAACCAGCACAGAGCATGTTATCAGTGATATTAACCCCACTCTTCAGTGAGCACAGAGGCTTCGGCAAAAGCGGCACAGCTAGCTTGCGTAGTATGGGGGATTTTGGCCCTTTAAGACGCTGAGAACTAGGGGCATTGCCACCTTCAGTGTGCCGGCCCCATCCACTGACACTATGGAAGCGGACAGCGGCTAGCTCCATGTGAGCGAACTGGAGTGTTGGCAAGCATATGGGGACAGTGTGAGCTGACAATGTAGCTGGCTTATGTAGACGCAGAAGAGCCAGGTCACTGTCCATTGACACTGGGTCGTAGCTCTCATGGACGATCACGTGGGTTACAGGAAAAGCTTGCTCTGTGTCGTCCATTATGTCAATATTATGGTCGCCTGGTAAAACACAGAAGGTACAGTATAAAGAGATTATAGCTATGTTCCCATTTGAAGACTTATTGCTTAGTTTCTATGTTTTGCTCATATCAGATTTTTTTGCATGATGGTTCATATAAAGGGACCCACATGTACACATTTAGTCAGCCACTGAAAGATAAAATGTTTTATATGGTGCACTGGATTTTTATTTGATTGACACCTACCTTTACCTATATTCTTTGTCCATTTTATCAGTTCCACTTACCACATAAGAGCACTTTGTAGTTCTACAATTACAGACTGTAGTCCATCTGTTTCTCTGTAAACTTTGTTAGCCCCTTTCACCTTGTTGGGTGGTGCATTTTTAGCACTGCAGTAACACTGACGTGGTGGTGGTGTGTTAGTGTGTGTTGCGCTGGTCTGAGTGGATCAGACACAGCAGTGCTGCTGGAGTTTTTAAACACCTCAGTGTCACTGCTGGACTGAGAATAGTCCACCAACCAAAGATATTCTGTCATAGAGTCCTGTGACCACTGATGAAGGACTAGAGGATGACCAACACAAACTGCAGCAAAGGATGAGCTACTGTCTCTGATGTCACATCTACAAGACGGTAGAACTGTCTAATAGAATGGACAGTGAGTGGACACAGTGTTTAAAAAATCCAGCATCACTGCTGTGTCTGATCCGCTTGTACCAGCACAACACACACCAACACACCATCACCATGTAAGTGTCGCTGAGAATGATCCACCACCCAAGTAGTACCTGCTCTGTGGGAGTCCTGTAGGGGTCCTGACCACTGATGAACAGGGTAAAAGGGGGCTAACAAAGTACACAGAGAAACAGATAGACTACAATCTGTAATTGTAGAACTACAAAGTTACTATATAGTAAGTGGAGTGGATAAAATGGACAAAGAGTGTAGTAACAAGTTGGGCATACTTGAACAAGTGGCTTGGTTTTGTATACCGTAACTGTCAGAAATTGTATTTATGCTGTGATGTAAATTTTCTCAATACCGGCCACTGCTATGATGAACATATATGAAATACCTGCTTTAACTTTCAGGTAGTTTGTATCTCTTTTATCCACACAGTGAGCAGCCGTGATGACCCAGTTGGCATCTACTAAAACCCCACCACAGAGACTTTCTCCATGATAATCCAACAGGACCTGTATGAACACAATGTGAGCAGATGGGCAACTTCAATATCTATGGGCCTCACTCAGCAATATTTTCCTAATAGTTTCCTAAGAAAAGTCCTAAGAAAAAGTCTGCATCAGATTTATGATGTGTTTTTAAACCTCAGAATTGTTCCTGCCTTTGTGCTCTTGAGTGTGTGTACATTCTGTTCTTACTTGAGAACAAACTCCAAATAAGAAAACTTTTATAAATGTCAGAATCTTTGGGAAAACTGCGTAAGAAGTTTCTTCTTAGGAACAATTGGTGAATGAGGTGAAATGATCTAATTGACTGACTCTTCTGAAGACCTCAATGATCATCATCTCAGCTGATGTACATTATCTAAGATTTATTTTATGGCTAAATAAAGTTGCTGTTCAAGGCAAAATTCAAGGACAAAATTCTAAAATGAATGTTTTTATGTGGAATTTTTATACGTACTGTAAACATGATCCACATTATCCACATATATTTGATTATTTATCTCTATTTTTCACTAATATTAATTATTATCAGTAATATTTGAGATGTGCAAATGCACAAAAATAAAGGTTTAATTTATGCATCTCAGTATAGGTCTTTCCAGTAATAGTCTTTGGCAGCATTAAGTACGCTACTGAGCATATTTCAAACCAGCTGAAAAAGTGAATGTGTTCTGCCTAACGTATAGGTTACCTGCCAGGGGCAGTGGCCTTTAGGGCATTCTTGTCCACTGACAGTTCGTGGTAGAACAGTCTGATTCATCTGAAGAGGTGCCTTCCCGCATGGATACTGAACTACAGAGGACAACTCCACAATCATTAGAAGCCAATAATACAGACGCAACAGATCATATGACATCAGCTTACACTTACAGATTTAGTTCCTCTCTAAGGAATGTAAGTTATCGTCTGTTAAGCTCCTATTTATTCTGATCCTGAATTTCTAGAGGAATTTTCACACCTTGGGCTACGCAGGACTTTCCGTCCTCTCCAAGAGCATAACCTGAGGCACATGCACACTTGTGCCTGGGTCCTGAACCATCGCAGAACTGCTCACAGCCTCCATTGAGATACAGGCACTTCAGCGTATCCACAACATCTAAAAAAGAGACTTGTGTTTTTAGAGTAGAACTGCTTTTAGGATGGGTTATGTTTTAATTTTTAAATTGTGAAAAGCAAAATCTAAAGCAGAGAGATGTGTGAAACCAGAATGCGTAAAAAGAATGAATTTGAGCCCAGAATGACAAAAAAAAAGAAAAGAAAAAAAACCTAAATGTTTGATTTGTGCACTGTACCTTTTTGGCAATATTTGCCCTCAAAACCCTCTAGGCACTGGCACATGTAGGTGTCTGCCAAATATATGCACGTCCCGTTGTTTTTACATGGGTTGGTGAAGCAGGGCTCCCGAGCTGGAGTTAAAATGCCATCATAAACAGCATAAAACAGGTATACAGGTATAGTAGTTTTATCATTTTTGTATTAATACACACTTAACTGTAAAATGCAGTATAGTACTAATGCAGGCCCTTAAATAGCAGTGGCTTATTTTATGTGAATGTTTCTCTATTGAAAAACCAGTTAGCTGAAACACCATTTGAAATATAACATTTTTAATTACTAAAATGTAATAATACCCAACATTGGAACAATCATTAGTCATCTGGTTTCTTAACTCACCATCGTATGTCAGCCAAAACTCTTTCTGTGAGAAAACAAAACAAGCAACACAAACAAAACAAGTCACACTTCACTCAGCACCACTAAGGTCTAATTCTCTTGCCTTTGGTTTATATAGTATCATTCACATAAATCAGAGATTAACAACATAAACAGAGTGATTCCATGAGCAGAGTGCCATTTAACTTTTGTAACTCTTAAAACTTAAAGAGTTTTTAAAAATCTATTTCAAATATTGAATTTAACAAAACACATTTTACCATTTCAATATCTGTTAAGCAATCTTTAGAACAATTTCACTTTTCACAAACTTTCACTGCTCACAATGAGCAAATACCCAAAACATGGTTAACTACCATCCATGCTAATGGTCTGAGGATATTCTGTTGATTTAATTTTAACGTATGTTTTTAAATCAATAATTTTTTTTCAATCAATAAATTTGGGTAGCAAGTATGAATTTTCAAAGTTAAGGAAAAACATAATAGAAAATCAACTTTTCTTCTTCCCCTGATCTTCAGAAAACTCAGATGGTACAAATTCCTGTTGACCATGAGACTTTCTAGAATATATCTAGATATTTCACCAGGGTGACTGTTCAGACAGCAGGGCTGAGTGAA